CTTGGCAATCTGATCAAATACCGGAACAAATCGCATACAAGGCCCACACCAAGGCGCATAGAAATCGACTAGATATGGAGTCTTCGCATCCAAAACCTAAAAAAAATACAATCTAAAAGTAACTTCCTGCAAACCTCCGTGAAAAATTCGTTGCCCATTGGGACGACTAGCGAAGGAAGGTATCCCATCGTCCATTGGGAAATCGAATCCGCGTTCCGCCACATGTTTTGGGGATAATTTCTGAAAGAGAAGCCGTAAGACAGACGCAGAAGTGAGTTACAGATTTTTCCCGAGCTTGCGCTGCTTCTGCACACTTGAGGCCGGGAAGAGACGAACGGTTGGGTATCCGGTAACCTTCTCGTTGTCGCAAAGGGTCCGATGGGCCTGAAAAGAAAATAAGAAGAAATAAATCCCAGCGAACCTGACAATCTATGGATCCGTATTTGACATTCTCCGAATCATGATCACGCAGCATTCGAGCAGCTCTGTTGAACTCCGGTGCGAGCTATGGAAGGTAATTGGGGTAAACCAAAATTATTAAATACCTGTTGACAAGGGCCGCACCACGGGGCAAAGAAGTCGACAACCCAAGTGATTTCCGCATCCTTGTTCAAAACCTCGGCCCTGAACTTCTCCGGCGTCAGTTCGACGACCGACGGGTTGAGCGAATCCTAAAAAACATACAATCAACTGCGAATGTACCTTACCTCCATAAAATCGATGACTTCTTGCGCAGAACTGTAGCCGACAGACTGGAAGGTCTTCCCGTTGTAGTAAAGCTTCTTCTGCGGATAGCTGGAGACACCGACTTTTTGGCAGAGTTGCACGTGTCTAGTGCAGTCAACGGTTCCAATCGAGAGCTTCTGCGACTCTTCATCCAGCTGTTCGTGCACTTGACGCAGTTCAGACATCAGTTTCATACAGGGCGGGCACCAGGGTGCGAAGTAGTCGATAAGCCACAAATCGCCGCTCTCGACCGCTTCGTCATGCATTTCGGGGGTCAACACCTTCATCGGGGTCTTCAACGACTCGCGGATGAAGAGGGCTTGATCACGCCAGCTTGTTTTCGAGGTCGCTAAAATGGAAATGTGAACGTGTATTTCGATAGGCACAATTTTTTCCGTAAAAGCCAATTATCAGATGAATCTAAAAAGTCTTCCTACATGGCGTTTTTTTGTTATTCTTAAACATATAATTTTAAAAAGTTATCTAAAATAGCCATTTTTCTAGAAATTAAAATTCTGAAATTGTTGTTTAGTAAAATTTTGCGCTTGAAATATAGTTAGAATTAAAACAAGAATCATGAAAAGACTTGTCAAGCATAATGGGTTTATAGGAAACCCCCTCCTCTGATAATGCGAAAGCACCCAATTAGCTCCAACGAACCATAGTTAATCTCATAGCCTCCGTTTGCCTTGAAGAGAATTGTGGTCGGAAGCTGTTTTTGAACATCAAGATGTTCGGCGCATAACTCAGCCCTCGAACAGTCGAAGAAGCCGATTTTCATTCCTGGGAAAGCTGATCGCAGGCGGACCATTTCCTTGTTTTCCTCCACCGTTGACTGGTCCTTCACGAACCTGAAAAACTTTATTCCTTTCGAAAGCGCACTCTTACCAGACAACGGTGTCCTCCGTCGCCCCAATATGGCGATCAAATAGAGATTTGAGGTCATCCTCGTCAAACTCCGGCAGCCCATCCATATTTTTGATAGCAGTAGAAGCTAATTCTTTCGGATCCAGAGATTCAAGCACCTAAACGATCAAACGATCAAAAATTCATCCTCATCGTACCGTTGCAGATTCGGCGGAAATGGCACCAGCATCAAACCAGAGAACGCCGTCCGTGCGGTCAAATTTCTCGCACAGCTTGTCTTTTGTCGTGCCGTAGTGACAATCGACAGTTCCCACATTCACCAGGCCATATAACATCGACGCCAGTTTGCGGCTGCAAATAAAAGTTTATGAAGTTTTGATCAAATTCCCACCGATTTTCCGGTGTCAGGCATCTGTCAGAGTCGTCGCAAAAATCAATAATCCAAGGTCTGCCGGCGGTCTCGGCTTCATCTCGGGATAACGTCAGATAATTCTCATGAGTGACTGGGATCACCTAAACAAAATAGATTTACTTGCAAAGGTGATTACAAAGTCAGGAAGACGCGTCATGACGAATTCGACAATAAGTTCCAGATCACGCGGGCCTTGGTAGAAAGTGCCCTAAAATATTGCTAACCTAAAAAGTAGAGTTCAGGATACCTCTGGGTACCAAACGAGGCTGGGATATCCGTGAACGTGTTGGCTTTGACAGAGTCCCGGATCTTCCGCGCAGTTGACCGCACCCACGCGTATCACACCATCCATGGCCGCGGCAAATTTGCGCCACTAAACGGCGAGTTTAATTCTACGCGGGTGTTCAGCGCTGGCCTCCCCCCGCAATTTAAATTTGGAATTTGAATGCAAAATTTGGCTGAATTCCCGGTCGGGCGGACAGACGGACATTAGAAAGTTATATATAGTAGATAAAGAAAAATAATATTACTGTTGGCGCAAGCTGGTGGCAATGGGAGCAGAAGGTGGAGTAGAAATTTATGAACCAAATCTCGCCGGTGCCTATAAAAGAAACGCTAATTAGCCGGATAGAATTCGCACCTTGTACAACCCTGTTGAAATCCGCCCGGTTGAGGGTCACAATCTCGACATCATCATCGTAGATTCCTAGATTGGCCCCTTTTTCTATTGAAATAAAACAACAAACCAAAATTATCATTGTAGAATTGCCAACTCTGGAAGTTCTGGTTCGGGTTGAAGTCATCCGCCAGACCCTTTTCACCATATTGATCAAACTTTTTCCTAAAAACATGCAAAAAGAAGCAGAAAAATCACCTCAGTTCCTCGTCTTTCAACACTTCGTATGCCCTGTTGATTTTCAAGAATTCTGCGTGCGCTTCCGGGTTGTCCTAATTATCATTAATGTAGGGACGGACGCCACAGACCTTGTTCTTGTCCGGATGCTTCTGGATCGCCAATTTCTTGAAAGCTTTTCGAATCGTCCGATCATCGGCATCCTTGGCGACGCCCAATATTTCATAGTAGTCGGCTGAAAAAAGATTGTAGCCCGATTACGCGATGAATTTGGGGGGCCTTTGTGCCAAAAACTCACCGCTGCATAGTAGCCCACTGAAAAAGAGGGTGAGTGGCAAGATGGCGACGGCCAGCCGCATCTTCTGAAAATATAGTTTTAGTATAGGAAAGCGGAAGAAGCAAGGAGAGAGTGAAACGATGACGACAGTTTAGGCCGAAAGACGAGAGGATGTGGGAAAGGGGGAGGAGCCAGAACGGGATCTCAGACCAAGAAAGAGCGATTGCCCGCTCATGGGAACTGGCATGGTCAGCGCTTACTCTACAAAGTTCTGATTCTTCACAACGAGCGGCCTAATCAATAGCGATAGACATTTACTTAGGCTGGGCCCCCGGGGGAAGGTACCGACTGGGGGGGTTGAGGAGTTGTGTGGTCAACGGCCCGAGAGTCCTATAGGGCCGACGTGTCACTAGCGCTTCGTCGCGCACTCCCCCACAGAGCCCGACTGTTTGCCTAAATTGACCAATGCAAGTAGAGCAGCACAAAAGCACGGCTGTCGCTTGGGTTTCGTTGCTTATTGTGAAGCCCGGCAGTTATGCTAGGAGACAATCTAGACAATGACGACGAACTAAAAAAAGAAGAAAAAACGTGATCCAAAAATAGCGATTTCGACCATCTCATTGGTTCCATAGCGAAACTGGGGTACTCGAACAAAAATTTCGTCAGAGGAAAATGGAAGAGAGCCAGTGGAAAAGTCAATCGTCAATTCACAACGATATCTGCATCCCAGCAGCGCATAAGCGCTCACGAATATGATTCAACCTATAAATGTTCTGGAACAAAAAAATCCAAAGATTTGTATTTTTCATCCGGCGGGATGCCTCGAGATGATCGTGACGCGGCGCCGCCGGTTTTTCGGCCTGGGAAGATACTCGGCAAGCGCTGGAAGGTCGTCAAGAAGATTGGCGAGGGCGGTTGTGGAGCCGTCTACAGGGTAATTTTTTAGCAGCAGAAACTCAAACCAATCTCGGTGTGTTAGCATCCTGCAACAGCCGAAAATCTTGTTTGTAGGTGATGGATACACAGACCAAGATCGAGGCGGCCCTGAAAGTCGAATCGAACAACGTACCTGGCGGCAGTGTGCTGAAGATTGAAGTGATGGTGCTGAAGCGACTGGAAGGCAAAGCACACGTCTGCCAGCTGTTGCACTGGGCAAACGGGAGACCTACTCATACATGGTGATGACGCTGCTCGGAGAATCTTTGCAAAATATCATCCGGTATGTCTCTAAGCTTTTTTCATCTTCCTTCAGCAAATGCCCCAATCGTCAGTTGACCGTCTCCAGCCAGGTGCGCACTGGGATCAACATCTTGTACGGGTTGAAGCAGTTGCATGATGTAAGCCTGAAAAAATGGGGTGATCCGCTAGGATTCTAACTGAAGTCTCAGCAAAAAATGGATATTTAGATCGGCTTCGTCCATCGTGATCTGAAACCGGCGAACCTTGCCATCGGCCCGCCGAACACTTGGGTACGTGCTATTACACCTGGCTAAACAATACTTCTAACATTTAGCCAGCCCATTTCGTGCACGTGCTCGATTTCGGGCTTTCCCGTGAATATGCTCAGATGGTTGAGCCAGGGAAATACGGATTACGGCGCCCGCGAAGCAAGTGTCTCTTCAGGTGGCTGAGGACAGTCGACGAAACCCTGTTTTAGAGGGACGACGCGGTACTGTTCTTTGAACACGCACGACAAGGGCGAGCAGTCTAGGGTCGATGACCTTTGGTCCCTGCTTTACCTAATGGCCGAAATGAGGGGCCCTTTGCCATGGCAGAATTGCAGGTTTGTCCTTGAATTCTGCCATAAGACATCATTTAGTGACAAGAAAGAAGTGGCCGAGGTGAAACGGTCGACCGCCGACAAAATGCTCTTATACAACTGTCCCGTGCAACTCCTCGAGTATGCCGAGCACCTTCGGTAACCGAGAACGATCCTGGAACAACTCATTATAACTTAGCGAGCTCAACTACTACACGCGCCCAAACTACCGAAAGCTGTACGAAACGCTGGCTGACGTGATGAATGATGGGGGCTTCAAGGTATTACACTCCAACTAACCCATATTCTTCTAGTACACCGACCAGTACGACTGGGAAAGGGTGGCCGTGCGTCCGAGTCGCAGCTTTGATGCTTTCGAGGATCTAGCGAGGATTTGCAGACCGCCCACACCGCACCCTCTCACGAGAAAGTAAACTGAAAATACCTAAATTTCGAAGAAATAACGATTCTAGATCGGCAGCCGCGAGAATGTTGCGGCGGAAGGCAAGAGCACGATGGTCGAGCCAGCCGACAAGCCTTCCGAGTTCAGCCCCGGCCCGAATGAGCCCCTGCCGCTTGTAAGTTCTGAAAATAATATAATCGAAAAGTCATCTAGGCCAAGTACGGCGATCCCGACAACCCGTTCCCCGTCGAAGATTTTGAGACGAACCCGCTACAACTTTAAACTGTTCCCCAAATTCGTTGGAGCCGTGGATGACAAAATCGAGAACATAAGATGAAACTAACTTAACTCGTCTCATTGGACCATGTTTTTCTCGCCACTTTTTCAAACGATTTTAATAAATGGATTTTGATGTTTCTGTCCGCTTTCCGCACTTGCATGCATTCGATATCATCGTGGCATCGCGTGTTCAATGTTGGGTGTTGTTGGGGATGTATTGCTGGGTGGAAGCTGGCTTGTCTTCAGGCGGTGAACCGAAGGCGTCTACCTGCTGATCAGAAAGGCCTGAAAACAAATGCTGAACCAAACCGTATCGAAGGATCTTTACGCCAACATGACCTTGAACGTATAAAGGCACTTTTTTTCGCCCTTCTACAAACGTGGAATTAGCGCAATAAACGCAACAAAATTGATGGCGAGCGAAGAAGCTTGCCGAGCTGGATGTGCATCCACCTTGGAAATCGTAGCTTTACACCGTAGTCCAGCTGCGGCGAGAGATTCTAGAAAGTGACCTGCCGTCATTGTTGTCCTGTGGAAACATACGGTAACCAAGCCTAGCAGCAGAATTCTGCCAGTTTTCGATTTTTACGCGGTCGCTCTCGGATTATCTAAGTCTAGTCTTCATCGACCAACTTCTTTTTTCGTTGATGCATGTGTTTTTCTTTGCCCCCCTCCCAAACCACCCATTTTTTTGTCTAGATTATTGACGATGCTTAAATAACACTAAAAGAGCGGTATGCTAGTGCCGTATAGCGTCCGATCAAGATTGTGACCGTCTGAAAGGTCGGCTCCTGTAAATCTAATACAATTTTGAGGTTCCGAAAGCTTTGGCCAGATAGCAAACGTTATCATGATTCCTCATCCGTCTTGATGCCGGACATACTCTTTACATCAGATCTTTAGAGCATGTTCGACTTCGTAGCGCTCGGACGCCGTCTCCAAGAAATCACCAACAACTCCAAAGAGACGCCGCCGTTCACGAAAGCACCTCCAATCCCGTCCGCAAGGTGTTCTTGGCAGCTGCTGATTATATGGTCAAGGGGGCCACTAAAGAAACCCTTCCTTTTTTTTTTTTTGGTTTTTTTGGGGAATGGAAACACCCCAAACCCTGGGTTCCAAAAAAAAAACGAAAAAATAAAAAAGAGTGTAAAATTGGGGCCCCCCCCCCCCAGGAGGAGGGGCCCCCCCCCCCCGGGGGGGGCCCCTCCCACACCCCCACCCCCGGGGCCCCCCGCCCCCTCCCCCCCCCCCCCCGCCCCCCCCCCCGGCCCCCCCCCCCCCCCCCCCCCCCCCCCCGGCGCCCCCGGGGGCCCCAAAAGCCTCAAAATAGGCAAAAGGAAAACCGAAAAAAACAAACCCTAAAAAAAGATGAAATAAAAATGTTATTTTTTTTTTTAAGAAACCCCCCCCCAAAACCCGGGGAAGAAACCCAAAAACCCCCAACCCAAGGAACCCCCCCCCCCCCCCCAATTTTTATTTGGGGGGGGGGGGGGGGGGGGGGAGATTTTTTTTTTTTTTTTTGGTTTTTTTTGTGGGTGGGGGTGGGGGGGGGGGGGGAAAGGAGGGGAAAGGGGGAAAAAAAAAGAAAAAAAAAAAAAAAAAAAAAAATTTAATTAATGGGGGGGGGAGGTTAGGTTGGGGGGGGGGGGGGTTTTTGAAAGTGGGGGGTTTCCCCGGGGGCGGGGGTTTGGGCCGGGGGGGGGGCCCCCCGGGGGGGGGGGGGCCCCGGGGGGGGGGAGGAATTTGGGGGGGAAGGGTGGGGGGAAAAATAAAAAAAAATAAAAATATTAAAATTTTTTTATAAAAAAAAAAAAAAAAAAAAAAAAAAAACGAAATTCGTTTAGACGATCATCTACCGACCCGTGAGCGGTGTCACACTTCCGCCGCCCAACGAAGGGGAAGAAGATTTCCACATGGACCACCTCAACTATGTGTTCAATCACCAGGTGCGTCAGTCTCGCTTTTTTTGTAATCTCTTTCAGGTCAATACTACCCACTTCGCCCTTCCAATCACTGATCGTAAGCGGAGCTTGATCATCGACTACGCCTTCTCCGTGTTTGCAAATCGCCGAAGGCCACTCGAGTCTTTCTTCTTGGCCGTGCATATCATCGATAATACCATTCAAGTAAATTACTTTTTTATACTAATTTTTGTTTTTAGAGCCATAAAAACACTCTTGATACTGCCTGTGATCAAGATATTGCCACGATGGTTATTGCCGCCGTTGACATTGGATCCAAGGTTTTTAAAACCCTTCGCACATAAAGTAGATTTTTTAGTGCGAATACCTGCGCGGCGTGGCCCACCATTTCGTCGATGGGTACGACACCAACAAGATCCGCATGTGGGAAAGGGAGCACTTGCGCCTGTTCAAGTTCAACATCAGCCACACCCATTGCCTGCACTTCCTGCGTATTTTCCAGGTGAATCTCCCCCTCCCCCCGGTTTACAGACTTTTTTTTTGTTAGTTCATGACGCATGATCTGATGGCCGAAAAGAATCTCCAAGGCGCTTGGACCTTGATGAAAGCACTGGGATGCTTGGCTATGGCGCACTTCACGACTGCCAAGCAGCAACCATCTCTCCTCGCGGCCGCTGTCGCCCGTGTGGCATTCGAGATGCTCCACCAACGCGGAATCATTGCCTCTGCAGAGGTATGATTTTCTATATAATCGTTGAATTTTTGTTAATTTTTAGCCTTCTGTTTTGCTGCATCTTCATCACGTCGAATCGGAGCATCTGCCGGTTGCGATCGCGCTCGTGGAGTGGCTGCAAGCTTGCCCTAAGGCCATCGTTTCCAACGTATGTGCTTCTCTGATATCCATATTTGTTACCTAGATTGCGAAGTACTACGCGGATGAAGGAGTGCAGATCAACGACACCGAACTGCGTGATGTTCTGGCCTCCTTGAGGATGGCTCTTGTGCGCGCGGAATTGACCGGATGATTTTGCGACTAACAACTGGATCCTAGCCACTCTGCTCTTGTGTTCTTTCGCTTATCGTAAGACTTAACTTAACATGATTTGTGATCCTATGTGAATCTGTGCATTCCGGTTTAATACTGTGATTGCTACTTTTCGACTTTGATTCTGTGTGTGAATCTTTTTGTATCCGCGTGCATGTGATTTCCCTAATGATGATAAACGATGCACTTGTCCGAAAAAGATGCTATATTATCAAACCGTTCGAGGCGTGAAATATTTCTAATGCTCCGAAACTTTGCGATGACTCTTAGTCGAGGCTCGTTTGGCTGGAAACCCTATGACGGTAATTTTTGGTGACTTTGTTGCAGAGCGGTATGTCTGTGATGCGCCTGACCGAGGCAAGCGCCCAGGAGCTGCTCAACGGCTGGTTCGAAGACTTGCAAGACGCCGCACTCGTGAAGCCGCCCACTCTCTGTTTGGTTCCCGGGGTTGGCTCTGCCCCACGATTCAAGCAATTCGCGGCTTTGGATGAGTGCCGAGGCTTCAAGGTAGCTTGTTTGCTTCACGATCATTTTTTTAGTTGTTCCGTATCCACTGCGATTGCCCCTGCGATCAAAAGGTGGCGGACATCATCGGTACGTCGGAAGAGGTCCTGAAAATGCTTGCGCCGCCAACCGCGACCATGCAAGCTGGCAAAAATTTGCAATTTCAAGGATCGGAAGAGGTTTTTGACGACGTATAAGTCAATAACTGTTTTTTAGCCTGATGATCGATCAAGGTTGCTGGAGTCGCATCACCTGCTTATGCGTCCCTGTCTAGACCATGGCAAGGCAACCTTCTTGCACCTATCCATGCGAAGCGAGATGCACGACGATTACATTGAGATTACTAGGCATGGACGTTTGTTTGATACTAAGGTTCGTATGGCTTTTCATTTTCCCTAGTTCATCTGCTTCAGATAACTCACGGAGCTTGGGACCCGGCGACTTTCTGCGATCAACTCGTGAAATGGATCGGGGAAGATTCTACCGAAGTTGGCGTTGCGCTTGCACAATTTGTCTGCGATCTCTATGATTTTTTCATCGAGAAACAATTCGTCACTTTGGAAATTGCGAGGATCGGTATGAATTCGTAGTTTTAGCTATCTTTTTGTAGCATTTGTGGCCGGCCTTCTCGATGTGCAGGGCGTCCACGCGGAGATCGACCGTACTGCCACTGCGGACCTTTCGACCTGGAAGTCTCGTGACGGTGTCGATCCCGTCGACTTGGATTCGCTAGCTTGTCAAAACAACGAAACCTGGCGCACCTACACAAAACTCCATTCCCCGATGAAGTCGTTCCTTCATCTGTCGACCGATTACATGCACAACAATGTTTGGACGATGGTTGATGATGCTGACGTGCTCTCTTGTTGCCTGTGGGTTTTAGTTTTCAAATTTATTGTCAATGCAGCGACACCATCAACTCTCTACAAACTTCGAAAACGTCGGCACCAAAGATCAAGTTTGCCGGCTCAGACGAGGCGCCTGCTTTCGATGTGCCCCTGCCCGAGCTCCTGACTGTGGCAAATGCTGGATTCTGTTCTTCCTCCCTTCCGTATGCACAGCAACTTCTCTACGCCAAGAGACTGCTCAAATTTATTGGCGACGGGGAGGGCAAGCAAAAGCGTTTGCTGCTGGTCAGCGCCCAGTTCGATCGTAGCCATGGCGTCGAGGTGAGTGGTTATCATGGCTTTATTAAACCCCGAAATTAGGTGATGACTCGCGCAATGATGTCGGTCAGACAAAGCGCTTTCCCTTGGGAACTGTTGCATGTCTGCATCCACTCTCGTGACTTGGGCTGTGGTGAACGATCCGTAACGGAGCTGCAGAACCTGACCGAACGACTTGGAGCGCGGTTTTCGTTCTTTGATTCGGCTGCTACTATCCAGAAGTTTGTGACTGAGGCCCTTGGCAAATCGGCAGCTGATGAATCACATCCCGTTGAGCAGTCAGATGCGGAACGTACTGAATCGTTCCTGCTCACGGTAAGCGACGGATCGTTCGGCAACTGTTTTGTAGGGTATGGCCTCAAATAGCGACGCGTCTGCCCAATCCAGCACTGACAACACATATGGCTCTGATCAAGCGCTGTCGTGCACCGATTCTGGCGTGCGCTCATCAGCGATTTCGCTCGCCTCCAGCGGTCGCCCAATCCCAGAACAATCTGAGTTGACTGTGCAAGAAGACGTTTCCGGTTCCGTCATCATCCTTGGCCATAATTCCCAGGCCGTTCAGGTATATGCGGTTTTGCGTTTCGTTTATACTCTTAATAGGCAATGTTCGATTTCGATCACTCGCTTCACCGGGTCGTTCCAACAGTCCATGCCTGTGTGAATCCCCTCAATCGTGGAACCACTTATTCAAAGTTCTACCTTGGTAGCCGTCTCATCCACGTCCCCACTTATCCGGATTTCCGTGATGCGCAGCGCAATGACCGGACTTGCACGATCGTTTGTCTCATCCTTGATATTAATTTGGGGTTTTTTTAGGTTTCTTACATCAATGGAGATTCTGTATTCGCCTTGTTGAAAACGCCGCTCATGGAGCATCGCCTCAAAAGTGTCGTTCTGATGGGCGGAAACATTTCGCTGCGCCAGTTGCGCGAATTCACCCTTATGGCTGAGAAATACGAGGTAACACACGCGCCAATCGTTGCATTATATTTAGTGTCCCGTCATCGGGCCATCCAGTGCTGGCGGTCTGTTCGAGGGCCCGACCCTGATTTGCAACAACACCTCAAGCAAGCCGTTTGTACCTCTGCTTCGAACCAATGGAAACGTCGCCGTAGTCACGAAGATTGGCGGCCGGTGGAATGGATTGCTGGTCGATGTGTATAGAACCATCAGGTAATTGGCTAGTTCGGTTAATAAGTTTTTTTAGCGAGAACACGTTTGGCCTGTGTGGTGCTGTCGACATCGGAATGGGCCGTTTCCATGGCACGGGTCTTCTCAAGCAGATCTCTGTGTTCGATAAAGATCCGAGGTAATTCTTGTCGAATGGTCCCGAATTCTTTAGGGTAAAATTCGTTGTGATGATCGGGACGGCCGAGGGCAACGATGAATATGAGGTCGTCGAGGCTCTCAAGGATGGCAAATTGTCAAAGCCTCTCATTGCACTTTGTATCGAACGCGGTGCCATGCCCACTATGCTCTCGGTAAAAGTTTTCCTTTGCGAGAAAGTTTGAATATTGTAGAGCCCCTCAGCTACAAAAGCCGTGGAAAAGAACAAAGCTTTGAATGCGGCCGGTGCTCGCGTGCCCAATGGCTATGCTGACTTAGGTAAGAGATATTCTCTGAGGTTTATTTCCTTTTAGAGAACGTGTTGAAGGAAGTAGACCAGCATTTGGTGAAGAAAGCCATCGATGGTCAGGCGGCTACACTGTCTCATCCTACGGCCCTTGGTGAAGAGTGGGCACGAGAGGTGATCAGACCACCGGTCTTTTCATACGATTCGTTGGTCTCGACTGCGCGCAATGGGCAGCACACATATGCAGGACATGACGTTTCGCAGTCCTTCTCTCAGGTTGTTATTTTTCTTTTTTTGTGAACGATTTTAGGCGTACTCGCTGGGATGTAGCCTTTCCCTGCTGTGGTTCAAGCGAGAGCTACCGACGTTTTGCTACCAGTTCTTCGAAATGACATTATTGCTTCTTTCGGATGTTGGGACTACGACCTCTAACAACACCGTGGTGTGTGCCCGATCTGGCAACGACCCAATCTCCTCGCTTGTATCGGGGATGCTGGCTACGGTATTGATTTATCGGTCTAGCTAGTTTATTTTTTCAGAGCAACGAGGTGAATCTCGAGCAAACCTTGCGAGAATTCCGTGAAGCCCGCAACAAGTGGCTGGCTCCGAGAGAGGTGGTGATATCTATGAAAGGGAAGCGCCTTCGCGGCATTGGCTATCCTGCTAAGGCCACCTTCCCGGACCCGCGGTCTGATCTGCTGCAACAGTTCGTAACCGAGCTGAAAGATTCCAAGGTCATCAAAGAAACGCCACTCTATGATTTTGCGAAACAGATCGCTGACATCACGTCGAAAATCGTGAGTTTAATTTCCGTGTATCGAGGTATAACCGTCACTTTAGATGCCAAACCTCTTGCTGAATCTTGAAGGAGCGATCGCGGTCCTGTTTGACGACTTACTTCGTGCTTCGGGAGCCTTCACCAACTTGGAAATGGACCAGCTGCACACTGCCGGATATTTGAACAGTTTCTCGCTTTTGAGCAACATCACTGGATTCATTGGTTTGTTCTTTGCTGGCGATTACTGATTTTGCTTTAGGACAATACATCGAAGAATCCACGGATTCAATGCACCCATTCAGCAGCAAGCGTGATCATATCGCCTTCTTGTTGCCGGAGGCAGACGTTGAGCCAAGTCCGTGCCGTGATTACGGCTACCACAAGTTCTCCTCCCAAGCGCCTTCGAAAATGCCGGAGGTTACGTGCGTCAGCCCCTTCGAGCCAGTCGGATCATTTTTCGCGACTGTGGCTGAGGCCGAATGATATTGTTCTTTGTCTTTCTGTGAATATTTTCCCTGTGATTTCTGATCTCTGTGCCATTGGTGATTCTGTCTGTCATCATTCTGTGATTTTTTTATTTTGATAAAGGCACTTCTCTCCATCGAGGAGAGACTACAAGCATTCGAAATGGCATATGGAACTGGAATTTTGAGACGGAGGTCATGCTAAGCATTCGTAAAACAGTTTACATCATTCCATCCGCCGCTGCTAATAATTTCGCGTGAAAAGTTCAAAAAGCAAAAATTTTGACCCCTGAGTGACTCGAACACCCAACCTTTCGATCTGGAGTCGAACGCGCTACCATTGCGCCAAGGAGTCGTCGGGTAGAGGGCCGACAGGCGCCTCTATGAGGGAGCGGTGAGAGAGTGGGGCCTTCGGAGAGGGCAGCCGCCTCCCCCTTTCCTCTTTCCCACAACTGCTACGTGATTGGACTTGATGGTAACAAGCTAAATTTTTGGAACGAATTGAGCGTATAAATTTGTGCTGAAAATACTAGAAATCACATGGTGAATGAGAGCATTAAATAGGCATAGAAAAAAATATAGAACTATAGAAAGAAAAGCGACAATGTTCACGCATGCCTTTGTGAAAGCAGCCCACGTCTCTTGGCGATCGTAACAAATAACCTAAACAATTCTGGACAGCAAGCCTATAAATTTACCTATCCAACAGCTCCTTATACTTTTCCGGGTAGCTCCTCATATGGGCGACGTGTTCCGAGTCGAGAAAATCGTGATAAAGCACCGTCTTCCCTTGCAGTTCCTGCCATTCGATGAACTCACGAATCATCCTAGAACGCCTGATTAGTATTCATGTACAATTTACGGTGCGCGACAGATCAAATCTTTCGACGAGAAGAGGTACATCTGATTTTGCGGCATATCCGGATGCTCTTTCAGGAAAGTGAAGGCGTCCATTTGGGTCAGCGGAACCTTGCCTATAGTACGCGCTATCTTCCCCTAAAAAGATCTTCCACTTTATAAGCAGCAGTTTACCCGGATGTGCGCAAACGACATCAGCAACCCTAGGTAATTCCTGTAGACAGCAGCAATCGCCTTTTGTACAGGGCCCATTTTCCGGGTGACGTCGGCGAAGACCTCGTCAAGGACGAGCGTGTACGCGCTCACTTCTTTGAAGTACACCGGCCCGCTAAAAACCGTATCATAATGTTAAATAACAGTGACACGCCTATCCATCGTCAGGCCGTCAGTCCTTTTCAGCAGATCGATGAAGCGTTTGTGGTATAGGAGAGTGCATAGGGTGAAGACGCCATTCATACTAAATAAATAGTGCATAGATGAAGCTCTAATTTTTTAATACACCTGTATGTATGAATGAGTAGCCGGCGGCCAGGATCAGCTAACTCGCTGTCCAACGTTGGAACCAACCCATCAATATCTCTGCTTGTCTAAGAATATCTTTACCTCGTGAAAATAGAAAATTTACCTTTAGATACAACGGATGCTTGCCATCAAACGCTGAATTGAACATGATCGTCTTAAACCTAAAACTAGGATTAAACATACAAGTACGAAACATACCCTTTATTGTTGTAAATTTCCGCATGCTTGGCCACATGCTTATCCTGTGCACCAGCCCAGCCAAGGAGCAGCACCGTAGTATCGGCTGGAATTTAAGTTTGTCAACGATAAATTCCCAACTTTACCTGCTATCCGATGCGGGCTTCTCAAATCGGGTGCGCCGACGATGGCGTTTACCTTCTTGGATTTCTAAAATGAGTTTTCTAAGTTGTGCCCAAAAACTTGCCCCGTAATCCTTGCTGATGGAGCCGAGGAAATTGTAACATCTAGGTGTCACCCGCATGCTTTTCCTGTAATATATTTATTCATTGTCGATCTCTTTTGGGTGAAAGGAGAGTGAAAAACACTAGTCCGTAGATTTGCATACAAAAAACATTACATCCGGAAGGCGCCAAAAATTTCCCTGCGATTCCCATTGAAAAAGGATTTCACTCACCCTCCCCATTTTCAGCTAAAGGTCTTCTTTCGAGTGCTTGTGCTTTCCAACAACTTGCAATGAGCTACGCATTTGTGAGTTTTTATGTTTTTTTTGGCCATGCCGAGATTCAGAACTTTGATGCGGAGGCGAACCCGTATTCGCGTGTGTACGACCGGCGCCGCGCGCTGTTGGGCAGCGTGCTCAGTCGTCCGCGTGTTCCATCGGCATCTCGCTCGCGTAGCTCGACCAGCAGCTACAACCCGTACGAGTCGGTGATGCGTGACTCCACCCAGGTAACGTCTGCCGTACTTGCCGAAGACGTCGGCTAAAGTCTCGGCCCCGTAAAGTCTTTCGCTACTTGTGACGACTCTAATTTATATTCCTCTACAGAAAAAGATGAACATCCTCTTACCGTTGAACGTCTACTGATTTTAGCAATTCATCGGGACCCGGGCCGAAGACTCGAAGTACGACCTCCTGGCGGTGCCCGACCAGTTCGGCGGCTCGTGGGGGCTGAGGGATGAGGATTACTTTGCCTGCCCCACCACCCAGGCCTCGCGTTCCAACGTGAAGCCCGTCGGCAAGCGTCTCCTGTCCGCCGAGAGCCACGCCGACATCCGTGCCCTGCCCAACCTCTTCGGCCCGTCCAACTCGCGTTCCGCCCACTCGCCTGCAAGCCAGGTGAGCCTACTCGTCCAAGCTACCTAGTAAACCGTTTTGCGCTTTCGATTGGATTTTATCTCAGTAGTCTCGTAGAAAATCTAAATAAAAATCTTACAAAACATTTCCAAAAATTTAATTTTGGCCATTTTCAACATTTCCGATCAAAAATCATAATTTCAAGTGTTACAAACAGCCTAAAAAAATGTCCCGAATCCGTTTCTTTCTAGCTGCATGGCATCGGACGCTCTTCGGCTGAAGACATCTACATGATTCCGGAGCCATTCCATGCAAGTGGAATCTCGCTTATCGATTTCGGTGCCTTAGGACAAGATCATCCCGCGCCTCGACCGCCACTCGACCCGTGAAGCCGAGTCGAACCCGCTGCTCGGCGCGACAAGGAACAAGCGGGTGCTCACTGCCGAGAGCCAGGCCGATCTGCTCGGGCTCCCGGACGTCTTCCCCGACGCCCGCGAACGCAGCGCCCGCTCCAGCCGCTCCAATCGGGCCATTGGTGCCACCTCTTCGGTAACCTCGTCTCGAGCACAATACCCTATCTTTTCTTTAGTACCGCATCGGAGGGCTCGGCTCGGCGTCGCTGTACGACATCCAGATGCTGGACAACCCGTTCGAGACCCAGTCGCAGTACTGCCTCGGTGCTCTCAACGGCAATGGCAGCCGCTCGAGCACCGGGCTCGACCGTACCTACAACAAGCGTTTGCTCACCGCTGAAAGCCACGCCGATCTCCGCGCCCTGCCTCCGATCTTCACCTCCCGCAGCAGCAGCTACTATCGCGAGGTTGATCAATGAACAAGAAGGTATAATAATTTGTTTAGCCCCTGAGCGCCGCTTCGGAGCACCAGTTCAACACCGCGCCGAGCCGTCCCGACGATCTCGGTAGCGAGCGCTTCACGGTGTCGATCCCGATCGGTGCCGGGCGTGGTGGCAGCAATCAGGTACACTCCACTGAGCACAGATAAAAATAACAACTTTGGTGCTTGAACAAGCATGCGGCTACCGTTACTTCCGTTTGCGATCTGCAGGGGTTGCCCAACTACTTTGGCGACAACAACAATTCCGGCTACGAGGTAGCTCGATTCAAAAGATTCCCAGAATACGCAATTGCAGCTGCGCCTCCGCGACTACTCGATCCAGTCGATGGATGACCTCCGCCGTCTCCCCGATCCTTTTGCCGGACGTGGTTTTGACGATGATTGGGCCATCCGCACGGCTCGGGCTCAGGGCTCGCACCTGGTCAGTCGTGAGTGGCCGCCACGCCAAACAAGTCTATCGATGTTCAGATTACTGATTGTGCCTCGGCTTCTTCCTCTGACGAAGACGCTGAACTGGTCGGCACTTGCGGCTGCCAGAAGCATCTTCTCCGCACCTGATTCCCCACCCTCACTTGACCCTCTCTCGTCTTCTACATTAATAAATGAATTTTAAGGGAATTGCAAGGTTCGCATCACAAACACTCAGAAGAAGATCGAATTTAACACTCAAAAAGTTTGACAATTCAAAAACCTTTCGGTGCCGAGCCATATTTGTTGCTATTTATGGCGGTGAAAGGCAATAAACTTTATTCAAATATTCAACAACGATTCAAGGCACCGCAGGTTTACCAGAGACAAAATGACAAAATCGAAACAGAAATTCTAGCGAGTAAACTATGCGGAAATAACAATCTAAGACGTTTTCTTGTTGGCTCGTTTCACATTTTCCATCAAACGTGAAAAAGCGCGTTTCTCGCTTGGAGGCAGGTTGGTTGCCAAGCAAGCTGGAAACAAAAAAGCATTTAAAAAAAGATCGTGCGACTCACCAGATAGTTTCGGGCGCATGATTGATGTAAGTCTAATGAACGTCAACGGTAAATGTTCCCAGCCGAGGACCGTGGATGCCAGCGTTCCGGGAATAGTCTGAACTTGCTTTGAACGTATTGTCGAAGCAAAGATACCATTTCGAAAAATTCCTCATATGTCGAGATTCCTCCCACAATCCGCTCACAACTATCGCGAAGTTGTGGAATCTGGCCATCGCCAGGGTTTTTTTCGACAAACGATGTCACCTTTTGCAAATACAAGCCTAAACATTGAGATCGTGAGCGACCATGAGGTAAATTACCGAACAGTCCAATGTACGTTGCGCAACGATCATGCAGAATTTTGTGGGGAGCGGCTCGGAGTAACGAACTAAGCAGTTTGCCGCAGTGGACCAGGGCATAGCTGTTCTCCGAGAGTTTCTGCAAAAAAATGTAGAGTTATAGGTAGCTAGAAACAAAACCTGGCCGGGCAGCGTTAGCAGATTCAAAACCAAGCTCGTCATTAGGCCGACCAAATCGTTGATGGCATTCTTTGGGGCACATAGGTTCTGGAAAAATGTTTGAATTTCGAGACCAAAACAGTAATACCTGAAGGATGGTAGCAGACAACTGAATCGATTCCTCCATTTCACAAGAGTTCGAGAGTATTGTTCGGAGCTTTTCGACAATCGGGTCCACGAATTTCTGAAAAACAGCATTCCGTGGATAATTATTTTCCCTTACCTGCAACTTCGGGCACAGAACAGCGTCAAGGGCAAGTAAGAGCTTCGAATTGTTGCTTGTAATTGGGTAAGAATCGATGAGCTTGACGAGCTGGAAGGAAATTATAATAATTTCATAGCGAGCGCATCATATAACAAGATAGATAAAATACCGACATCAGGTGGCTGAGCCTTCTCAACAATCGTGGCCACCAGATGCGGCTCAATCGCCGCCAGGATCTCCCAATCGAGCAGCCGTTCAATGTGTGCCTATGCCAAATACGTAACTACCAACTATAAATATACCTTCTCGATCTTGCTCGACTCCTTCAAAAACGTGGCGGCGCGCAACTTGAAAAACTCGAGGGCAATCGACTTCTGTGAGGACGTAGCGGCATGGTCCGTGATGCTATTGAAGGCAAAGCTGTAAAAGAATAAAAATTAATGGGCGCGAAAAGAATATTCTCACTCAGCCAATTTCTTTCGCCTCTTTGAATCGATGACGTTCAATTCGATGGCCTCATTCACATTGTCCCTATTCCACGAAACAAGAGCATCGAGCAGGCAAGTTCCTAACTGCCGCCCCTCTCCATCAAAAGTCGCTTTCACCAAATGCGTAACATCTTCGGCCGAAATCCAAAGGAATTGCTTGCTGGCGTAAAGCAGCGTTATCATACCTGTGATATACTGAAGGCCCCGCTGGATGCCAGCCGCAGCTTCGCCACCGTAAATAAGTCGCGGGTTTCGGCGGAGGGTTCGGCTTTCCGTAGCTTCTTCAGGAGCTTTTGGTTGCATGCGAATATACGCCAGATAAGAGAATAGATCTTGAACAACTCGGCGCCCTAAATTCGGGGCGAATTATTGAGAATTTAATCCAAAAACCTCTGGAAATGATGGGGCATCCAGAAGAGCAGTCGTGATCTCCTCATTTGGAAGTGTTGTCAACTTCACGGCCACATCCGTCTAAAAGATTGAAAGTATAAAAAATAGATAAATAGAGATGCCGTACCGATTGTTCGACGATCAGCGAATATAGAATATCCCACGATACGATCGACAACGAATTATCTGGCGACTTCGTCCCGCGGATAACCAAGCTCTAAGACGAAAAAATGTAAGATGTCGTCACAATAAAACTAACAATCATAGCGGCAAATTTATCTGCCGTCATCTCCCGCGCATCTACACAGGTGAACAACCGTTTCAAAGACGAGTGATCCTAACATGTAACCAGGTTAAAGCAAAAATTAAGCTAGTTTACCACAGACACGGCTGCAATTCCCTTCTTACGCTTTTTCTTCACTGGTTCGCTATCCGTCCCCTCATTCTAAAAATCAATCAAACCCAAAAATATTCCGCTACCTCAAAGCTGGTTCCCAGGACAGAAACTAATGCCGTGGATAGCGGATCCCAAAAAGATTCGACATCGCTGCGCAAAATAAGGTTTGATTCGGCGATAGATTCTTCGAGTTCATCCACCTAGAGCGTGTACAGAATTAGTGCGAAAGAATGTCCTTACCTTGTCAAAAGCCAAAAAAGTTTTAATGGCGAACACCAGTTTCTCTGCAAAATTTTGTTGGTAGCGGATTGAGGTAGCATGTCGCAAAATGTATCGGCTCATCTAAATTTGGTTTCATTGATGAAAACAGTGCCCAACCGTGGCCTGGGCGTTCATATCCCAATCGACGTCATTTGAAGGCACATCGGGGAGCGCTGGGTGCTTTGAAGCCGCCTTTGTCGAAAGACACTCAATGAGCAAAGTGAAGAATGGATCACCCTGGAAGGGAAGGTGAATCTCGTAGACAAAGCTTACCTCAAAATCAACCAATCCTGAGCCAAAGTCATTTCGTGACGAAGCCAAATCTTTGTGCAAGAAAATATACACGTCAAAGTAGGTTTGGAGCAAGGGATAAATCAGGCCTAAGAATTCAGATAAGATCGCTGCTAATAAACATACCTTTGGCAGTAGACCGAAGTGAATTGATCGTCGAGGGCAGATAGTCGAGGATGAAGTGGCACAATTTTTCGGATCCAATAACATTCATATGCTGGATCGCGTGGTTGATCAGAAATATGATGTTGCGTAGACCGTCAGACGTTGTTGTCGCCTTCTCCGCCAGCTTCTTCAAAAGCGTTGATGCTGAGCCGACAGCGAGTAGGCGGTAATGTTCAACGAGGAATTCCAGGTGCCCCTAAAATAAACCTAATCAACACAAAAATAAGTACTTACGGAAGTCAGCTTTTTGCAGATTGCAGAATGAGCGATTGATTGTTGGACAATCACGTCGATAATCTCATCTCGATCAACGGTAGACCGAAACGTGGCGAAAAGCTCGGTGGCGTCGGCATCAGGAGCTGAAAAACACAAATTAAGAGTACCCCAATACCCAAAATCTTAACAAAAGACATTTTCCCGAAACGGTCAGTTCTTATCGGCAAGGTAATCACTATGCGAATGGGTGTAGTGGACCCTTCTCATATCCGAATTTCTGCATCATTCCGTTCGGTGGGGTGGGGGGGGATCGAACCCGGGTCGCAATCCTTAGCGGCCAGCGCACTACCATTATGCCACACGTGCACCCCAACTGGGGCTGGGAAGGGCGCCTTTGGCAGTGGCGTGTTCAAGAAAACGCGCACCTGTTAGTGCGCGATGAACGGTGCCTTCAATGTCCTTGGTGCCGGCAATCTCTCGGACTTTCTTCAAGAATCGAGATCCTAACATGTTTGCGGATCTAAAAATTCATTATACAGAATTTATAAAAATTGTAATTTTATTTAAAGGGATGCCGACGGCATAGTCAATCGGTTACGCGTTGGAAAGAAAATGTCTCTGCGCCTCTCCCCGGGGCGCGCTCTCTCCCCTGTTGGCTACTTGCCAATTTGTTGATGAGGGGGGATCGACACATGCCGTCGGCAGCCCTTTAAAATAATCGGTTTGTCGATATTTGAAACAAAACGTTTTGAAAAATTCGAAAAATGCTCCGTAAGAATTCCGTACGGCTACTTCGAACAGTAACGTATGTAGCTGTTCGGTGGAGCTGCCCAACTTTCAGGAATCGGAAAACGCGCTTTTGTAAAATCAAAATAGAAAAAATCACTATATTATTAAAAGTTATTAAAAAACCCATTTTTTTCCTTTTTACCTCAACGTTCGGCTCGATCACGACGATTGGCGACGATTGGCTGGTTGTTGCTAAACACGCTGTTGTATTTCCGCCGTTGGATGAGGTAATCCAGAACGTTTTGCTAAACCCTTTTTTTAGGACATCATCTTCCACAAACCAGGCAATCCTTCGTGATGAGCCTGCGTTCGGCGAGGGCTTTCAAAGTTTCCGGATTCCAGCGATAGATTTCCGCGAGACGACGGACCGCCAAAGCTTCCAAACGTTGTACTAAAACTTGGCGTGAGTTATTTTTATTTAAACTTGCCTGGGTAATAGATTGCGACAATTTCCGAGCCTGAAGCGCTTGCAACGAAGGTCTAAGCGAATTATTAGTAGAATGAATTTTTGACGAACCTCAGCTAGTTGTCGTTGTCTTCCGGTTCGACAAGAAAGGATATCTCCGTTATCGTGTTTCCGGAAAACCTAAATTTTGTTCTCGGCTATTTGGCCAGAGGATACCCAGACGTGGCGTGCAAACGTGGTTATATCGAAGAATGATTTTGCGCCAATGGTGGTGTAGAGGATGGGACGGCCCTAAGCGTAGCCATTACACAGCCTGATCATGTAAGTTACTTCGAAATCTATCCAGATAAGGTCGACGTTTGTCTGGGAACAATTATAAAATCGAATATTCACTCGATCCAAAGTGTGTACGCTGCGTAGATCGTTGATTCCCGGGATTCCGTAAGGTATCGTCGCCTGACTCATGCAGGGTCGAGGCCGGAGCCGTTTGCCTGCTAATCAATTTATTTTCAGAGGATTTTCCCTCTCAGAAACTGATTTTAACGGTATAAATTGGATTAACAGAACGAGTTGAGGGAAGAGATCAGGCCTTGTTTTGCCTAGTCAATAGGACTCTCTTGTCGCCCAATAGGACGGCAGCCCCCCAAGCAAATATATAGCCGCGAAGACAAACTTCTATTTTATTCCCAAAAATGCATAATGGCGACAACAACCTGGCTAGTACCTCTGGTGCGAATTGTGGAATGGGGTAAGGATAAAAGTAAGTCGAAATCTAGGAAAAATCCAGAAAAACGCCTTCGGCATCTGCGTATGTATACGGGACAAACGGCTCTCCTCAGTCCAACGGCTTCTTCTACAACAAAGAATTGCGAGAAGTTCGAGAAAGAAGCAAAAGGTAAGATATCCATCCTAAAACTAGAATTCGAGTTTCCAGATTTTTCCCGGAAAAGCTGAAGCAGTTCAGGGATGCCGATTCGGTGAGAATGAAATTTTAACCGAGGATATATTGCTTACTTTTCAGTCCTACTACCATGGGCTGAGCAGCAAACTCGATCTTCCGATGGCGCGCATCAAGAAGATTATGAAAATTGATTACGACCTGGAAGGACAGGTTTTTCAAAATTGTTTGTACAAAAACGGCTTATAGATGATCGCTCAGGATGCCCCATTGTTCCTCTCCAAAGCGACTGAACTGTTCATCCAAGAGTTGACCCTAAAATCCTGGGCGTTCACTGAAGAGCAGCGTCGAAAGACTATTCAAAAAGTGGGTGGAGCAGAATCGGGAATAGACAATGATTTCAGCTTGATATCGGTGCAGCATGTGCTCGTGACGAGCATTTTGATTTTCTAATCGATTTTGTGCCAAGGGAAGAGGTTCGAAAGGCCGGATTTGTAAGTCAAAATTTTAATCATTATATTTTTGGTAGTTGGCCAGCCAGATGAAGTCGCCAACTTCAATGGATGGTGACGCGGAAATGAATGGGCACAGCTTGGTAAGGAGTTTCGGCACTTCTGCGATAATCATGTTTTAGAGTCACGGCTCACGCCCCGGGACAAACGATTTGATTGTCAGTGAGGTAAATATTTGAATATTTCTAACAACCGTGTTTTAGGCAACACCTTCTTCAACAGCCGGCGATCCCTCAGCACATCAGCATCGCCATGCCGAGGTTTTCCGCGGGGTAATCTTTCATCTATGTTTTTACATAGATTTTAGCACCCGGCCATATCAACGACAGTGAAGCCGGATCAATAAAATATTACTTATGATTACACTTAATGAAATTTTTGCTTTGTCGATAAAGTGTCATACGACGTATTTTTTCACCAAGTCCGATTCTGTCCTTATCAGATCATACCGCTTTTCGTTACAAACCTATTTTTTAAGTTGTACCTTTTCTAGAACTATGAATACGCCCAAGAAGGCTCCGGACGATCGACCTGTGGTGTGCCAGTTTGTCCACAACAAGCTAAAGAACTATGAACAGGTACAAATTTACCATCATCCTAAAATGTTTCAGATTGGTCTGTTTCAAATTCAAAACGCGAATCGTCAATCCGAGCTTGTGGTGGAAAATTCGGTAATATTGTCTTGCTGATAGATTTATATTTTTCTAAAGGACGCGAAAAAGGTTCAACTTATTGGTGGCGTTGCGAGTGCGGCTGCAGGATACGATTACGTGCTGGCCAAGGTCGATAAAAATACGGGCGAGGTCAGCGGTCCTTTTGAGATTTAAAATTTTTGTTTTAGACCGTCTACAGTGATGTCGACTTATATAATTTCACAGCTGAATATTGCGACGATTTGGACATGAGATTGGGTAGAAAGTATGTGGTTCGAGGGTTCGGTTGACGCTTTATTTAGGCGGAAATCCATGGTGAATTATGTGGAGAACAAGGTGCCAACGACGTCCATGGCCGAAGCGAAACTGAGTCTGGCGATGAGTTTTGGAGACTCGAAGCGGACCAAATTTATCGAGAAAAGTGATAAGCGTCTGTTGCAAGAGGTAAATTAAGCTCATTTATTATTTTTTTTTTGTTTAGACGGCGCACAAAGATATGCAACTGGCCACTTTTGCGTCCGCTCCTTCAGTGGATAAGGTCAAGAAGGAAGAGATTACGACCGAAGGGGTCTTGTCAGCAATTAATAATGTAGGGCATTGTGGGACCGAACCGTCAACCAAATTTTTAGGATGTTTCTGGAGCTCTACCCGTTGCCGTCAAAGAAGCCGCTCTGCCGAATGATGTGTACCCAATGTCATTGTTTATCGGGGACGAAACTGTAAGAATTTTTCTTATAGATTGGCGCGAATTCAGGTACTGGACTGTTAGCGGTGCGGAGAGGCTATCTAGACTTTACGAAGCCAACATTTTCAGCGTTTTCTAGCTTGATTTAAACGATTAAGAACACTATAAAACGCTAAAAAATTTTGCGGGGTCATTTTAAAAATTCTTCAAAACGTTTTTTAAAAAGTCGGCCATAAACCGATAATTTTCAGATTACGTTGTTTGTTCCCGACGCTAAGGTTCTGATGGCCAAAGCTAAGGACGATTTTGAAACTACAGTCTTCGGCCGACCCTTTAATAGTACGTGTTGCCCTTTGAATTGTTATTCTTATTGCAGAGTTCCCGTCACCATTCCACAATTGTTTGTCGGGTGCGATTAAAGATGAACGCCGAAACACGTTGACGTATGTCTGTGCGGCCATGCTTTTTGTTGCAAAGGTGACGCACCGGCTGTAATTCAACATATTATTATTTAGACAGCCCGTGCAAGGTCGACGATTACCGAGCAAATCTATACAATGTCGGCTTTCCAGCCTATCATGGTTGACTGGGTCACCAATCGTTATTTTTGTGAGAATCAGCTTGTGTTTGAAAACGGTTGTTATAGCCGGCCAACGCAAATACAAATTTATGAAGAAAATGGCGGCGGTCGAGCAGTGGACGTTGATGGTGGGCAAACTGGAAATCGATCGTTTGATGGCACACACTTTGGCGATGGCGCTAGTTATAGGTATTTTTATTTATCGTGGGTAATTTGTATGGAAATAAAAATGTTGCAATTTTGTAGACATTTAGTTTGTCGTAACCAGAATTTCTGAATTTCAGCATGTCGCAAATAAAGCGCGAACTGCTTTTTACATGTTTTGTGTAGTGATGGAAAATAATGACACTGTTATTATAATTTTGAAAATTAATTCGAAAAAAAAGGAAAATTAATTTCAGGGAAATGAATTTCGAAATACTAGTTTTCGACAAATCCAAAATTTTGCTTTCATAAAACTGAACCCGCGTTTAGATCCGGAAAACAAGATCTACAGCAAGGATTGGGCAGAGTATACGAAAATCCCAATCACCGATCTACAGCGAACACTCGAGGCCCTGGGAGCGAAGAAGGAACTGACACCGGCAAATCTGCAAATTTCGAAAGGGTTCGTGCTTTTGTCGCTTTCGAACTTTCGTTTTTTTCAGGAAATTTGTGCATGTGCTTCGAGGCCCGCCCATGCCCGCCAACGCCCGAAGGTTTGCAAGGAGAAGCAAATAGCCGTGTTGTTTACTTGTTTTTTTTGGTTGATGATGTCTTGTTAAGTTTGATAAAGTTTACCCTTGGTACTAATTGTCGGAAAAGACATTTATTTTTATAACTGTTACTTTTTCAAAAACGCATTTTAATATTCCCAGGGGGTTGGGGGAGCCCAGGAATAGCCTTGTTGTGTTGGCCTTGTGCCATTGTCGATAAGCTTTTGGGAGGTAGGGACTGGGGAGTGCAGTCTGGCTGTGTCTTTTGCCTCTCCGAGGTTGCCATACTCCATCATCGGTGCAGCCGCATCCTTTTCCCCATTCGCTCGAGCTGGCCTCCTTCTCATTTTTTGGCAAAAACACGTGCCCCTTTCTCGCACGCTGCATTTCGATTTAGACAAGTTGTACCAACGTTTTTTTTATGAAAAATAAGTGCTTGAATCTTCAAGGAAATTTCAGATACCTAATTTCTTGCTGGTAGTTGCATATTCATCCCCACCTTGACCCCTTTGTTTACAAACACTCTCGATACTAGCGCGATTGAATGCTTTCGCAAAGTGATAAGGCTGTCGGTGCGTGAAGGTCTCGATCCTCTGTCACATTGCAGCGCCTGGGGGCATCGATCGAGACGCGCACATGTTGATTCTAGCCACACGTATGATCCCAACAAAAAGGTGTGGCTAACTTTGTCGATGTTCCCGTAAACGTCATATAATATATATATATAAACTGTTTTAAAGATATTTTACGCCTTTTCTAGGTATAAAAATTAGAAAAATGTTGGCAAAGTTTGGCTTTTGTAAAAAAACCCATGAAAAATCGTCAAAATTTAACCTTTTTGAATCGTTAGATGTTTTTATAAATTTTAGTGATCTACAAAAAAAAAATAGTTACTATGGAGGTTGCGCTGAATAAGGTAATGGGATTTTCCCACCCCCGGTAACGAACAAGAAGCAGAACCAGGTTTTTCCAGATTTTTTTTTAGTACAACCATACTTTCTGAATATATTGGTTATACAACCGGGTATCGGCCACCCAATCCCTTCTCCTCAAGTACCGGTGAGCGTCTCCTCCTCCGGATTGTGTGCAGGGATCTTCTCGCGCTATTTGTCTATTTGTGTGCACATCGATGTCGCCTTTTGCCTCTTTCTCCCCGGCGCTCTCCCTCAATTTCCAAATCTCTCGCTTCCCCCTATTTCCCCTTTTTGCGGCTGCTATTCAATTCCCACGCCTCTCCCCCGCTTTTCACAATCCTCACAGCCGGCTGGCCGAAATAACTTTTGCATATCGTGGCGTTCCCTGATTCCTGAACAAAGTGAATGATGAGTTCTGGTCTGTTAGCGGGGGGCTAAAAAGGGAAAGAACTTGCTTTATTCAGCCATTGCAATAAAACATAAACTATGTTTTATTGGTTTTTTAGTGCTTTAGTAGTAGTAGTAGTAGTTTTCGTCAAGAAAAAGCGCTAAAGTCAAACTTGTTACCATTTTAAAAAATGGCATTTTTCATAAGGTTTTACCTAAAATAAATTGTTGGTAATTTTTAGGAACTTTTTATATAGAAAAACGCGAAATGCTATTAAAATATAAATAAATCATATTTCACATTATTCGGTATCTGCGGAAATGCAGTAAAATCAGTTCCCTAGGGAAACGGCTAACCCCCCGCTAACGAACCAGAGCTAATGAAAACAATAAGTTGCGGTTTTGCTCCCATGGTTCTTGATCTGTTCCCTGTTATCGTGGTCACGTTTTTTTATCAGAAAATTTGATGGAGCAACAGACCCCCCCCGAGAAAGGTCTCATACCCTTTTGTTCTTATCTCTCTCAGCCCCTCGCTCTCTTTTCACCCTTCCCCTGAAATTTGAAAAACGATCTGTGCCAGGAAAGTGGCTTATCTTTCGCTGTCTTGGCGTCCCCCACCACTTCTTCAAACGTTCCCTTTTCTCTCAATAAACATCGATTTATTTTTATTAGTGCGACTATTCTTACATTTATAAACCACTTTATTATGCTCTATATTTTGTTTGAAAAACCCTCTATTTTACTCTATTTTTTATGAACATTTCCAAAAGAATACCTTTTCCAGAAATACTCAGCTGGGACAAAGATAGCCACTCTTCATGGTTCGCCGCCAAAAGACATCCGAGCTATCGGGCACCACCGTAAACGGAAGATCTCTGCGACAACGTTTTGAACTTGACGACGAAGACGGTTTGTTGATATTTTTTGTTTCTATGCTATTCACGTTCAGGAATCTCTCGCCGTGAACTTGAGCACGCGCTGAGGCTCTCTCTGGAAGAGTCCAGGAAAGAAGCGGAAAAGAAGGTTGGTAGGGCTGATAGTAGACACTTTTATCGCTGTACTCTGACTACTCACTGGTTGCAGGGCACCCCAAAGAAAGAGACGCAGAAGAAGGAGGCAAATAGCTCCGTCAAGAAGACGCCCACTAAGCGAGCCGCCCCCGAACCCAGTAACACCTCTGTTTCTTTATAAGTAAACTGTGTTTTTAGAAGAGACACCCCCTGCTAAGAGTGCAAAGGTCACAAAGGCCGCCCCAAAGCCAAAGCCCAGCCCGAAAAAGGACGAGAAAAAGGGTAAACCCCTGAAGAAGAAGGTGAGCACGCTTTTGGGTCTAATGCCATTTTTTGCAGATCGTCGAAGAGGAGGAAGAAAGCGAGGGCACTGAGGAGGAGACCCCGAAGGAAACAAAGCCGAAAAAACCCGCCCCAAAGACCGAGAGGAAGACTACGGCAGGCAAGGAGCCCTCAGAGGCACTAATTTCATATTATAAAATTCGGGGGGATGAATAGACCATAAAAAAAGTGTTTTTGAGTGTAAAAACGAACTCTTGTAGATTTACATTTTAGCCAAAAGCGAAAAACCACCTGAGGGTCTAAATTGTCGGTAATTTCGCTTTTTCGGGATTTTGGCGGTGTCATTCGCAAGAGCGAATAAAAATATGCTAGGAGCTGCGATTACAGGTCAAAATAATGGAATACAATCTTTTAAACAAAAACGATCTAACAAACAATTCAACAGTGTTGCTTACGACCCATGTATTTGAGGATTACAACTTTCCCCCAATGTGGCTTTGCATCATTTATTCAATTTTTTAGAAAGCAAAAAAAGGCCGCGGCCGCCAAGCAGAATCGGAGAGTAAATTTCTGACCGGCGCTTCGGACCTCGTCACGTTATTGGCCACCGCCACAGAGGTAGATTAGCCACCGTAGATTGGCTAAAATACGCCCATTTAGATACTTGGCCCACAGTGCGACACAATCTGATCGACCAAAGACCCACCTCACCGCTCACACCCATTTTCTGCCGCTGCCCCCTCCTCAGTTTCGTGTCCTCTCGAGATGAAGCCTCTACTAATATCTCTCGGATACGTCATTTCACTCCTCATTTTCCAATCAGGGTACGGTTATTTATTTGAGAATTATCCATAAATAATAAAGCGTTGCTATCGTTGTCTACACCAAAAGGCCAAGCACATGCGAGATGGCGGGTCGAGCTGTGGCCCTTGCAAAGACAGAATTTCCAGTTTTCTTCTGAAGCGCAAAGAGCTTCACAATCGCTCGTCGTGCAGTGATGTACGTGTCTCCACTAAAGATTGTTGGATGCAGCCTAAATTTGGACGGGTAAGGATTGACCGTGAGCTGACTTGGAAAATACTTTTTCTGAAATATACTAACACTCGTTTTTAGGTTATTTTTGTCGTTATTGATGCTCTCCGATATGATTTTCTGGCTCCAGCACCCCCAGCAAGCACCGCACCCTATCTGGGCCAGGTTCTTACACTAATTTTTCACTTAATGTGTCTTTCTAGATGAAATTCGTGCAATCCTTGTCGAACTCGTCGATATTGAGCCCAATCATGGCCGATCCGCCGACAACGACTCTGCAAAGATTGAAGGTAAACCCGAAATAATGGCTAAAATTGGTTCCTTTATCAGGGAATGACTACTGGTACCCTGCCCACTTTTATTGACATCTCAGACAACTTTTCGCCAGACGCCAATGTGAGTATTTATACTCATTTACGTATCTGATTCTCCCTTGTTCTAGATTCACGAAGACAATCTCCTCGACCAACTACGATCGCAAGGATTAAATATTACATTAATTGGCGATGATACCTGGGTGAGAATTACTGAATTACTTTGTAAGAATTAATTTCTACAGGTTTCTCTGTACCCCAAGCGTTTTCACCGTGAATACGCGATGCCATCTTTTGACGTTCACGATCTACATGGGGTTGACGATGGAATCATGAGTAAATTGTACTTTTTAAGGGGAGAACTTGTTTTTTAGAAGTGTTACCTGACGAGCTCTCCAAAAATGACACCCAATTTCTCATCCTCCATTTCTTGGGAGTCGACCACTGTGGGCATCGCTATGGCCCTGAACACCCGGAAATGGCGCGCAAGGTTTGATTTCCTTGAATTATGACTTGACGTAACTTCTTATGGAAAGATTTTCATATTTATACAACACACATCCAAGTTAAGCTCATGAAAACCAATTAGCGCCGTTGAAGCTCGTGGTCATTTTCCTCGTCATCGCTGGGCAGGGTGAATAGGACCCGGGGTTCTGCTTGTACCACATCGTCGAACAAGTCCATCATTGATGTGCTGCCGAGGGTTTCGCTAGATTGATTACCGCCACTCCAGCGGAATGGATCTGATGTTGCCCCATATTGGCGCTCCTCTTCGATGCTGTTGAAATTTGACGATGTAGAGATTTTTCGGAATTTCTTTGGCAATTGGAGCTTCTAGAATTAGGAAATAGTGGACTGTTTTTCTAACCCTATTAGTGAAAGGCGGTGCTTTCGCATTATCGGGGGGCAGGGACCTACAAGCTCAGTTGTGTTTAGAAAAGTAATGGCAAGTGGCTTCATAGTTTTTAATAAAATTTAACCATATATTTGACGTGGGAAAATAACTTAAAATTACAAAACTCAAGTTTTGGCCAAGAAATAGCAAAAAAAATTTTAGAAACTACAGTCTACTGCAAATACCAGAAAAACCTATTCCTAAGAAAGCATGTTAATCTCCCGATAACGCAAAAGCACCAGCTGGGTGTATTTCTAGTCACCAGCTAGGCAAAATCCACGCACAAATATTTTTCTGGGCTCCTCGGTCGTCGGACTCCACTCTATCTCGCTGAGGCCCGGTTCGTTTCCGGCGTCATCTGGGAGATACGCGACGATGCCTGACTGACCGATTGGAAGCGTACAATCTCTCGCCACCTGCATCGCTCACGGACCGTTGCTGTTTATTTTCCATTTCCGCTTCACAGGAATGTCGCACCTGCTGGGCACATAGCGGGTAGATGCGGCGCTCCTTCTCCTTTCGGCTCACCTCCATCACTCTAGGCGCACACAGATCGTGTCTGCAATCCGAGCTTTCGTTTAGGCTTTGGAAAATTAAAAAACTTAACCGAAGCTGTGATTTTTGACGCTAGAGAGAAAACAGATTGTTGACACGATTTTGACCTACCTTACCATCAACGGGACCAGCCCCTCCTTCCTACGACTACGGTAGCAGCAAGCTAGAGAAAAATTTTTAGGATTCCCGCTTTTTCCGCGTACCTGGCTTTGCCGGCGCTTCTGTGCGCATCCCCAGCTCAAAAAGGGCCGTAGGTTCGGGTCCTAGAAATTCTCGATTTTTTAATATGTGAAAAAAACATTCAGAAACGGAAGATCACGAATATAGAAGAAGCAAGCCGCAAACGCGCTCGCTTTAAATACACGGTCAAGCTGAAGCGCTAGCCGCGGATTTGTACGCTGACCAATGCAAGAAGACGCCCGAAAAAATGTGGCGCTCCGAAACGGTTTGATCGTGACCAACGCCGGGCGGGCGCCCCAGGAATGCTTTTTTTGCTGGGCTATTCGGCCATTCGGCGTGTTTGCCGTTGGATGAGGTGGCGGATTGGGGCTGCAGCCAGCGGCTCGCCCACATGACGCTCCTTTTCCGGGCAGACGAGACGGTACGGGGCCAAGGCTTCACCTCCGCAGCGATGAATAGAGATTGAATGGCGGTCGGACGGTCGTTCACCCCGCATGATGGTCGAACACGAGCCTCAGTGATAAGCCCGAGGTACAAGCGGAGCGAAAAGTGAGAAGCGTTAGCGTGGGTGTGGATTTTGAAATTGGCAAGTGGGAAAGAATTTGATCTGGTTCGATTGCGGGGCTCGCAAAACACAATGAAGTTTTTGCAGTAAATACTTTTACGTTTTAGCAGTTTCTGATTACTAGAAAGTTAAAACAATTTTTTAAATAAAATCGTTTGAAGTTTTGAGCATTTTTCCTACATTTTTTACCAAACCTTATAAGGCGCCTACGGGAACATTTGAAAAAAATAGTTTTCCCCGGCCAATCGCTCCGCTAATGAATAAGAACTAACAATAAAATAAGAAAAGTGAATCCTATTTCTTGGACGAATACTTGGATCTGCGACACTTTACCTCGAAAATCCACTTGAACGCTTTGAATGGCCGGGCTATTTGCTTTTCGCTTTGAAGCCTGGGAATTGAGGGGCCGAAATGCGAAATGGCATCTGTGAACCAGCCTGGAAGGAGAAAAACTGGAACCAGCCAGCTCTACGAGTTTAATCCGCAATCTACAGAAGAACAGTTTCGATTTCGGGCATGAAAAGGAAATTGATAATGTTTAGATGGTTATGATACAGAAACTAAAAGCTGACTGACTAAAAACAAAGTTTTCTTTCAGTTACGCCAAATGGACGGAATGATCGAGTTGATCGTGAAAAGAATGCGCACCGACGATCTGCTGGTGGTGCTCGGTGACCACGGGATGACATCGAGTGGCGACCACGGGGGCGATACAACCCCCCGAAGTGACTGCCGGGCTTCTGGTTGGTTCAGCCGTACAGCCAACTGTTTTCCACACCCCCGATCCGTTTGACGCAACACTGGGGCCTGTATATTTGAACACCGCCATCTGGCCAGCGGGTGGAGAAACATGTTTTTAAACACCCCAGATAGTAATAAGCAGTTTTTGTTTATTTTTAGGTCAGCGATCAAACTTTTCCTGGAATATTGGCATCATCTGGCTGAGAAAATCAGAAACCCCTAGAAAATACCTTAGCAACTTCTAGGAAAATTCTTGCCGTTTAAAGCGTTGTTACCGCGGTTTCGTAGTTGTTGATCGCTGACACCCGTTAAAACATTTTAGAAACTTTGAAACATTAATTTTTGACCAGTTTCCTACATGTTTGGCGAAAAATCAAAATTTTAGGCAATTGGTTGGGAGTAAATGGGCTTTCTGTCTTTAAGGCGGATTAAAAAGAATCGAGAACCGGTATTTTGATTTTTAGATCCATTCGCCATCACTGAAATTGACCCCCCCCTGACGGCGGTGCCCCGCCAGATCGACCTCGTGCCATCGTTGGCTCTACTCCTCGGCGTCCCGATTCCATTCTCCAACCTCGGCATCGTCATCCCGCAGCTTTTCCCGAAACGCCAGGATCTCAGCCAGGCCGTCCAGCTCAATTATGAGCAAGTCATCCGGTTAGTTTCTTTCTTATGCGCATCATAAAACCTCCGAGTTAAAAATGTTTGTTCTATTATTTGTTCCAGATTCGCCCAAGCCTACTCTTCAACAAATTCCCTGTATCTTGGCGGCGACGCTTCTCTTTTTGGTGGGGCTCAAGTGGACGAGACCGATCAGCTGAGGGCCCTGAGTAAGGTCCAAAATACACTGCGAGCCGCGTGGACCCAGTTCGACACGACACTAATGGTTCTTGGCCTGCTAGGCTTTCTGGAGTGCTTCTTTTACAACATCAGGTAAGGTTTATGCCATTATTACTGACAATTCCTTTAGTGATGAGCCGAACTCGTTCTCACAGCTCGTCATCCGATCTGGCGTCCTCTTATTGCAGATGGGGCTTTATAATGGAGGTATGATGAGCTGAATTTTTATACCATTTCTGGAATTTAGGATCAGACAGCATCTCCGTTCCGCCGCTACTGGCCACTCTCGTCATTCTCACCCTATTCCACCTGGGAAAAATGGCGGTCGGTGCTCTGACGATCAGATGGCGATGGAAGAAGGTGGTTTTTGTATTATTTTTACAATATTCCTCAGGCCTTCAATGCGACACTCGTTATTGTCCAATGTCTCGCCTTCTTCTCGAACTCTTTCGTGAATCGTGAGGCTGAGCTTCTACGTTACCTCCTCCAGAGCGCCGTATTCGTGTCGTTAATTGTTCGGATGCGGGGGTAGTTCATATTTCCATCATGGGCTCATAACGTATTTAGGTGGGAAAAGAAGCTCGGCGGCAGTCGCCTCAAGTTGAAGTCCCTTACCCCGTTGCTATTCAGCGAGGAATTTTTGGTAATTTACCCATCATTTTCCACCAACATTTTTAGGGTCCGATTTCGACATTATTCCTGCTCCGATTTGAGCCTCTTTTCCATCGATGCCGCGAAGAGGAAACGGACTGTGTCCAATATTTCCCAACGACTCTCGCCGCTTCATTACCTAGTATGAATTCCCTTGAAAATGCGACGATTACCATACCTAGATGATATCCGAGCACTTCGACTGATCTTTGGTGTCGCGGCTTCGTGGGCGTTATCCCATTGCATGTCAAAGAAAACATCTTGGCTGTGGAGTGATCGTGATGTACAATTAACATCATCGGACGATCGTTCGAAGCTCTGCCAAGCCCTCGTCAGCCTCGCCTTCCTTTCCGTCTATTTTCATTGGGGCCTCGACTTGGTCAGCCATGATAGTGATAATATGTAAGGATTCACATTCATGCTTCTCAACATTTATTTTTAGAAAGCTTGCGCTGCTGAGCACCGCTTGGCTCATCTACGCTATCGCTGCCTTGGTTCTCGTGCTCAATTTTAGGCCCAACTCGGAGCAAAGGTATTATTCTCCTAGTGATAGCAATTTGATTTACTTCAGCTGTGCACAACAACGTTGGAATATATTCCATGGTCTCTTGCCGATCCTATACCTACTGCTCGGCGAGGGGATGGCCATTGGCTTGACGATCTTTATCATGATCTCGCTACGAATCCATAGTGTGGTAAATGCAGGTAGGATCGGGCACCTGGGCAAATAACAGGGTTTTTTAGAATTTAAAACTGGTGCCGAAACGACATTGCTGGGGCTCGGTTTCTACTTTCTGGGCCACTCGCCGACCCTGACTGCAATCCCATGGACTGCCGCCTTTATCGGAGTATCCGGGACGTGGGGTCTTCGTGTGATCCCAGCCTTGCTCGTGCTCACCAACCTTTTCGCCTCAACCGTCGTATTTTGCGGCACGATGTTATTACAGGTATTATTAAAACGGACATTTATTGTCTTTTGAAGTTTGTACATGTGTCACTTCTAGCCTTCTCTCGACCTCGTCCCGCTGACAGCTGCTCTTGCCCTGCGACCATTTGCTTCTGCAGCTGCGGCAGCCTTGCTTAGACGACACCTTATGGTAGAGCTAGTATATCTACTTTCAAATATTTCTTTAGGTCTGGAAAATCTTTGCCCCTCGCTTCATCTTCGAATCCGTAGCCTTCCTTTATTTGCTGCCCATGTTCTTGATTTTCGGGCTCCTGAGAAGCCGCCTGGTTTCCTAATTTATGCGCTCATTTCGCCTCACTTTTTACGTATTTCCCCGGGTTTTTGTGCGATAGGCCTTATCGTTTATAAACTGATATTACCGCTTCTTTGGAGTTTTAGAGTAACAATCACGTACATGAGACGACTTTGAAAAGTAATGAAAGACAACAATTGTTCGATGAGCCTTTAGGCGATATGAGAAACAAGGAAATAAATAAATATCTGTACAGAGATACGCGGAAAATTGGAATGGGTGGGATTGGGGGGATGAGTCCATTTGGTGAGGGGAGTTCTATCGAATATACTTGCAGTGGGTTATAATTCCTCTTCATCGCTGTCGGGGGTGATCGCTTCTCGCTTTGGCTCCAGCAGCTGATTGTTAGTTGTCGCTTCCGTAGTACCATTTGTTGAAGAATCGTCGCTTGACCGCTCCTGAAATTGATTTAAAGGAATTCCAGTAAGCAAATACCTTGATCGGCTTGATCAGCTTCTTCTGGTTGTTGCGCTGCCGCTTGCCGTTGAGCAGCTTTCGTTTCTTCAATTCCACAAGATGTTGCCAGCGGAGGTTGGCACTTTCCACTTTGTCGAAATAAATTTGCCCCTTGATGTTGCAGACGGGCTGGAAACGGAGCTATTAATTGGCGCAATAAACCGCCTCACCTCGTTCTGGCGCAATTTGTTGTGGTTGTAAGTGTTGACAAGGATGTGAGATACGTAGACCTTGCCGGATTTCTTGACGGCCCTTCCCGTACGGTTGCGTTGGGTCTAAAATAGGAACCTCGGGTAAAGAATTGATAATTACCGAGGCTGCCTCACGGCCGGCAAGGAATTCTTGGCGCATTTTGGTGACGCATTCACGAACTGCTTGCTCGCCACCCTTCCGGTCTGCCGCCACAATTTGGTTGCGGGCATTCAGGATCTGCTTCATTCGCTCTTCAGTTAGCCCGAATCGCTGCGACTTGAACACGAATTTGCGTCCTTTTTGTGGGGAGGCCGGTAAGGAGGTGCTTTGCTGTTTGACATCTAAGAATATGGGAATTAGATGTAAAGGTAAAGCACTTACTTTTGATAGATTTTCCTTGGGTTAGTGCCTTCTTTAGAACTCGGAGAGCGGCTTTCTTAGCTGGAGATGAGGCGAGTGGGATAGATGCGGTTGGAGGCGATGGGGCAGAGACGCGGCGATCACGTAGGACCTAGAAAGGAGCCGTTTACAAGGACGACTAGCTAGTTAAGTGCCTGAAAGTGTGCATGGGAACTTTGTGTTAGCTACAAATACGAACAGAAAGAGCACGACATCTCAGCCTTCTCGCAAACCGCACACTCAGTCCCTTTATGTTAAAAATATACCTAGTTATTTGGAGTGGTGGGTGTGCGGTAGTAGAGGGCTGAGAAGTTGGGCACAATCAATTCGATAGAGCTTGCAACACCAAATGGGCTCGATTAAAATCACTCGCCACGACCGAGTGCCTGAAACGGAGGGGCTACGGAGGAAAATAAAAAAGTTTTTATTTATTTATTTATTCTGACACAAGGTTAACAAAGTCAACGCTTACAGTATGAGGAATGAGAGTGAGAGAGTGCAGATAATGAGGATGATTAGATTCTAGTGAAGTAGAGCCAAAGGATTTTTTTGAGAGTTCACCAACAGCAACAAGACATAGAACAAGACAAAAACAGTTAGAAGAAGTGCAAGGATAAAAGAAGTAGAATCACAATAATTTTAGACCCACCATCGTTCGCGATCCTTTTGTCTCGATTTTGTCAAAGGCAGACGAAAGGTTTGCGCGTGCTCGCGATGGTCTCGACGGGGGAGTGTTCAACGCCAGAAATTCGGCTTTAGATGTCCGGGGCACTTCTGTATTTTGGACGGCCTATAACGAAAAATCAGGAGTTTTCGGGAATCTACCTGAATAATGGCACGACTGGCTCGTTCACTTGCAACGGCGGCGGCACGAGGCCTACGAGACAATTGCTCCTCGCTTCTCTTCACGGCGAGCATGAGCCTGGAACTTGATCATCAGAATTCAACAAAATTCTATACCGTTGACTCTTCGTACTTTCTCGGCCGCGGTACATTTTCCCCATTGGCGTCTCGAGGATCTCGTCTTCGTCGAAGCAATTGGCCTGGTTTCTTCTAGAATGACAATCTCGATTTGGTGAAAAAACTTACATTAGCTTTTCCTCGGGGGTCTCGGGGATGACCTTCTTGCGGACAGTTTTCCGCTCAGGCTGCTCGGCTTTTGAGTCGTTGGAGAGACGACGCTTTTCGCCGACTGAAAAAAAGGAATAAATACCACGCCAAATTTTTTGTTAGTCAAGACAAATCGATGAGGAAATATAGCAGGTGATAAAGGAAATTGCGGGAATCCCCCGTCTATGGTGCTCGGGACACAATTGATATGGGAAGGGTGTATTGATCGAGCGGACGAAGAGCCGTTTCCAAGGTCCCCGGCACGGGAAAGGACGGCTGGTGGCTATTTGCCAGCTGGCCCGGCTGCCCACAACAACCCCCCGTCCCTCCATGGTCGCATTCAAAAATCGTAATATGCGCAAGAGGATAGAAAGGGCCAAGTGATTTTGCAAAATCGTAAAAAATCGGTCCCAAATTGCGTGACATTTTGAAAAGGGTGTTTCATCGAACACCAGGAAAATCCCCCGGAAAATCCCACGCGAACATGGGCGCCTATTTACACCCCCTACTTTCGGACCTTTAAAAGAATATACCTTTAGTTCCGCCATTCGATTTGCGATCGCCTGGAGCGCTAAGTGACGCCAATTCATCGAGGAAAGTGTCCATCATGGCTTTTGAAGCTGCTGACAAAATTCTACATTTTAAAATTGTACAAAGTACACACCTCTGTTCCCCTCATAAAGCGAGTGCTCGGCAAATGGATCTTCTACAAATCAATAAATGAAAACATCTTTAAAAATCTTACTTTTGGTCGGGGTGTGGGTAACGGAACCAGCATTCGATCCGGAGTCCGGAGAATATTCCTCCAGATCGTAGGGCAGGGAAACACATAACTCGTCGTAGATCTCAGCCAGCGTCCGGGGTATTATGTGCGCGAAACTAAATACAAGTGCTGGATGAATACAATAAAAAGCGTACCTATCCGAGACGGCCTCCTCCAAAAATTTGCGCATCCGGCTCGAATCGGTGGCCATGAATATGAAGCGGAAATCGGACGTCATCTAAGAGCCACAGTAAAAATGTGAGCGAAATAACGTTACATTTCGCAGGAAGGTCGACAGATTATCGTCCTGTCCAGAGTCGTCACCATCGAAGAAGCCGCGTTTCCGATAATCCACCTAAAAGGAGAGGAGATGATGATAAAAAGCGGGGGTACATACTTCTTTTCCATGGCTACCTATTCGGTTTGCCAGCACGTGCATTTCGAGCATAACAAGCAGTTGGGCTTCCCGAGCTCTTTCATCGAAACGTTCCGTTTCCTAAAAACGCCGTCTAACTGGAGAAAGGAAATTTTGCGGGACTCGATCGAAAGCCTAGCAATCTTTTAAAGTACCTTTTCTCTTATGGCCGCAATATGTCGACGAAGTTGAGAGATGGTGCCACTGAGAAAGGTGATCATTTGACTCTAAAAAAAACAAATAAAAAAAATCATAAACACGGGAAATGAAATCACCTCAACACTGGTCGACCAAGTATGGCGCGAAAAAAAGTTGCGCAGCGTGTTTATCGTTTTGTGGTAGGCGTACAAAGAGCTGCGCTGCTCGTCGGCCATTTGGCTCTCCCACCAGGAAAGGAATATTGGCCAAGTCAGCTCTCCGTCCAGGACCCCTGAAAACGACCGAAATGACGCGAGAAATTGGACTTACTCAATTCATCGAAATCCTCGTGTGTGTCGCGTTTTCTTCGTTTCTCACGCAGGTCTTGCATCTGTTTGACACGTTTTGTATGCTTCAGATTCGCCGAGGAGAGGTTGGCTAAAATCCAAAAGAGTAATACAAAACGATCAATCAGCCTACATTTCGAGCCATTCATGGAGCTCATGGAATTCGTACCACCATTGCTGAGTTTGCGCCGCAGAAACGAATTCTAAAGCATCAAATCAATACAAATTTTTTTAATAGCTTACCGTGCCACTCCTGGATTCCTCATCGTTGGTGGAAAATGAGTCTTCAGATTGCCCTGCAGGCGATGAGCTCATCCGAGTGTATTCATCGTCACCGCCGAGGCCTAAAAACCATTTTTTTCTGGAATTTGAAGTCGACTCACTGAAAGATGGCCGCCTGAAACAACCACCATTTGAAATGCTAGCCGGCGATTCCTCTTTCTAAACCAAAACAATAAGCTTTAAGAGGATGTGAATACCGGTGTCTTCGCCGCGTCGCGATTTCCATTCAGACTCTGCCGCTTTTGCGACTGATGCTTGCCCAAGCAGTCGGAAAGGATGTCCTTGATTGAATCGAACGGGATGTCCTTCTTGCTCAACCGTTTCGAAGGGCTCATCCTAAAAGCTAGAGATGAAAACGGGGTATTTGACCCACTTCTGTATAAGCGCAAAGGTGGCTTCCTCGAATTCATTCATTTTCAGCGACATTCGTCGTATTTGATGGCCTCCAGACGTTAGCAGTGGACGGTCATCAAATCGACTGGCTCAAAGACCCTGAAAATATCCATTTTCAGTTTTTAATATCAATTGGCCGACGAAGAAAACGAGAATAAAGTTGTCGAGAGGGCGGGGCGGGAAATTATCTTGAGCTGGTGGCGGGGTGGGGAGATGACCTTCGGCCTGGCGAGGCGCCAGCCACCTTGAGGTCAGCCTCGCACAGCAGCGGCAAGAAAGGTTTATGAGGGAAATGAGTGAGGAGAGGGAATATCACAAAAAAATAGTGATTTTTCGGAAAAAAATGGTTTTCCATTTTGAGTGGAGGGTCGTGTGCTTTGGGTTACCCAATTATTAGTGGCCGTAATCCCATTTGGACCCTGAGGGGGGCCAAGGGGGGAAGGGGTGTCATCGATTTCCGTGTTGGGGAGGAGGGGGTGCAGTAGTTCCCGTGGCAGCCGGGGGTAAAGCCCTGTATCGGCCCCTCCATTCGGACACAATGGTCATCCCCACCCCGGGGACGGTACGAATTGTGAATCAGAATAGTGGGTGGGCGACGGCATAGTGAACGAATAAAATCGAATGGCCATGGGATACGAGTTTTAACGGGTATTTGTAGCTTTAAAATTCAGTTAAACCACAAAAATCTACTTTTTGAACTGTCAAAAATACGCAAGCCCACTAATTCGGCCATCGTCTTTCAGAGCCGTTGAACAACACGGGTTGAAACCAGAGTCAAAGCTTGCTCGGTCCCCTCGCAAGGGCCTATTCAAAAATTGCTAACAATGCTGGCACCAATTTTGATCGATGCCGGCGTATTACGAGCCTAGAATAACATTGGAAAATGAAGGGGCGGCTGACGCTTGGGGCAACGGGCTGCGGGTGAATTTCGAGCCTAAATGACCGTCGGGACTAGGTCAGTCGATCAGCTGGCGTCTTGCAGGACAAGAGGAAGGGAACCCAGGAGGGGAACGAGGGGGGAAAGGGGAAACAAAAAAAAAAAAAAACAAAAGGAAAAAAAAAAATATAAAAAAAAGGAAAAAAAAAAAAAAAAAATAAAAAAAGAAATAAGGAGGGAAAAAGGGAAGAAAAAAATGAAATTGGGGGGGGGGGGGGAAAAGAAGAAAAGAAAAGGAGAAAAAAAAAAAAAAAAAAAAATTAAAGATGGGATTTTTGGGTTTGGGGGGGTGGGGGGAGGGAAAAAAGGTTTTTTTTTGGTTTGGTTTTTTGTTTGAAATAATTAAAAAATTTTTTTTGAAAATAAAAAAAAAAATTTTTGTTTTTAATGTGGGGAAAAAAAATTTTTTAATTATTTTTTTTTTTTGGGGGGAAAATTTTGGGGTGGAAGGAGGGGGTAAAGGAAAAGAATTTTTGGGAAAAAAAAAAAAAAAAGGGTTGTTGGGGGGGGAAAAAAAAAATTTTATGGGAAAAGGAAAAAAAAAAAAAAAATTTTTTAAATATTGGGGGTGTTATTTGGGGGATTTTTTAAAATTAATTTGGGGGGGGGGAAAAAGGGGGGGGGATTTAGATTTGAGGAGGGTGTGTAAAGGAAAAAGGAAGGGATTTTGGGAAAAAGAAAAAGGAAAGAAAAGGGAATAAGGAAAAGAGAAAAGGGGGGGGAGGAAAAAGGAAAAAAAAAAGAAAAAAAAAGGGGAGAAAAAAAAGAGGGAAAAAGGGGAATAAATGGGGGGATTTGGGGTGGCGAAAGAGAGGGAAAAAAAAAAAAGGGGGCAAAAGAGGGGGAAAAAAAAAAACCGGGGGAAAAAAAAAAAAGGGTCAAAAAAAGGGAAACCTTGGGGTGGGGAGCTGGGCGGGGGGGGGGGGGAAAAGGGGCCCGGCGGGGGGGCGCGGGGCCCCGCCCCCCCGGGACCGGCCCCCCCCCCGCCGGGGGCCCTCTCGGGTTGCCCCCGGGGCTGGGCCTTTTTTCTTGGTGCGTCCCCTTTATTTTCTTGGTCTTTTTTGGGGGGGGTTTTGGGGAGGGGGGGGCGGGAATCAAGTTTGAACGGGGACGCCGGACGGCAAAACATGCAATAGCAGAGCGACGGTTTGGTTACCGGAAATTAGCTAGCTGTGCTAAAAGATACAAGAAAAATGGCTAATATCTAGCTATCGAACCGCATGGGTTAGGCTCAAAATAACAAAGTAAATTAATAGCTGCGACGTTTTGATAATTTTCTAAATTTGCAAAAGGACCTGATATAAAATACAAGACAATTTTCTCACGGCGAATAGAACAGTACTAAACTGCTTTTCGGCCAGAATCAGGATAAGCCGTAGGGGAAGACATTAATGCCCGAGACCAAAACTCATAAACCAGCAACCGAGCTGCCGTTGCTACAGACCAAAAACGGACAGGCGCATCGGGGCCAGCTGGCGGGAATATATTGGTGCGGCGCTGGAGGCTGGGGTGTAGAGAGATTCGAATCAATGGGTGCCCCTCCTCCCCACACCGCCTAGTTAGCCCGACGAACGCCCGGGATAGCAAGGGAGGGAAGTGGGACGCATAGTCGTCCCAGCCCACAGCCCTCCACCCACCTCACAACAAACACCCGCCACTAGCCCACGAAAAAACACGCAAAGTAGGGGCTCGGCTAGGCACCTGGGATCAACAAATCTGAAAAAGTCGTGCAGGTTATTAGCTGCGTACATCCCTGAACTCAGATCGGGATCAAAACTAGCAGCAATATCATTTCGACATTGCTGATCCTCAGCCTATTTTTAAAATTTGCCAGGAATGTTTAAAACGCGAGTTGTGCGAATTCTAAGTGGGCGGCGACGACGGAAAACGGCTAACAATAAATCCAAAGATTTGAGGGAAACTAACTTGAGCTCTTAGATCTCGAGTTTTCAATTCATCGTTTAAAGCAACATGAGCAGCATGCACGACACTATATGTGCGTGTATAGCTAGATCTCAGTACAGGTCTGTTCTTAAGTCCTTAGTAAGGCTTACTTGTTAGAAACACCTCAAAAGCCTGCAGAAAAAGGTCGAAAAGCCAAATTCCGTAATGCCCTTCCGTTAATTACAATAAACCTACAATTACAATACGGAAGTGCAAACACGATCAGAAAGACCCAAACACGATAACACAACCTCAAAAACTCATCCCTCACTTCACCGTCACCCAGAGGCGATTGCCAAATGTCAAGCTGGCGCCGCATCGCGTAGGCCACACTTCGCCGAGCTGAATTTTCTGCTCTTTGTAGGGCCGGCGAGGACTGGGAACCGGAACAGAAGGCACTCGTCGATTGGCTGATGAATGAAAAGAAGGTCGTGCAGCGGTGGTTGATCACCAAGCCGCTTGGCCATGGTATGGAAGGAGTCCTGGAATTGTAGTCTCTGATGAAAAATCAAAAGATATTGGAGAGTTCCCTTTGCAAGATAAAGTCTAAACAACTATTTGCCTTCAATTATCAAAGGAAACCTGTTACAGGCGCGAACGGGGTGGTAATGCTGGTGGAGCCGGACAAGAGCTGGGTACGGCCACCGGTCCAGAAAGCCGTCCTCAAGGTGGCCATCGCGTCGTGGGCGTCCGATTCGATCCTCTGGGAGGTGAACGTCCTCAAGGCGTTGCAAAATGTGAGTTTAAACCGGCGGAAGAAGACCAGCTTCTTCATTCCAGCCACAAGACAAAGAGGATCGGACGAAGCACGTGGTGCGCATGTTGGACCATGGCGTGATGAAGGGCATGAAAAAGGATATGGTCGCCTGGATCGTCATGGAATTCCTGGAAGGGAATCCCGTGGAAGCGATCGGTAATTTTGTCCTTTGGCGAGAAAACTTGTTTTCAGTTGCATTTGCTGAACGCGACCGGATACCGATCGTCTGCGATTTGGCGTTGCATCTGCTGAAGGGCGTTTATGACATGCATTTCTGCGGCTTTCTTCACAGGGACTTGAAGCCGGAGAATATGGGCATGAAGAAGGTAAATTATCGCTGATGATTTGGACATGAAGTGCGTTGTTGTCTTATAAACGTATATCAAAGTAAGACTTGCGCGTTATAGTGAATTTATAGGGGAACTACTTGGTACTGTATGACGTTGGGATGGCACGCACCTATACTCAAGCCAATGGACTTCCTCGGTAACTGCCAGAAAAGAAGCAATTTGCTCATTTTTCCGCTTCTAGACCACCTCGCAGTTACGTCGGGATCCGAGGCACTGATGAATGGGCAAGCTTGTGCTCGGAGCTGGGCCGCGATCAGGTGATCTGATGCCTTAAAAAAGACGAAGCTATGGTTTCCCAAGATACGCAAAGATTTAGACACGCGTCGACGATCTTTGGGGCTGGTTCTACACCATCAGCGAGCTGGCCAACTGCGGCAGCAGCAACCAGCAGGCTTGGCTGTGTTTCCAAACGGTTCGTTGGAAAGCTCGACGCCATAAAAAGTGGAGTTTTTGCAGCCGATGATGCGCCTGTTTATGAAGTCACGCGATTGCCCTTCCCAGATCTCGCTGTGCAATATGCCTTCTCAGTTCACCAAGATTCAAGTGGGTGAATCTACCCTATAACAAAACGTTTCCGAGAGCCCTTGAACTCCTCGAACTTGTTGGCGAAGCCCTTTTAGCTGTACCTGCGTTCCATTGGTGCCTTCGACACGCCGGACTACTTCTACTTGGCCACCCTGGTTTACACTTGTTGCTCCTGTCATCAACACTAACATACTTCAGCTTAACGAGGCACGCAACCGGACGAAGCGCCGCCGCCTGGGCAACCCCGACGAGAACAGCTTTACGATCCAGCAAAATTTCCTTGAAAGACAGTACTTCTGAAGCCCGTCCCCATTTGAAAACAATTAACCATTACTTTCATTACTTGACCTGATGAGACCTTACGAAGAAAATATCTGGCCCTGCGTGAATAAAGCGTCATTTGAGAAGGGCCACAAACGCAAGTTTTATGACAACAACAACAACAATAACAAAATTCAACAAGGAGAAAACAAAATCGAAAAAATTAACACTAACAAAAAACAGCAGCAAAATTCCGCTAATCGGACCAATCCATGTTGCGGAGGTCGAGCACGGTGTCGATTGAGTCTCCCTTGGCGGCGCTCGGATTCAACTTCTTCTTTTTCGCCTTCTTCACCTTCTTTCCTTTGACGGCAACGGGTTCCGCCTGAAATTAAAATATCAATATTTTTTTAACTGATCACCTCGTCATGGCCGTTTTGTTGCTTCTTCTTCTGCTTGCTCGTTATCGTCGGCTTTACATCTTCTGGTTCCTCAGATTCCTCTTTAGGTGCCGCCTTGGCAGTCGCTTTCTTCGCGGCCAGAGTGTCGTTCTAAATCAATGTTCCGATTTCTCGATAAATCGCACCCTTTGCAGGGCGGCCGCTCTCATCTTCCAAATACGGGCGAACTGATTGTGGTAGATGACGATGGGGCTTGCTGGGTCGGCGAGAGCTTGTCGAGCGCGAAGCTGCAAAAATAGCTTTACTGGATTTTCAAAGGGTCCTACTAGGGTCAAGGGCTCGGCCAGGTCAATGCCACGCGTGCTCATCTTCTCCAAAACCCATATCGAGTGCTCGCGGATCTAAAGCGAAACGTTTTGATGAAATTGGTCTATTACCTTGTCGTTGAGCGCCTTGAACAAACGACTGATGTCCGGGCTGCGACAATTCTTGCAGAAACTTCGGATCTGAAAGCTTATCCGTCAACGTGAAATGTGCACTATAATACCTGATGGCTGGCAATCAGGGTGGCATCCGGAAAAGCGGGGCTGCTCGATAAGATATGAGCCGCCTGGAGCAGTATTTTGAACAAGGTGTCTGCAGCAGCTTGACGCCATCCAGCCTCTTCCACTTGTTGAGCCGAAGCGCTAAATGGGGAAAATAATTGTGAAGCAACGGAACTACCGTAGTTGCGATCCGAGGTCCGACTGCTTCGCGACACCTTTCCCGTGTTTTGGTTTACGATTTGTGAGCAGGAGGAGCTCTTTGAGCAACTAAAAAAATCGTGCTTAACAAAATGATTCACTTACATCGCAGCCAAGCGGCATCACCGGAATGTAGCTGTCGCAATTAGCCTGCAGCTCGATCAGCAGAGCCAGGCAATGGAACCGAAGGGGCAAGAAGCGGAGCGATGGGAATAGTCTAGAATCGTTTTAATGCGATTGTTCAACTCGCTTACTTTAGTGTCGCAACGACCACTTGCGTCAAGGGGTAATGGAGTTCATTCAGTGCATCGGCACCCTCAACGTCGTGGCTCTAATAATTTAATCGAGCGGTAGTTTGACAACGATTAATTTACCTTGCCTATAACTCGGACCCACATATAGAGACATTGTATCAACTGCCAATTGTAGACGGTTTGCACGAGATCCTAGGAAAATGTGAGGTTCTATAGAAAAATAATGCCTTTCTCTTTTTGCCAATCTGCGCATTGCGAATGTGGATGGCCATCTGGCGAATGTAGGTGAAGGCGTACCTACAAGATTTTGAAGTCGTGAGGAAAGTAAACCTACTGATAGGCAACGTTGGGATGAACGATGGTCAATTCCGCAAATGAACGGTGCATAAATTGGAGCACAGGCCACGTCTCGGGCGTTACTTGTCGAGAATTCGACACGAAAGCCAGATACATTGTCTAAAATCGTCGTTGAAATCGGCTCATCGCAAAACTACCTTGTAAGTATAACTGAAGACATCCTCATCGTATTTCACAATCTTATTCAGGACGAGGAATGCGACGACTCTAGTATCCAACGTTTTTCGGGACCACATCCTTGTCAGGCTCTATAAAATGGGCGTTCCACCTATTCCATCTAACCCGTACCTTCACTAAAAGCTTGTTCAGCTTCGGAAACTGGGCATACAACGACACAGAGGGCAGAATAGCCTTCAAAGTAGCCACGATCGCCGTTTGGGACTGGATTTCGTTGAGAAACTAAAGAAAAACTACAAAACAAGAAAGTGTGAGTACTTACCATCAACAATGAGCTCAGGAATTCTTTAGTGATCTTGTTGTGCCGTCTCCAGAAGCGAAATTGGATCTTGCCGCGCCCCGTTTTTGGCCCCTGATCTGCCACAGCCTCAGCATCATTGTTATCCTGGAAATATAAAGATAGCCGTTTCAGTCCAGTGGTACCTCGCTCTTCACTTCGCCCAATAACTTGAACAACTCGCTGGCGATCCGCGAGAAGGCCAAGCGAACGACCGCGTCGAAGACCTGAAAATATCCTTATTGAACAGAAACTTATCCCACCTTTTCGTCATTAATCACCCATTCTGGAGGCGCGATATCAGCCCCAGTTCTAGCCACACAAGCCGCGAATGCAGCCACCGCGAGGCGCACGGATTTCTGCGGCACGTTAGCCTAAAGTGGAAGTTTTTTACATAAAAATTCTTAATGTATACCTTAGCGAATTCGTCTTCCAGATAGTTGTACCATTTGCTATCGAAAATTTGGCGGCCCGTCGAAGAATCCTTATTGATCTTCGGCTTTTTCTTGGAAGTATCTAAACAAAGTTGCAGTCAATGGTACTATAAAACCTTTTTCAGCTGCCTCTTCTCCTTCTTCCTCCTCTGCTTCCACGGGCTTTTCCGCCTCCTCGTCGCTTTCGTTGTATTCCAACAAATCGGCTTCTTGCTCTTGCAGAAACTTGTAAAACTCGGGGTCGGTTTTGCGCAGTTTTTCCAAGTCAGCCTTGTGCTTCGAGGAGCTTTCCATGATATCATCATCTCCTTCGTCTTGTTCGTCATCCGAAGGCAAGGATTCCCCTTCTTAAATTATTTTATAAGCATTTACTTAGCAACTTGCCCAAAATCTCGTCTACACGGTTGCCACCATCCTCCTGCAGGAATTCCTCATCGTCGGACAATTCATCCCTTTTCGCCTAGGCAGAGTTATATTTTTATTAAAACGAAAATGCACCTTTTTGGGTTTTTGCGGCCTTTTTTTCTTCATTAACTTCCCGGAGGCTTTGCTCTTCTTCATCTTCATCCTGAAAAAAAACTTATAGACCGGACGTGATGCCTGCCATAAAGATGAATGGAGATAAAGGCAAGAAACGAAGATCAGTATCCTGTTTTATTTCTTTAAATAAAAATATGTAATTTGAGTATTATTTCGAAGTATACACGATATTTAGCGAGCCCTACGAGCCATCCTATGCCCTCTCAAAAGCGCGCTGAACCGCTGGTAACAACCCCCAAGAAAACCTATCCCGGTATCCAATCTTTTACGAACTCTTTGGCGCAGTGTGTTAAATATAAAACGAGCTCCTCTAAAGCTTGGACATATTGTACTGTATGCTAGGATAATTGCCAATACCTTTTATCCATACACAACCAAGTACAGCACCATCACAACAACAATGTACACCAATTCAGGAGTCAATAGATTATTAGTATCATGACTATTATGACTTTTAAATATCGGACTGGATAGATTTTTGGATGGCATCCGCGATCATCCGGCCGACGATCGAGTTGTCGCAGCAACACTAAAGCTATTCGTTGGATTTGGTTGTTGTAGACCCACCTCTACGGAACCCTCTTCGAATGTCACAACCATTATATCTTTACGGGAACGCGTCTGGCCGGTAAATGTCTAAATCCCACGTTTTATTCTTGTTTTTCTTGCGAAATATTGTTGTTGTTTTTGACTTACTTTATCGCCGCTCTTCCATAGGTTCGCTACCGAGTAGATATGGTCATCGTTCCACGCGCCTTTCAATGAAACCTAAAATAAACCATAAAAGACCCTAGCCGGTAACAAACCGTGTGTCTATTGAGCCCCGAAAGACGTTTCCGTTCCTTCTCTACCTCCGCTTCCGGGATTTTTATCGGTTGCACTTGTTCGCCGAGAGGAATCTGCATCCATGGTTGATTTTTGACCGCATTTGCACAAACCTGTAGATCAAACTTTCGAGCATCACCCTCGTCGCGGGTCAGCGACCACTCGGTCTTCTTTCCACTATCCCCAAAATCAACTCCCAACGACAATGTGGTCATAGCCCCAGCTGCCAAGCTCGCAATCTAAAGCATCTCTTTTCAGCGTATTTTCGGCAACTCTACCTTTGTAACACCAGTGGTGTTCATCCCAGTCGGGGGACAGACTTCAATGTTACTCAGCTCGACATCTCCCTTGTTGCACACTACAAATATTTTCCATAGTTTCACCCAACTGTACTATAGTACTCACCCTGGAACCGCAACGGCGTAAAATTTTGTTGATTGGTCCGAGGGAAACCAAGCGACAGCTCGATGCCGCCGCCTTCGACCACGTTGAAAATTAGCTTATCCTGGAAAACCCATAAAGTTCCCGTAGCAGAACTAACCGGACTCTCTAGGGGAACCGGATCAACAAGAGCTCGGCTGCCAGCAACAGAAAAATCGAGATCAAGAAGCAAGTCCATCGTCGATGGGTCAGCAACCTTCTTCAAAAACCGTTGGGAACATCTATCTAGACAAACCTCCTTTTTCGGGGCCGTTGCTTTGATATTCTTAGTAGCCGGGATGCTGACTGTCGGTTTCTGTTGAACAGGCATACGCGGAGGTGGCTTCACTTCTTCCTCACTTTCCTCGGATTCATCACTCTCAGAGTCACCTTCAACATCCTAAACAAGAGAATGACTATGTGAGATGGCGCTCACGGAATCATCATCATCTTCCTCGTCATCGCCCTCTTCGTCAGCAGCATCTTCCTCTTCTTCGTCGTCTTCATCGTCACTCTAAAGGTCGTAAAAATAGATTGGCATTTACTCTGCAAAACGAACGTCATCTCCCTCCTCGTCACTTTCCTCGTCCTCATCTTCATCCTCATCTTCTTCCTCCTCAACTGCTTCTTCTCCCACATCCAGCCATTGCGCATGATCGACTGCGTTGGCTTCTCGGCGGAGGGCTGGGTCCGATGATGTTTCCGGGAATTCGCTCAAGTCCTTGTACAAGCTGCACCGCTGATTCAGTACATGCGACAACGAACCAAGTTGGAATTGAGCCCGATCTGAAATACATCAGTAGATGAGCGCGAAAAACAGCGAATACCTTTGAAGCTGCTCTGCAAGGCAGGTGCCGGCTTGGTCGCCATGAAAATCTCTTCGGCGTGTGAGGAGAGGGTGCTGGTGTTGAAGAGAAGGTTGCGTAGAAAACGACATCTAGGGGCGCTCATTTTTCTTTATTTTAAAAAACTCACCGATCTCTAACATCATAGCTGCGATCGAAGCGAGCCAGTTGAAAGACATATTCGACGAGCTTGTCCACCCTTTCCCTATCGACCATCCAAAGTCGCACGGCCAATTTCAGAGCTTCCACCTGGAATGCAATTAAGTTGTTCAGGCTCAAACACACCTTAACACTTTCGTGCTCATTCGAGAAATTCTTCGCCAAAATTCGCAGGAGATCGGGCGCCATGCTAATCGTCTGCAATTTTTTGGTAAGATTTAGAAATAACGATCGATACCTTATCCACATGCGTCGTAACTAGCCATACGACACAAGCCCGTGCCGCAGGGGCCTGAATTGTATGTATCAGCCGAATCAGCCGAGAAAGAAGAGGAACCGGGGCAGTGGCATGGAGCAACCTAAAAAACAACAGACATAACATTGTTTCTGTCGTTGCTAGAGATCACCTCTTCAAAACGCAAACCGCAGCGCAAACGACCTCTTCATTAGGGGATGCGATTAGTTGGACGAGGCCGGCGAGGCAAGAATCCGAGACTGCTCCCACCCTAACCGCACATCTAAAAGCGATTTATTACATATCATATTTTATTCAAATTTTTACCTTCCAATCGCTTCGACAGCTCCTCCAGCCAGCTCTGACATTGACACATAGGTCTGCAGCTCCCGCAAGATAATGTGCACATTTGACTCCGAGACGAGGGAGGTAAGCACGTGAAGCTTTAGTTCCTAAAAACGGGAATCCTAGCTGAAACTTTAAAAAAACGTTACTTTGACGAAAGCCGGGTCCGACGAGCGCACAAAGAAACTTTTGAGGAATGGGTCGAACATGTTCTAAATAATCAAAAATTAAGCTGGAAATCCCCAGGAGTAGATATAAACAGGGCGAGGCCGCACACGGATGCATTTCGGGTGATTTGAGGAGACTGCTCATGCAAGAATGGGAGACCACCAATCTAACAACATCGAAATGGTTATTCTGGCGCTCGGACCAACACGAAAAGTGTCTATTCGCATATGCCACTGTACAAAGCCGACGGCGCGTTAGAGCCGTGTGCCGGCTCACCCTGCTGATGGCAAATGTGCCCTCGAGTACCGGCTGCGTCTCGCACATTGTCGCCACGTTCAGCAGCACCACGTATTGCACCTCGCGCGGCCCGCGTAGAAGCCGTACTAACGCTTTGCCGACTTGACCGAGTTGAGCCTAGAAGGTTGGCAATCTTTTTACACATTTTAAGGCATACCTTAGGTCCACAATGGTAGTAGAGCTGGGTAACAGCCATTACAACGGCGCAATTACGGCTCTAAATCTTGGATTATTTCTCTTTATTCGAAACAAACCTGTAGTAGTGGTCTAGCACTAGCCAACAACAATTGCAGATCAGGATCGATCTTTCCCTTTTCTGGGCTCGAGAACTCATAGCGAGCATATCGGGTCAACAGGTTTATCATAACCACCTAAATTTGATTTTTTCTATCCGTATTTTCGAGCCTACCTGGCCCCATTCGTCGACGTCGGCTAGAGCACGGCAAAGCGCCCGGAAATGCTTGTGGAGGATGTCGTTTCTGCTAGGGCAGATTTCTTCGAAGGCATAAACGGCAGAGCCAAGCACCTGAAATGAATTTAGACGCATTCTTTTAACGACGTACCAAACTCCTACGATCTCCTAGGAGAAAATCTATACAATCGACCAGTTCCGCTTCGAGATCCGGGTCCAAAGCGTACAGTTTTGGAATTGCATGGGCGGCCACCTGGAAATGATACTAATGAAATCCCAAGCTTCATGTCGTTACCTTTCGAACATAGGGGCTCATGTCCCTGACGGAATCTTTTATAGATAGCAACATGATTGGAGCTATCATGCCGACACGAATCGACGACAAGACGCGTAAAGCCGATCCGCGAATCAGTTGATTTGGATCCTGGGATTAGCTTTGCTTAATTCCAAAACACACGAACAAACCTTCAAGGCCCGTTGAAAAGTTGAGATCGAAAGAAGCGCCAAATCTTGTTGTTCTTCGGCGTAACGCACCAAATAAACGTAGACCAATTTTTTCAACTAAAGAGGGGAAATTTTGAAGTATATTTTCTGACAAACTTCTAAATTTTTTGCTGCCACATTTTTGACTACAGCCGGAAAGAGTTCAGAGACGTCTTTGCCTTTCGCCAGCATCTAAATTACATTCAGGGATTCTATTTGAGGACCTACTTGTATTATTCGTTTCATAGCGTCCATTTTAAGCCCATCTTTGGATGAATCAAGCATCGCTCGGAGGTCCGCAAACCGACTGAAAGACATTTGGATGAGGTATAGTATACAGCCACTTACGTTTTGTTGTCGAGCATGATGCCTCCCTCGGCGATCTCGACCTCCGGAGAGGTGAGACCTTCGGGATATGCCATCCTCATCTATAAATTGATGAAAATAACCCACAAAATCCCTACACTTTCCTCACTTGGAGGCGGAAAATATATTTGGACCATCCTCGAAAGCGGAAGCGATCGATGAAATGGCCCCGAAAACCGACAAACAGCAAAGATAAGCGGGCCGGTTGAATGACCGGGGGCACACACTTTTGAACGCTGCACCAAAAGTTTATTATCATTGACGATTGATATATGGGAGACCCGAGCTCGAAAGACAAACAGGGCAAATAAATATGAAAATTCCTGAGAAACAGAACGCGTACAAAAAAAATCATTGCATAAAGGATCCAACACCGAGGAGCAGATTCCGCCGGGTCCAGTGTAGTCCGACAACCGGGGTGTTTTTCGTTGCATATTCGTAGATTTGGAAGTGCTCGGGGTTAATTCTGAAACCAAAAAGCATATTTTAAACGTATTAGCTTACTTTGGCTCGTGTGATAAATTCTCCTGCTGCGAATGCTGTCGAAGAAGCGATTCTAGAGAGTAGATGGTGATCGCAGAGTTTCCACGTGACACGGAAAAGGTGTCACCTAAAAGAGATGTATTTTCGGACCAAAAAAATATGAGAAAAAAACAGCAAAAAATTCTAACCTTCTCGTGTGAAGGAAATTGTGGCCATGGTGCAGGGGAATGCGTGAGTTTCCGCCGCGAGGAGGCGTTGGCTGGCAATGTCCCAAACACACAAATTACCATCACCAGATACCGTGACGATGTAGCGACCACATGGAGAGATCTGGAAGAATAATTGTTCATTATGCGTATTTTAGGCTAGGTCGTTGTTTTTATAAAGTGGCTTCCGACAAATGAAGGTATTAGGAAACAATTGGCATAAAACCCACCTTGATACCGCGGATACCAGCTTTATGACCGCCAAACGCGCGTACACAAGTTCCAGTCAAAACATCCCACAATCGAACATATCTGAAAAAAACGATTAAGGTGAAGCGTGTAAAACCCGAACCTGTCGTCACTACCGCCAGCTATGTAATTGCAATTTGGATGGTAGTCGATACACGTTACGTGACCGTAGCAATCCGGAAAGATCTAAAATTTACCGTAAAAACGGATTTGCCTAAATTCAAACTCACACGTAGCGGGTGCACTCGGTCGGTTGACCAAACGGTTGCCGTCTTGTCGGCGCCTCCAGTGCAGTAGTAATATCCGCGCGAGCAGAATCTCACATCCCACACAGGTCGACTAAGGCGATTTACAGTAACGTTCCTGAAATATTTTTGAAGGGCGAGAAGAGAGTCTTACTGGAAGGTGTCGACGCTCCACAGTCTGACCGTCGCGTCCGCGCCTGAAGACACGAGAAGCCTCCTCGTGGGATCGAAATTGACGGCGTAGACGGGGCCAGTATGTCCCTGAAAAAGAGAATCTAGAGATAGCTAGAAAGACCTACCGCCATGTTTACATATCGCGAAGCCGACGTCTCGTCGTACAACATTTCTCGGACCATATCGGGCTCGAGCTCTGGGACGTCAATCGGAAATTGAAAGGTACAAGGTGGACAACTCTAACCAGAAATAGCTCGATTTTTTTCGTGAAAAGAAGACAACAATACCTGCGTTAGCTCGTCGACCTCCTTCAACCGCTTCAACTGCTTCGTTTCATCGATGGCATAAAGCGCAATATTGGAGTCACTCAGCCTAATCACTTTTTAAAGCACGTGTCCAACAACTTACCCTAAAGCAACAATCAAGGAATCATCAGAGACATCACACGAAGCAACCCCGCCGTCTGTATTCAACGCCGTGAAGAAACAGATTGACGGCGGATTGTCGACCCCAACGTATGTCGAACGGCCAGTCTCTTCCTAAAAACGATAGAAAACAATTCCGAATAAAAATTCCAAACCTTGACCATCAGACTGCGCTCATAGCGCAACCATTCGTTCATAGGTAGTGGAATCCGATCTGCAGCCGGCACCATCACGTCACGCTTTTTACTAAAATAAACTATGACTTTCAAAATTACAACTTACTCTTTCGATTCCTTCGCCCGCATCCTCTTTTTGTCGCAATAAGGACTGTCTTCGCGGCTGACACCGTAAAATACCTAAGTGCATCTTGTTTTCGGGACGTTTAGTATTACCCGGTATTTTTAGGATCTTTGAAGGCAGCGTGTCCAAGCAGTCCACCCATTTGCCACTCGATGGAATTTTTATTCTTCGGAACGGCATCAGATGCTGGAAATACCCAGAAATCTCAGTCGATTGCGCTTAGCCTCACTTTCTAGGGCAATGTTATGCTTGGTGACGACCCGGAGAGTGGCATTTCGTTGCAGACAGTGCTCCAACTGCGTATTACATACTTTTGAGATCCGAATCACGAACGGAGATGCTCTAAACAATGAGTTTTAAATAATTGTCCCCCACTTGCCTGTACATTTGCACCAATTCGCTTTCTTGGGCTTGCTCCTTAGTGGTGATCCTGGACAGCTGTATAAGTGGCTCTTCGTAGGCTCTCGGAATCCGGCATCGAAACCGTTCAAAGAATTGTTTTGCTGAAATAATGATCCATAAATTATAGACAAAAAAATAAGAACCTGCGACTGGAGATACATCACCTAGCAGCCTGAGATATGAGTGTACGAACACTGGATACAGGAAAAGAGAAAGTTCCGCCTAAACTGGGTATATACTAATGATTAAAAAACCTGCAGCACATCATACGCGCCCTCAACGTTCTTGATAAAAGAAGCAAAGTCCGAAGCTACATTCTCACTAAAATACCGTCAGGCCCATTGTTTTAGAACGTACTTTGTGAACGCCCCGCTTTGGCCGCTGCCTGCCAAGCCGACCTCTTTCGCGAAGATTTCTTCCGTTTGCTGGAACCGTTAGACCTTATTTGATCCGGAAAATAGGTGTACCGTCATGTTGTTTTTACGCAAGAAGGCAAGGAGTTGCTGGTACACCTCGGGGCTCGGGTTGAGCTCAGCGAGGTCCAGCCCATCGTGCTCGGCTGGATCTGCCATCTATAAAGGGAGAGCATCAGCGTCATAATTGCAAACATTTATTCCGAAGTTTGGAATAAATTCTACAGCCGGGGAAAACTAAAAAATCAAGCTCATTCATGTGGTAAGCGAATCGGGCCGTGCATTGATCCGTTACGCCCTCCAAAATACGTCGTTAGCAACGGCGCGTAGTCAAAGCAAAAATGTACTTGAAAGAAAAACACCAACAAAAGTTGTCGTTTTGTATACCAATCCTATTTTAATTTCTCTTATGAAGGCGATAAGAAGATGCTCCACGGGAATCAACACTATTTCTTCGAGACGATATGCAAGCACGACACACATCATCCCCTTATCCGTCCGGGGAGTCGACAAGATGCCCTTTGAAGGCCTCCTCTCCGAATATCGCAGACTACACTTTGAACACGACATTTCCCCAGATGATCCGTTAGTGCAGCGACTTCTTATCGATATCTCGGCGGGAAAACGGGCGGCCCTTGCATCGGCAATCACCCTGGTTGAATCAAAGAACTTGCATAAACGAGCGCAAGGGAATTTCGTGCTGCAGGCATTGCTCCAGCAGGAGCGCGAAAAGCATGAAAAGTTCGGAAAAGACTCGATGATTTATAGGATCGCTATCTCGGGCAGCCCTGGTGTCGGAAAATCGTCATTTATCGACGCGCTTGGCATGGAGCTGATTGAAAAGCGAGGCAAGAAAGTGGCGGTGCTAACCATAGATCCGTCAAGTGCAATGACGGGAGGCTCTGTCTTGGGTGATCTAACAAGGATGCAAGAGCTTTCACGTCACCCAAAAGCCTACATCAGACAATCACCGACCTCCGGTTCCTTGGGCGGCGTCACCCGCGGGATTCATGAAGCCATTATTCTTTGCGAGGGCGCGGGCTATGATGTGGTCATCATCGAGACCGTCGGCGTCGGCCAGTCAGAGTATGCGGCCGCGGATATGTGCGACATGTTTTGCCTTCTACTTTCGCCAGCACATGGCGACGAACTTCAGGGCGTCAAACGAGGAATAATGGAATTGGCCGATTTAATTGTCGTCACCAAGGACGATGGCGACTTGGCAGGCAAAGCCAAGATTACGCAGGCTGAATACATTTCCGCGCTGAAATTTATGAGGCCCCAAGTGCCAGACTGGAAACCAAGAGTACTACGCTCGTCAATTACAAAGCCCGAGTCGATAGCAAAGGTTTGTGATGAGATGTACGACTTCTGGAAACACGTGGCGGAAACCGGGTTTTTGGAAACACGAAGGGATAATCAATTGACGAAATGGATGTGGAGCCACGTGAAGGACGAAATCATGAGCGCTTTTCGAAAGCATCCGAGAATCGTGGCAATGGTGCCAAAGCTAGAAAATGAAGTGTTGCGCGGTGAGAGCACACCAGGTTTGGCCGCTGAGAAGATGATACGCACGTTTTTCGGGTTGTGATTTTTCGCTAATTGTGATTGCTCATTTTTACGGTTGTATAGAGACTTTTTTTTCGATTGTTCTGATAATGCCAATTAGAACGCGTTTACGGGCATAAACTTTTTTTAGGAAAAGATGAGCTTCCTGCGAGGTTTGATCCCGGCGATGAAGGGAGCAGCCACGGTGACTTCACGAGTTGGTTTTTTGAAACTATATCAACCCTATTTTTTGGGGAATGGCTTCTCATCCACTGGCTGGAATGCTTGGTCGTCTCAACCACGTCGCCATCGCGACGAATAATTTAGAAAAGGCCACTAAATTTTACAAGGACCTTGGCGCCAAAGTCAGTGACGCTATGGTGAGATAATCAGTGTCATGTTTACGTTTATTTCAGCCGCAACCTGAGCATGGCGTCTACACAGTTTTCGTGGAGCTTCCCAATACTAAGCTGGAGCTGCTGTCTCCACTGGGCGAGAAAAGTCCTATCCAGGTAGGTCTAGCCGTCTCAACACTTGCAGCTTGAAACCTCTTCTACTCCGATTTTTAGGCGTTCTTGAACAAGAACAAAGACGGCGGTATGCATCACATCTGCATTGAAGTCAAGGACATCGAAAAAGCTTTGAAGAGTGTCAAGTAAGCCGAAGTCTTATCGCTGAAATGTCTTTAGGGAACTTGGCATCCGACCGCTGACAGAAAAGACCAAAATTGGCGCGCATAATAAGCCCGTTGTCTTCTTGCACCCGAAAGATTGCGGCGGTGTCCTCGTCGAGCTGGAACAAGAATAATAAAAGTACTTTGCCTTACATTCCATTAATTTTAGAAAGATCCATAAGAGGTTGTCTAGCATTTGAGTTGACGTTTTTGTGAGACGCGTTTACTGTGATTTTTTGGTGTTTTGCAGTCGATATTCGAAGAATGTTATTAGCCGTGCTGGTGTATTTTTTACACATTAATAAATCTCTATCAAAGACACCTGTTAGCAGAACCAGTATCAAAAGGGTCCGGAACTTCCCTCTGGCCGAGGCCCCTACCCCAGCTACATGCTACACCTTGGCTTCCTTCCACGATCGCCTCCCACCTTTTAGCCGCTTGCCTTACATTATCCAGCGTAATTTCAGGGTCACTTTTCCCCGCACAAAGTATGCGAATTGCTGGTGAACCTCCGACTTTTGATGGTAAGGTTTTTTGTTTATTCGCATCACGCTTTTAACAGAAGCCGAAATAATGGAAACGGACAAACTTCTCGACGACTATACCAATGCCGTAGGAAAGGCTGAAAATATGGAGGTTGTTGAGGAATCGTCGGGCATTGAAGGTACATTTCTTGCATGTTCGAGAGCACTTTCTTTCCAGAATCCACGGTGAACAAGCTTCTGGATGAATATACCGATATCGACGGCCACGCAAATATCGATGAGGCTGATATAGTAACGCTACTTTTCCAATGTGAACAAATTTTTAGGATGACCTGCTTAATGATGGACCTATCGACGACGTTGAAATGCCCGAGGTGATTTTGTCGCTATCTCTGGAATATTTAATTTTCAGGAGTCCGCAGAACTCGATGTTATTCCCTGCTCACCAAGCCGCTCTGTAACCCCAAAAAATTGCGCTGGTTTGTCCATGCGTTCTTTTCAACAGTCTGAGTTTAGAAATATCCCTGCCGCAAAAAAACCTCGATCAATGGAGATTTGGTATATCTAGACGCCGATAGTAATTCCGCCCGCGACAGCGTGCCGGCAAAGGAGGGTTTATCCGATGCGGAAGAGCCATCGACCAGTATGCATGAAATCAACAGAAAACCCGAAAATGACGTCGATACGATCGCTAAGGTATTGTCATCGCAAGACCATTTCGTCATTTTCCTGTAGGTTTTGCATGCAATTGTGGATCAGGTGGCCCGCCTGGAAACAAGCAGCCTTGATACAATGGTCAAAGTTGAGTCGTCTCAAAATGACGAAGAGTGCAAAATTACGAAAACGGAGTCAGCTGACGTTGTGGACCTTGAAAATGAGCTTCTCGTAAGCATTGATTTTTCATTGGCATATCCATGTTTTGAGGAGGAAGACGTAATAGTTTTGGACGAGGATGCCGCCGCGCTCGAGCCAACGCCGAGCTTGACGCAAGCTGAGGTCCCGGAACCCGTTGCGGTATTTCTGCGATGTGATTTTATCTGGTTTTTAGGATCCAAATCCGCTGGAGCGCGTATCCGTTGGACTTGGCATGAGACCCCGTGAATTATACAGAGTAGGTTGTCTGGCCTTTGGGGATGAACATTTTTCGTGCAAAATTTAGAGCCTTTTTAGCGCATGGAACGGCACTTCGTACAGCAAGGACGACAATACGTGCAGGCGTACGTTTGAACGTTTTTATTGAACTTCTTTTAGTTTGGAGAAAAAAGTGGAAACCCAGGATAAGTTGATCGAAGACCTACAACGTCGAATCGCCCTGCACGTGCAAAGGAACGATGAATTGGTGCAGCAGGTGTTGCCTACCTCGTTTCTTATTACTTTTTGCTTTTCCAGCGAAACGTGTATATGCAGCGGATTCCTGCTTTGGCCGAGGAGGTGGCGAAGTTGAAGAAAGCCAGTCTCACCGCAAATGCCGCGCTCCAGCAGGTACTGTGTGCAATATATTCCTTGAGTAGTATCTGTTGTAAGGTTCGAAATATGGGCGTGCGGACTGGTGCGGTTGGCTCACCAGCCAACCGAGTAGCACCAATGATGAGGAGCGAGCCGCCTTCGACGGCGATCAAACGGCCGGTCCCATCTTCGAGCTCAAATGATCACAAGCGCGTGTCAAAGCCGGCTGGTTCAGTGCTGCCCAGCCCGTAAGCTTATTGTGCGCTTCGTTGCTAATCTATTCCCAGTCTCTTGAAATTATTCGGGTTCGACTTGTCTGCGAGCAGTCGTGTCAACATCGATATCGGCGTTGTTTCGGCGAATGCAGTTTTTCCGATCACGCAGGTAAGCTGAAGCATCTCTCTCTCGCCATAAGCTTTAGCAAGATTACGAATATGTATCAGGTTGGAACGAAAGTTCTGTCGCCGAGATTTTGGAAGGCTGGCTAAATTCGTAGATAGCTCCATTCTGCACATGCGATATGTCATTTTGTAGGTCTCGGCCTGAACGGTTTTGGGAGGAGGGTCCTGGGTCCTCAAAATCAAGCACGGCCGAGATACAGGCCCAAGAAGATTTTTCAAAAATTACGAGAAAGTGTTTTTGCAAGTTATCTCTGCATAGAGCAATTTGCATGCGATACTTTAACGCCAATCGATAGCTCTCAAGGAGTAGATATTGATAGATGTTGAGATCATCAAAATTGGACACTGGATGGCCGAGATATGGCCTCTTGAAATTTGGCCCATTTCTTAGAACTTTTCTTAAGATCCCATACATTTCCAAACATGGACGGACAGGTGCCAAAAATTACCGCTTTATTTTTGGACTAGCGGAGAGGATTTTGAAGAAATGTATGGGATTTTGAGAAAAGTTCTAAGAAATGGACCAAATTTCAAGAGGCCATATCTCGGCCATCCAGTGTCCAATTTTGATGATCTCAACATCTATCAATATCTACTCCTTGAGAGCTATCGATTGGCGTTAAAGGTATATGCAAATTGCTCTATGCAGAGATAACTTGCAAAAACACTTTCTCGTAATTTTTGAAAAATCTTCTTGGGCCTGTATCTCGGCCGTGCTTGATTTTGAGGACCCAGGACCCTCCTCCCAAAACCGTTCAGGCCGAGACCTACAAAATGACATATCGCATGTGCAGAATGGAGCTATCTACGAATTTAGCCAGCCTTCCAAAATCTCGGCGACAGAACTTTCGTTCCAACATGATATTTAGATGAATACACTGCGAATCCTACCTACCTCAATCGGTGGCTGGGTGATGCCTCCCGTCATCGCCAATGGCGCCTATCGGCCAACGCTCACGCCAACTACAGACTTTGCCGGTAAACCATTTCTCGTTCCCACCAAATCAATTTTTATAGACTTTCTTCTGTCTCGAAAGTTGCACACTGTCGCGCAGTATCAGGTCCCCAACCAGTGCAGTTTGCAGGATTGTGCGGTAGTGTCGCATCCAAATGTTTCAAATTTCTTTAGGTGGGAATATTTTACGCCTTGCGCTCAAGCCACCAGAAATGGAAGGTACGTCCACTTCCGGTGGATTATTAGAATTTTTTAGATTGGTACCGTGATTCGACCGACCAGCAACGAGGCGGGTACAAAGCTGAAGATTTGCTTCGATTTTACCAAAAGTAAGCAGGGGCCTTATACGATTCCATACGTTACCGTTTTTTAAAAATGATACGTTCTAAAATCAGACCTTTGCATTTTGTTTGCTGCTTTTGTTACTAATCCTAAAACCGCCATCTTGAAAAGTGATCGTCGAAAATAGGCCTCTTCGAAAAAGTTATTTTGGAAAATGATGGCCCGCAGCAGTATACGGACACTTCGAATTCGATATATCCTTGCTGATCCAATTATTCCCTTATTTTCAGACTTATGTATCCAAACCGACTGCTTGAACGCGATGGTGGTGCTGTTCACTCCGATCGGCAACTACTCCAGCAGTCTCTTCGTCCAGGACTCGATTGCTCAAGATTTGTATCCTGTCGGCTAGACACCAATTGTTTTACCCCCTCTTTTGAGTCCCCGTCCTTTTGTTATTTTTAACAGATCTCACATGTTGCACATTGTACCGGTACTCGCTTTTCTTCGAATAAACCGTTGAGAAATTGTTGTTGCCCTGGTTTTTGGCTTGACGACGCGCCACATATCTGTAACCTAGTTCTCGAGTATTATCAATATCTTTATTTTAGATGGTTGACCTCTATCCGGCCGCCATTTTGGATAGTGATGCCGAGGCGGATCCTCTTGAGGAGGAAGAGGACAGTGATATCGAGGAGGAAGAGGTGGTTTTTTTAGGCTGAGGGAAAAGGCTATTCCCAAAAAGTGTTCTATTCGTACTGGTCCTGCTTGATCATTCACAGATTTTCAGGCCCTTCATGTTCGTAAGAAGCGTAAAGTTGCCGGTGCTGCAACGGAATTTGCGGCCTCGTTTCAATTTGACATGTTCGGTGGCACAAATGATGCCGACAGAGAAAATCAGGATTTGAAGAAGTCCGTCCTTTTCAAATCGGCCTAATTCTGTTTAGATACCTGAAAAAGACGCCAACTTCGACCCTTGAAGAAAAGATTGCGGCCGAACGGAAACGAAAGAGCACCGGGGAAGAAATGAAGGTTTGCCTTGAGACTAGTTTTGCAAAAAAAAGATCAGATGTCGCTTGGGACCGAGAATCCTGATCAGGAGATTGAGCAACTTGGCAAGGATGCTAGAGGTAGGGCTGATGCTTGTCAATCCACACTGGCATTTAGATGCCCTGAAATTGAAGGACAAAAAGGGAAAGGGCAAGAAGAGCAAGGCGGAAATGGATTTCTTCGAAGAGTTGAAGGCTACAAAGGATGAGGACCGGCTTTCATTTGATCAAATGAACTTGAGCAGACCGATATTGAAAGTAGAGTTGAAATTGATTCATATATTACCCCCCGTCTTTCAGTCTATCGGCTCGGCTGGGTACACGGAACCGACTCCAATTCAAGAAGCTTGTATTCCTGTGGGATTGGCTGGAAAGGACATTTGTAGGGCTACAATTGATTTCTCATTTGTCGTTCAGGTGCTTGTTCGGCGACAGGTACAGGCAAGACGGCAGCTTTTGCTCTTCCAATCCTCGAAAGGCTGTTATATCGCCCCTCCCAGCGCTCCATTACCAGGTAGCTCTATTTTTAAAGCCGGAGTAGAAATATCAATGGAATTTTTTTAAAGCTGACGATTTTTATAGAGTCCTCGTCCTCGTGCCTACTCGTGAATTGGCCATCCAAGTCTTCCAAGTATTCCGCAAGCTCTCCGTCAATTTGCCGCATCCGCCGGATGTTTGTCTGTGCGCTGGTAAGTTGCGTCGTTTTTATCAAGAGTTTGCTAGGTTTTTTTTATTTTTGCGTAGGTTTAAGGCGCAATTTTATCTTCAAAACTTGTCAACATCGGGATGAGATCCCGTTGACAATAAATAGCACTTCACGGAAGTGAAACCCGTCGTCTATGCACAGAAAAAAGGGTCTTGAGCCGCAAAGTTTGACCGTCTATTTGGTGGCTCTGCTGGAGAGAGAGGGAGAGGAGAGCGCGAGGGGGAGGGAGGGGCGAGATAGAGACCACCGCAAAAATTTGAGAAGTGTCTAATAAGCCAAGGAAGGTAGGAGGGTTTGGACGCGGTTATTGGCATTGCGCACGACAAAGGTCACGTAGCTGAGGGTGCCGGTGGTGATCACGGCCGAAGTGTAGAAGGCGTACGTATAGTGGTAGTGCTGCACCAAGTGCGACGCGTAGATTGGTAGAATGAAGTGGGTTAGCCATTGGCACATTGATGCCAGGCCAGTGGCTTTTCCTAGGTCGGTGCGTTCGACGGCGCTGAAAATGGCGGGTTACGTTTATTACGCACTATTTTTCGCTCTCTCTAATATGATCGTAGGGCACTGATTTCAAGCGTATGCTCTACTATTACTACGTATACAGCTGCTGAGAAAACGAGCGAAATAGAGACGCAGTTGTTCATGGGTGCATACGTCCAACTACCTGAACGTGTGCTATACTCCTTCCTTTAGTCCTTTAAACCTTAATTTCTATTTTTGTCTTATCTACATCCCGGATTTGAAGTTTTTGTATAGCCGATAGGATAATCGATTCTTGGCTCTAGGAAAGCGCGACCCCCAGAAACGGGTTTGTCCTGCCTGCCAGGGGGTCCGGTCGGGCGGGGCAGACCCTGTCTCCTTTTTGCGATCGGCTGCCTTCCTGGCGAGGAAAACGACACGAGTATTGGTTTTGCGAGCGCACTATACGGGGGCAGCCCCCTTTCACACACAGCATCCGGAAGGGCAACCGACCTGGTGATTTGAGTCGAAGTCTCCGCATACGCGACTGCGTAGCAGCCCGTCTGCACGGCGGTAATCACTAGGAGTTGCTCAAAGGATGTGGTGAAACTGGCTGAGGCATAAGAGACGAGAAGCCCGATCAGCGCGATCTGAAAGAGCCCTCGGTTATCCTCGCGCCCAAGGCCACGCGAACCTGGAGCAGGGTTTTTGGGTTGGCTTTTCGCTGCAGGATGGGCAGGAAAATAAACTGCACGGCGAGCAGGGCGGCAGCCATGACGAGCAGGACATAGGCCGAGTCATTGGTGTCCTTCATGTAAGCGCGGAGCAAAAAGTTCCTGGCAATCATCTCGTAGCAAACGTAGGCAGCCACCACGCATGCTCTCACGATCAGTCCCTCGCGGAGGTGGACGTTTTGTCTGAATTCAGGATTTAGGGAATTGTTTCGGATTAGAAGGTAACCTTAATTGAAGAGTTTAAGGTAAAAATATGTAAATTTCAATCCGTTTGGGAATTTATTTAGACTTATTTTATTAATTCAGGATTTAGGAAATAGCCTTATTTAATTTATTTAGACGCCAATGACCCAAAACCTTGCTTTTAAGAGATTATTAGCCTTTATATATTTTTCAAACGATTTCTTGTTTAGTCGGGGCCGTATGGTCACAAGCTATCAAAATTTAGCCTCGGTATTTTTAAATCTTGAGTTGTTCAACCTTAGATTTTGGGCCGAAATTTCTCGTGAAATCTTATTTTGCCCTACCTGATCATGTGGAAATAGTCCTGGGGTCTAAGTTTGGCAGAAGCAAGCCGGGGAATCGAGTGGGTGGTGGGCAGCATGAACGTAAGCACCGGCATCAGGGCGACCAGTACAAAGCACCCGCAGACAAACTGCGAAATGCGCAGCGAGGTGAAGGCGGCAATCTTCGAGCCGAGGATCGGTCCGAAGAACATAGCGGCTGCCTAGGATTTTTTAAGTATACTTTATGCGCGGTGTTTGGCTACCTGGGGCATGGTCAGCTTCATCAGCGCACCAGTACGCTCGCCCTCCGTGGTGACGGTGGCAAGGTACATCTCGGCGGTGCCATCCAACTGGTATCCAAACCGGAAGATCTGAATGTTTTCTAAGATGAGGATCTAGTGCAGGTGCATACCTGGAGGAAGAAGAACGCATACCAGCTTCGAGCCATCGAAATCCCGCAATAATAAATGCAGGTCAGGACGCAGGAGACCATAAACATGGTCTTGGCCCCGGTGCTGTCGGCAATCTGGCCGAATGCCAGTGCTCCGACTGCGTTGCACAGCGATCCGAAAGCTTGAATATAGCCGAGATCGACGATGGTCATCACTTCGTCGGTGTCCCATTGCAAGAATGAAAGTAGCGTGGTTGTCCACTGGGTGCCCATGTGCCAGATGCCAAATATAAGGCATAGCACGAGCATAACACGTTGCTTCTTTTCGAGGGACATCTTGGCGAGATGACGCTAAAGAGTTTTAGAATTAGGTCCGGATTTAATAGCCGGGGCAATAGTTGGAAAGTAAAAGTATAATCGTCTTTTTAGGTGATAATTTTTTCGGTCGGATAAAACTAGTTAATCCGATCCGATAGAGGCTTCAATTCTGTAAAAGTACAATTTTTACAATGCTGCTAAACGATAAAGATCTTAGGCAATTTTGCCTAGGTTTCCTTCAAAAACATCAATTTTACTCCCTTTTTGTGGAAAACCAGCAGTTTCTAAAGTTCGGAATTGCGCAGAATTTCAAGCTCTGTCATCGAAGCCCTCCATTATCACCTAAAAATTGACTTCTTGTTCTAGAAAAAACAAAGAAGCTGTAGAGGCATTTTTGAGATCAGGACCATGTAACGGACACCCAAAAATAGCGTGATTTATCAAATAACATTGAAAGACTGGATAGTGAAGGTCGGGGGGTGACTTGGATCCAAGTCGACGGATAGGCGAGCTGCGTAATCGGCGCTGCCGGAGGCATCCCCCGGTCGTCCGATGGAAGATAGATACAGGCGGGGGAGTCCTTCCTCCCCTTCCCCCCTTCAGCGCGGAACCCATTCTCTCCGCGCTGCCCATCCCACCACTCTCCTCCACACCACCAGCCCACCCCTTCACCCCGCGCGCGCAACGTATACAAGACATCCCCCTTCTCTCGCGCTCACCCGCCCACTCCGGACCGGTTCTTGCGCCATCCCGAAAACGTGAATTCGTCCCTATCCCCCCGGTTGCCCGACACCACACCGCAGAGGTATTTTTTTGGAAGTGCCGACGGTGGTGGTTGGAATGCCTGGGGGAGATCAGTTGCATTTTGGGGGATTAAGAACTTCTGTGGAACTTATAGGGTTTTGAAGCAAGGCTTATTACGGCTCTAACAAGGAATGGTTTTTAGGGAATTTATTTTGCGACGTTCAAGATCATTCGATGGTGCTTGAAATTCTGAAGAAGCCAGCTTTCAAAAACAGCTGAATAATCTTAACGATATCTGAGAAAAAGGCTCTAAAAGATCATGTTTTATGTGAAGCGGAAATAAAAATAGGCAAAACAGGCCGCTTCAGAGCCAAATTTATCCAAAGTTAGTGTTTAGCGGTTTTTAAAACAAGGGATTTTTCCAGTAATTCAAGTTTTATCGAATTAGCTATATCGTAATCTCCATTACGAGCTAGCAACAACTTGTCATAGGGTAGCTGTGTGTACCACGCTCTAAGAATTCATAATTATCTTTATTCCTCCATAAATTCAACTTGGCACTAAAACAACTAATCGAGCTTGGGTACCGTATTTAGTGTGATGCCGGTCATGGGCAAAAAGGCCGGTTGTGACCTCATGAATTTGCCGAAGCGCGTGACGGCGGGTATGGCCAGTAGAGAAATCAAAGCTCCGCAGTAGCACAACTTTGCGTAGTCATTTTTGTCGACCAGCATCCCCGCGACGAGCGGTGTCAATCCTGCGCCCAGCAAATGCACGCTGCGCAATAGTGCAGCAACCTGGAATTTTGGTTTTTATGAAGCTTAAAATTACGCCCACTTTTCCCGCGTTTTTCTTGCTGACGGTGGACAGGATCTGTGAGGACAGTTCTCCAACAGAGACGGCGACCAGAGCTACTTGGATACAAAGCCCGAGTAGCAGATTGTAATAATGGTCGTCGTTGCTGAAGCTCAGGTGGATGTACGAGATAGTGAGCACCGAAAATGAGCCAGCCAGGAGCTAGAATCGTTTATTTTCGACCACAATACTAGCTTACTTGCTGTGGCTTGAATTTAGTTTGCAACCAGGGGTAGAGCCACAGATTTACGGCCAATGTTGTACCGCCGAGGACCAGAAACTGAAGGGATTTTTATGTTCATGGCCCTTGCCAATCCTCGCGTCTTTTCTACCACATAAAGCGCGACAATTAGAAAGCTAGAACTTACCACATAAATCATGCTTGTTGGATTCCGGACAATAGCACCCGTTAGCATGGCCCGAATTACTTGATCATAAGCTTGATATGGCCCCACGACTGCCTAGAGTAATCACCGATTAGGGTATCTCTTTAATACCTACCAGCAGTAGACCCATGCAAAGCGCAGTTCTCTCATTTTTGATCAACTCGAAATAGCTACCAATTGATGGAAGCGCAAGCTTGAACCCTCGCGCTAAATTTTTTCTTTTTTTTTGTTAGGTTCCCTTACGGTTTTCATGCTCCGGAAATGCAAAGCAGATGAGCGGCAGAACCGTGCACAAGTGCATCACAACGTTCATCGTTTGGCAGACACCAATATGAGCAGTGATCAGAAACATTGTCTAGATTCCGTTTGATTATAATATTTTTTTAAAGATTACCTGCAGTGCTAAATATGGCCCCAGCGCGTAAGCTATACTTTGCGGAATCGCGAGCCTCGAGATCAATATTTTGCGTTTTTTGTCATCGCCGTCCTCGCCTTCCATCTAAAGTTATTTTCGATGTGGAACGATGTTTTCGTACCCACCTGGCATACCATGGCATCAATCGCGACCGACAGGTTATTGAAGACGAGCAACATTTGCACGGCGACAAAACCATAGAGGCTTGTCACTTGGGTTATGAGGAATTGATAGAGTGCCGTCATTAAAGTGATGATGATGGCCGTTTTTCGAACCCCCAATGCTTCTATCTAAATCAGTGTTTCGAAATTTTTGGTCCATAACTTCTTTTTTTTAAGCGTACGTCGACAACTATAAACTACTGCGTCTCTATGTAAGTAACCATCTCTCTCTCTCTCTCTCTCTCTCTCTCTCTATCTCTCTATCTCTCTATCTCTCTATCGCTATCCTTTGCCTCAGTCTCCCCTGCGTAAATAGGTGCATACTTAGTACTGTCTGAACTTGCGCCCTAAAAACCCACCATTTGAGCGACTAGGAAACTTCCAAGGCCCGTTGAAATTGCCCCCATAGACGTGACTTTGACGACAACTTGGAAATCGCCAGGCGGTAGCAGTTGCCACTAAAAATATGTTCTTGTTGATTCAGACTGACCATTAAACCTCATCAGTTATTACCTGAAAGAACGGAAGCAAAACCCGTGTCCATTGGTCAGCCGTATGATAAAAGCCCGAAGCAAACAGTAGGGCCACTTCGATCCGTGATCTCGCTTTCCGAAGCATAATGACGGCCGGCTAGATTGATTTAAGACATTTTTTAAATCAGTTCTCAAAAAGTAAACGTGAAATCAATTTGGATGGGCTAGCGCTCTTTTCCTAGGCCCCGGGGCGAAAGAAAGGGAATTGCGAGGGCTACTTGAAATGGTCAAGAACTGGAATAGGCGCAGCGAGTTGGGGAAAGTGTAAGCTTTGAAAAACCCCCTCTCAGATGCCATATTTTCGAAATTTGACATTCACAAGGAAAGCTCCGGATGGCTCGAACGTCGAATCTGCCAATTATGGAGGGGACCGCGGGCCCGGCCGATCTCCCACGCGGCAGATGAGCAAACGGCTGCTGCTCGTCAACCACAATGAGCCCACTAGTCCGGTGGCACGAAGAGTCGACTCGTGTCTGTGCCGCCGTTTTTTCGCCCAGACCCGGAACGATTTTACGGGGATATTTGCAATGCGGAATTCGTGGCCATGTTGCTGAAATTTGAAGACGCTTGCCCGTCTGGTTTTTTTACTTATATGGACTGGGGAGATTGGGAATTTTGCGATAAAACATAGCTCACACGCAAGAAAAATTGCTGAAGCATATTAACGTAATTTTTTAATTAGAAAAAACCAAAACTAAATAATTTTCTCGAATACAGTAACCTGGCAATAGTTTTTTCTTATATGTGAGGGTTGTCGCAAATTTCTAGCTCTTTCGGACGATCAGATTCTTCTTGCAAAAATCTATTTCCAGCTGAAAAAAATCTTTATTAACAGGTCAGAATTTTTTAAGCTAAAAAATCTATGTTGGGAAAGGGGAAATTGCCATAGCAGAAAGCTGAGTGGGCGCAAATTCGACGAAATGTTGACTTTGATGGGGGATGCGGATGGGGACGGCACGGCCCGCTTTTATGCCGGTTTTCAATAAAGTTGCTAGGCACAATGGGTGATTGTGGACGGGCATGCTATTGATCGCTACCTTCAACGAGACCGTTTTCAGGAGGTCTCGATCTGAAGGCACAGGAGGCTGCACTCCGTCTTGGGCCGGATATCGTTGTGGCAACGCCTGGTCGACTTCTCGACCATCTCCACAATGCTCCTTCGTTCACGCTGGCGACAATCGAGGTATTTTGGGTTAAAACGGATTGATCATGGCCGGCGGGCCGAAATTTGTTCCGAAAGCGCTTTCCAAAAACAGTTTCCCGAAAATTTTTTGCGCGTTGGCATCCAAATTTTTCGCTTTTCCGATAAATGATTTTCAGACGGGTTTTTGACCATCGTTCTGACCCTCTGACATTTTTAGGTGTTGGTGCTTGACGAAGCCGACCGGATGCTCGAACAGGCTTTCGAGGAGCAGATGAAAGAAATCATCCGCCTGTGCGCCAGCAAGCGCCAGACGCTTCTCTTCTCGGCCACGATGACTGACCAAATCGAACATCTAGCCGACATGTCGCTGAAGAAACCCGTCAAGATTTTCATCAATGAGAACACTGAGACGGCGCTGCGACTACGGTAATAGTCTGATTTTTACCAAGACTAGTTTATTTTAGACAAGAATTCATTCGGATCCGGGGAAATCGCGAGGAAGACCGGGAGCCGATTGTGGCTGGGCTGGTAACGAGAACTTTCCAGGTATCGAATTTTCATTTAATAACATTCGACTCGTATAATTTAGGAACAAACGATGATCTTCGTCAAAACAAAACGCTACTGTCAACGGTTGCAAATCGTACTCGGGCTACTCGGCGTGAAAGTGGGCCAGATGCACAGCAGTTTGACCCAGTCGCAACGTATCGACGCGTTGGCCAAGTTCAAGCGCAGAGAGGTAGCACTTCATTAGCACCCCCCTACCAACCTTTTAGCTCGATGTGTTGGTTTCAACCGACTTGGCCGCTCGTGGTTTGGATATTGAGGGCGTTCAGACTGTAAGCGATATCCTGCCGCTTCCAATCTCATTTTTAGGTGATCAACATGAACATGCCGAACAACATCAAGCAGTACATCCATCGTGTTGGTCGTACGGCTCGTGCCGGAAAAGCTGGTCGTTCGATCTCGCTCGTTGGGGAGGAGGACCGGAAGTTGTTCAAGGAGATCCTCGCCCACAATCAGGACAAGCTGCTGAAGCAGCGTGTCGTGGCTCCAGGTCAGCTGCACGTTCTCTAACTCACAGTATTTGATTTAGAAGTCATCGCCGCTTACAAGGGACGCGTTGATGACCTCGAAGAATCGGTGGCAAAGATTGAAGAAGATGAAAGGGTGGGGATTACCTTTCAAGCTTCATTTCCGAGTTTTACAGACCGAACGTTCGATTCGGATTGCTGAGGCTGATTTGAAGCGCACAGAAGAGCGTGTGGAGCATGGAAAGTCTGATCGCGACGGCAGGAACTGGATCAAGCAGCCCACAGATGCTGGTGAGTTCTTGGCCTTGCTGTTTTGTGTTAAGAATATTTTCCAGAAAAGCTACGCAAGAAAGAGGATAAGCGCAAACTCAAGGAGCTGGAAGCTAAGAAGAAGAAAACGGAGAAAACGGTTTGAATAGATGTTTGTGTGATGGGACTCAACATTTTAGGGAGAGGAGAAGCAGGCCGATCGTGCCCAGGCGTTCCAGGCGCGCATGGCGAAACGGCAGCGCAAGGGCAAGCGAATGCGTGCCTTGGCCGATAATGATAATCAGGTGGCACAATCATGCCCTTGTGATCAAAATTTTAGGGCAAACAAGGCAAGCTGAACAAGACGAAGGGTGGCAAGGTGAAGAAATCGTCGTTTACTACGGAACTGGCCGGCATCAGCAAGCGGGGTGTCAAGGCTGCAAGGGCTGGGTCAGTGCTTTTCTTGCAATACATATTCCATTCATTTCAGGCCAGAAGACGCCGGCTTCCGCACGGCCAAACGGCAACACATGAAGGGTGGAAAGCAGAAGAGGAGCTGAATTATTCCACCGAGTTGTTTATCGAATTATCGTTGATTTTCTGTTGTTTTTTGTTGTTGACCGGCTTATAAATTTGTTGAATTTCGTGGTTCGCCTCGATCGAGAACTGTATCTCCAACAGTCCATGGAATGTTGGGGGAAAGGATTCGCGGGGAAGACGAGGCTGATAAAATTATTTATTCAGGGATGATAAAAGGGTTATTGCACATCTTCACAGAAATTTGGAGTGATAATTTTCGAGTTAATCGATGTCGTTAATTGGGGTTCAATGGTTGGCGCGCTGCTGCTTGCGGGTGTGGCGAAGGGTTTGGGCCATCAGATTGATCGACACCTCCTAAAGCGGGAGGAGGCAGTTATTTGCCCGGCAGCTTTGACGGCTACCTTGTATTGATTGAGCTGTTCGAGGAAGATGCGTGCGTCTTCTCCGCTGAACACCGAGTGCTCCACCAACTCCCGGGCCACCTTCGGGAGCAGCTCCCTGAATTTTGGAGAGCCTGAGCAACAGGTCGGAAAACGCACTTGGCAATGATGATATCACCGACGGCTCGCCGAAGATTCGCAGCAAATTCAGGGCCGTGCTCCCGGTCACCGCCACGGTGAAGTGACAGCCATTCGAACGCCTTCTGAACAACCCGGATTAAAGGATAGGTCAGATGATGAACCTGTCGGTCTGGACCGATCTCCTTCTTGAGCCTCATTTTGCGGCCGACGTTCAGAATCTAGGTCAGATTCGAGTTTACGCCGTTAGCCGGTTGTGATTTTAAATATGGCCTCCCATCTAAACATATAAAAATACAGCAAATGTTTCGCTGGTTGGCTTAAGTGCAGTCCAGCCGACCCACCCCCCACCTACCGTATCTCCGCTCCCTGTTCATCTACAGGTGTGTAAAGTATACCAAAATACTCGCCAGAGCAAGACGAACATTTTGGTATACTTTACACAGCTGTAGATGAACAGGGAGCCGAGATACAAAAGTTGGGTGCCGGCTGGGCCCATGGGCGGGAGGGTAAACTGCACTCTAACCCGCTGGTTTTGTAAGGATGTATTACCATGGCACCGAAAGAATTAGCAGAAGATCAAAAAAATTGAGATGGAAAAGTTGGAATATCGGTCGGCTCTGGAGTATGCTCAATGGTACCTTAGCAAACGTTTAACTCTCTGCACACCTCATCGACATCAACGCGCAAATGGTGAGCGGGCAGGCGACGGGTTGACCTGCGAGCCGGCTGGTCGGTGGCGCTGAACGGCACCGGATCGGCGGAACCATTCGGCGGCGGGCGACGCCAATCTTCTCGCATACGCGGCGGCGCGTCCGGATTCTTCGGGTGCCTCGCGCTGCCCGAACCATTCTAGAGAAATCGATGACCGTTTTGGCCATTTTTTTGTCTCATACCTTGATCAATCGACGCGAGCTGCTCTGCGTCTTATCCACGGGCAGCAGCTCACCATCCACTTTTTCTTGCGAGTAATTCTGGGGCGGTGTGGTGCACGGGGGGATTTCGGGGATGCTAGAACCACTGTTTGAAAAAAGGAGAATTCTTACGTAATCTGCTTGGGCTCGGGCTCGGGTCGCTGCTGCTGGCTGGACAGTTTCGACGAGGTGCCATGTTGTTGCTGGCTGGACTGTTTGGCCGAATTGACTTGTGGCGGTGGCTGCGAGTGATTGGCCGAGTCGACGCGACGGGTTTCGGGGCGGCGCTCCCTCTCTGGCTGATATTTTCGGCGGAACTGAAGCTTTTGCAAAGTCGATTAGTTTGAATAAAATTGGCGTAAATTAAATTGACGATGACAGACGAACAACGAGGTTTGCGAAACAATAACGTCGCTTCTCGTCTGTCATAGTCCCATTAGACAACCTGCTCCTGGGACCGTTTGCCACCGTCATGACGGAGATGGGCAGAAGAGTCGACGGGTTGTGCGCTGCTTGGCTCGATCCGATCCGACTGAAACTATCGTATTTGCTGTTCTAAGAGTAGTTTCTTTTACTAATAGTATCCGTAATCAAGCGAAACCCGACCATCCACGGCAGTTGCTGTGTCTCGCTCCTCTTCTTGCCATAATAGCTTGCTTTCGGCGGTTTGCCTCCGCTTCCGGTCTTTGTGCCCTGGTTGCTCGAGTAGGTGTATTCTCGAGATCCTTGTTTCGGAACCCAACTGCGGTCAGTGGAAGGTCGCGAGCCAGAGTTTTTCTGGTGGTGATGTGAACCCTAGGCGACCATCTCAAACAAAAAACTCTGGCAAACCTTTTGCATTAGATAGCTGGAAGAGGCTCGACCAGAGGGCCTCTTCTCCTGGTAATGCGGCGGCCCCTCGGCGTGTTCATCCGAAAACCCGAGCGTTGAGCGACGCCGGAGGTTCTCGGCCGAGCTGCGTCCTTCTAAAGAAACCAAAATTGATAGGTTTTTGCAAATATCCCGACTGTAATTCTGGGTTCCCTTCCGGCGCGTGTTGATCGGCTCGGCGCTCAAATGCTCTTTGGATCGGCTGGCTCGCTGGGCTGCAAGTAATAGCGGGTTTTTCCGTAGTCGAATTCGTACCATGATATTTGGCGATAATTTCTTTGCTTCCGAGGTTCTCGTTCGATTTGCGGAGTGCTGAAACAGCGTTATATTCTTTTTTTTCCAGGCTGACGGTACCCTGAGAGAAGCGGCCCTTTTTCACGACGTCGGCGACGAGTGTGATGCCCTCCTCCCGTTTTGCTGTTCGAGTTCGGGTGCGGCGATCCGGTGAGTGGCCCCTTCTGTTTAGGAAGGTTCTGTGTAGGGGGTAGATAAAATTTTGACCTCATAACCAACCCGCCTGCCATCGAGTAGTGAGTATAAAATGAGGAGGACTACTTTTTCCGACCAGTTTTGGCAGATTAGTGAAATTTGATATTCTGATTGCCGGGTGAATTACCAAATTCAGGTGCTTTCACATGATCGGGTGGAATCAACTTTCTTTCCTTCCGAGAGAAATGTAATTTTAACAGACATGGCAAACGGCCGGGCCGCCGGCTTTTTTTGGCAGGAAAAATTAGCATGCGGCCGAGCCGCGCGGCTTGGCCGGAGCTTCCGGTCCGGCCCCGGCTTTTTTATGTTCTGAGGCCGGAGCCCCGGCCAAGCCGCCGGCTTTTGAAAAGCCGGAGCCAAATGAGATTTTCGCGTTTCCGGTACGCAAATTGGGGATTCAATCAATAATTGGCTTTATGGCAAGGGATAAACTGTTCCACCATAGAAAGTTTGTCATTTCCATTCACAATTTTGCATAGGTTACACGGATTCTATAAGTAAATGAACAACTTCCGGTTTCCCGGCTCGGCCGGACCGGCTTGGCCGGGCCGCAGCTAAATGCCGGTTGGGCCGGGAAGCCGGTTTTCCGGAAGTAAGTCATTAACGCGGCTCGTAGGGGGCCGGGTTTTTATGGAAATTAGGCCGGCGGCTCGGCCGGGCGGCTGGGCCGGCCGGGATTGCCATGTCTGAATTTTACTCATAGAAACCGAGGAGCACGGCTCGCCAAAGGGCACTTTAGTACAGGACGCGCCTTTAGCCGTCCGGGCTCTGTGGGTCGGCGTCGCCCATATTAAAAACCCAGAAAATCTACGGGCGGGTTTTTAGCCCTCAGGCAGGTTGATTCCCGGGGCGCGCAATAGCAGTGACAGCCTTTTAGGTCGCGTAATGCAACTGATTACTCGATGTTTTGTTGAAACAAAAACTATTATAAGTGTAAGAAACTATATTGCTTTGATCGCAAGTTTATTTTAACGGCAAGAATAGTATAATAACGTGCACGACGGCTCATTGTATATATGATCAGGGCAGCGCTTTACAACGGGGCGATAAAACCTTTGCTTGCTTGTACGTATAAAACCAAATATCTTAGAAAAAGCAAGACGCATCCGCAAGGGAGACATTATCAAATATATTTTGTCGAGCCTTCTAGCTTCTCGGCTTGACAGCACGGGTGCAATCAACGGAAAAAATTTTGGGCCAAAATCATGACTATGTATGCTTCGCGCAAAATTTTACCGATACCTTTCCGGACTCGACGATCACTCTGAATAAAGTATTTCCCTATTTGTAAAAGTATGCTTTGTTGTAACCGGAACCAAGGCAGGCCTGTTGTTCAGAATTCTCCTGCTGCCGGACAGCGTAAGATCAGCGCTAAAACTATGCTTACGGGAAGTTCGCCTTGGAAAGAAAGAAGCGGCTTAGTTTTTGGATAGTTTTGGTCTATTTGTTGAAAACCTCCTAGTTTCTCAGCCCAACCTTGTTCGATTCATAATTGCGCTTCTTAAACCTATGTGAACTTAGGAAACCCTACTTTTCATCGTGTATCGCTCGGAAGTGTGGCCTGAAAGCTTCTTGAGTGGATACCCTAAAGCCATGAGCCAGAACTGATTTTAGAAGTCCCCTGTTAATCCTGATTCACCCTTGTGTGATGCGTCTTGCTGTTTCCAAAATATTTGGTTTTATACGTACAAGCAAGCAAAGATTTAGCGCCCCGTTGTAAAGCGTCGACCCGAGCAATAAGCCGTTGTGCATGTGATTATACTATTCTTGTAGCTGTACCTGTAAAATAAAATAAACTTGCGATCAAAGCAATATAGTTTCTTACACTTATAATAGTTTTTGTTTCAACAAAACATCGAGTAATCAGTTGCATTACGCGACCTAAAAGGCTGTCACTGCTATTGCGCGCCCCGGGAATCAACCTGCCTGAGGGCTAAAAACCCGCCCGTAGAAAATCTACGTTTTATTCTAATAACTTTTTGTGGTTCTTTAGGATTCCCGGGGGGGGGGAAAGTATTCCCGGGGGGGGAAACCAATTTTTTTCCTGGTGGTCCCGGTTGACCTAGTAATCAAATATAAAGTGTTTTCGAATTGTTTTTAGTAAGTTTTAACTATATTTAAAGCAGAATAACTTTCAGAAAAATTTAGAAAAATGTTTGAAAAAGTCGAAAATTTGGTCATTTTGGGTCTATTTTTCGACCTAATTTTTAATTTTTTACATTTTTTTTGGTTAAAATGTGTGTAGTTTTTATGCACAGGAATAGTTAAAAACAATTTAGAAACGCATCCGCAATTTATACAAAAATCTAGGCTTTCGCCGAAAAAAATTTGGTTTCCCCCCCGGGAATACTTTCCCCCCCCGGGAATCCTAAAGAACCCTTTTTGTATATGATTTCGAATCTTTGGGAGGCGTGGGAACTTGGTAGAGAAAAAATTATCTATCGAACTGTGTGGGCCGCGTTGAGAGTTCTCACCAAAATAAGGAGATTTTGAAGCCTAAACTTTCCGAAATCTGGACCCAGCCGGTTTATGGCTAGTTTTTCAGCCTGTTGTTATCAAAATACGATGAAGTTTCGCTAAAAAAGTTCGGTAGAGTTACGATACATGCTTTTGAATTCATAACCGAAGTGCTGGAAAAGATAAAACCTTGTCCGATGGCGTTTATAATGTTTTGAAGCTAGCACCTCAACCCAGAATTATTTGAGCCTTATATGTCGGTTTTCTAGGAAACTATATCCATTTAATGTAGTATTTATCGAAATCTGCTGAAGTATGCACCTCCTAGTAAGAAAATAGCTAAAAAAGTCAGGCACTTGGACGTGTGGAGCACGAGCTTCATGATCTAAATCTCAATTTTCCTAACATACACGCATCAGAGCGTACATCGTTACCAAGCCGAAAAAATTCTAATAGCAAGCTTGAAAGCGGATTATGGAGTGAAAATTTCACTGGTTTCGGAATTACTTTGCTAAAACGAGTTCTGGCCGCTTTTTGCTATTTCCTGGGGCTCTTTCGCGAGTTTTATATGATTTTGTGATACAGTAGACTTTCGGTGATACTATGGAGCAAAAAGCAAAACAAAGATCATCAAAATGGGGGAGTTTGCGTCGGAGAGGAACCGAACCCGGGGGGTGTGGGGGGCTCGCCTGGGAGGTTAACCCACTATCCGCGCGGAGAGGGCCCGCACCCCCCAGAAGTGCGTTTTTGGTAAGGCCTGACGAGCCGTGGGAGTTTTATAAACTTTTTTCAATATTCCTAAACGAAGACCCATTTTTATTTAAGAATTGATTCTAGGGTCGAAATTTAAAGTTTAAAGTTTTTTCTAAGTTTTGTTATTTTCCGTTTGGAGATATAGTAGCTTTTACAAAAAAAACTTTTAGATCTTACTACTACGGTACTATAGACATATCTGAATTCGAAGAAAAATCCCCGTGATAATGCGAAAGAACCGTATGCCTCAATGATTTCCGGTTTAACTAGGGTTCCCACTTTAATTGCAGATTTTTTAAGTGAGCCCAGGGTGTGCGGCTCGAGTTTCCGGGGGCTGCTCTCTGGGCTCAAAAAGCTAGCAAGCTGTTGACGGGATTTCCGGTGCTCCCGGGGTATGTGGGGAGAGGCCGTAAACGATGCGGGTTCAGAGAACCCCATAGCCGTGGCACGAGCCAACACCATGTTGTCGCCAGGCTTTGGCTTATGAAATGAGGGCTTTTGTTGTTTTTAGGGTGCACTAGTTGCTTTAGCCAATTTTTTTTGTTATTTGAACGAAAATTATCGATTTTTAATACTATTTTTATGTAATGAAGGTTGGAAAAACAGCTTAGGCCTTTTTAGAAACGTTTCTAGTTGAAAAAAAAACAGAGAAATTCTCGGAAATTGTTAGAACGTGCTTTTTATTTTAGGAAATGTCGATAAAAACCCAATTTCTAGCTTTTTTTGATATGTTGTGGTAGAGTTATTTTCCCTATTGTTTTGAGGCAATTTAATGATAGCGCTGCGATTTTGATGCTCGTTTTGATATATCTACTGTCTATATTTAACCTAGTCTCTAGTGTTAAACATAGAAAGCAAAAAGATAATTAGTAACTTGTGAAATCGTAATTTCCGCGGAATTTCAGGTAGAAGCTCAATTTCTAATCACATTTTTGTCGGTTTCCGCGCCGTTCGCCCGCGCTCCCACTTTGATTCAATGGCATTGCAGGCATTTTTTAGGCGCGGGGACAAAGAGTATGCGGTGGTGTGCCCCCTTTTCTGAGGTCCCGCGTCCTTCTTTCCGCGCCTTTTTGCGAGACCCGGCTGGCACGTGATGCCCGGCCCCTAGTCTGGTCTATCCTCCTCGCTTCTTTCCACTCTTTCGCGTGCCCCGCCAGGAAAAAAGTCGATCCAGCCAGCTGATAGCGACCGGGAAACCCTCATCGTTCTTCTCTTGCTCTTCAGCTGGCAACTTTTCCCTCCTTGAAAAACTGCTTATAATGTCCCAAGTTTTTTGCGGGCGGATTTGGTGGGTGGTAGATAGGTTAGCTAAATTTTGCCGCATTTTCTGTTACGGGTAAAAGTTGAAAACATGCGCCTGATTTAGATGGATTAACAAAACTTGAATTCTTTTTGTTCAAATTTATTTTTGAAGAATCAAGAAATAAGCTAACTGAAATTAAATCCTACTCGGATTGCTTTTTTATTTTCCTACCAGAAAATTTTGAATAATTAAATTTATCCTGAATATGATTGCAAGAATTTTGATTATATGACTACTAGATTTTTATAATAAGCTCTCTAATTTCGTTTTTACTTGGATGGAAATCACCTCCATTTTTTATCCTGAATTAAATTTGAAAAATCCTGACTATTTTACTACCAGGTTTTACAAAAAATCTTTTAATTCTGCTTTTATTTTGGAAAATCAGTTCATAACTCGGCGGCAAAGTGCGGAAAGATGATGATGGTGGGTCGGGCATTGAATTGGAGACAAAGCCATTGAACGGCGTCCCTTGCCTTCTCCACCATCCTGGGTCATGTGATCGTTGTTCAGTGTGCTGCTCATGTGTATTTATCGTCATCCCTTTCTCGGTCTCCCTCGCATTTCACGGCCGTTCCTTCCAAAGCTCTATGGCTGCGGTAGGAAAATGCCAAGATTTGGGGCGCTGGTTTGTTTGCGGGACACAACTTTTAATATTTCCTTTTCAGAAATTTAATTTTTGAACTTTTTGATAATTGGAAACTGGCAAAACCAATCAGATACAGTTATTCTGAATTTTGCTAACTAACAAAACCAGGATCTTGAAATTTTTAGCCTATAATATAAAATCTATATCTTTAAATAGTAGATCGAACTTACCTAAATGCAAAAAATACAATAATTAATCTTTCTTTTTAAAAACCAAGAAATTATTATTTAGCCCAAAAATTTGTGCGCCAACCCCCCCCAACCACTAATGAACCAGAACCGATTTTGGACCTAGGGGTTAGGAAAAGCTACCCATGAGTGGTAACTATTTACAAATAGTCTTTAGATACGAAAACCGTGCACAACTTATTGTTTTTCTTTCGCTCGCTAATTCCCGTTATTGCCGTTGTTTACGCCAGTCTTAGCGCCACCCCGATAATAGCTTGCTCTCTTTTTTCCCGGCGCCCTTGTTGTTGAATCAGCTGCGGGGCGGCGGGTGACCGTTGAAATCTTTCAAAAATTTATGCGCGAATCGGGCGCAATTAGCTAAAAGCCGGGATAGGCCTCAAAAAGCGCCGTTTTTAGGTTGGGCCCAGCTTATCCCATCGATTCGCCATTATTCGGCAGGGCTCGGATTAGTCGGGAAAGAGCCCCGGGGATTGCCGTCATTTTTTGAGAATATTTTTGTTTGTAAGCGATTCGTATAGTGTGTGTAAATTTAGAATATGAAGTGGTTCGGGGGGGGGGAGCAACTTCCTATTTCTTAGGATCTAATTTTTAAAATATTAACGATGGAAGTGTTTCTAAACGGTTTTTTGGCTATTCCCGAAACGTGAGAACTTTACAAAATTTTAGTAAAAAATAACAAAAATAAAATTTTTAAACCGAAATGGCCGCCGATTTTTGAGCAAAATTTCGGCTTTTTGGATAGCTTTTTTAGGTGAAATGTATCTTACTACAAACACCATTAAAACACTTCCTATTCAATTACTAGAGATTTCAGGGCATACAAAAAATCCCCCCCCCGATAATGCGATAGAACCTATCACAGATAGCCACGTCTGGAAAATGTATCTCTTTCTCGTTTTCCGTATCCCGCATCGAAAAGCTACACGCGAAGCCGAGCGAAATCAGCTGACCAAACCCACTCAACCCTCGTCTCCCGCCGGATTGAGGGAAATTTCGAGGCGACAAAGGCCGTCCGCCACAGTACCCATTTTGAGGGAAGAAGGAGCGGATGGGACACACAGCAGGGACGATCTATTAGCAACCCAAGGGTAGCTCTCTGTCAGTCTGCCCATCTGTCTTCTTCTTTTTCGAAGGTTTTCCCCTTTTTTCTTGGCACTTCCGTAGCGTCGAATCTCAGAAGTGGTCGTCGGTTTTTCGGGAAGAAAAACAGGGTCGCTGTTGTCCATCTGCTCCCAGTCACCCTAATGACCAGCGCGGGGTATAATAGCCACTCAGCTGGCCGTATCGATTTCGCGGGTCAGCTCGCAGTTTATTTGATGGCTTTTATTTCTTGAGATTATTTTATGAGATTGAGAATCTTACGCTGTAAAGAGTATCAAATGGATTTTTCCATTTTTTTCGCGTTTAATAACAACGGTTTTTAGATTGTATATGATTTTAGAGAGACTTTATGCGCAGTTTTCTATAAAATTATCTAGAAAATTTAGGTCATTATTCTAGTTGAGCAATTGAATGAGAGCGTGGTTTGAGCAACAACTTTTCAGTTGTCGAAACGCTTTTTTCTGAAAAGTTGCAAGATGTTATGGTAACAATTTGGAAGGATTTATCTAGGAGCAAAAACGAATGCAGAAAAAAAAGTTGTAGCAAAAACGCGCTTGATCTTTCTAGCCGTTTAAGCCTGTTTTTCTGGTACGTAACACGAAATTCTGAAAATCTGCCCACCGCCCCGGAATTTAGTCAATTTTCGTGTTCCGGCTATCCGACCCTGGCCGAACGGCCCGGAGATGGAGCATGATCACCAGCCGGGTGGTTGTGGCATGGGACATACGAGAGGGGGAATAGTTGACTGTTTGGCGTCTCACGCCGTCTTTCCCCCCTCCCGTCGCATTTACCCGCCTCTCCAGACCGTCCCGAAATGTTTGTGCGCATCTTTCTTTCTTTCTTTCTTCAGTCTTTCCGCTCTCTTCGGCGCGGCCACTTTTTTTGCGTGCAGAACCTTGTCACAGCCGGCTGCCATCAAGTTGCCGAGTAAACCCGGGGGGTCGACCCCGCGACTAACCGTTACGCGCAGCCCGTTACCCATTTTGTTATCGTTAGGTTGAATTGTGGGGTTTGAACAGACAACAAACCCAAAAATAATGAATTCCACAAATTAACTCTGCTAGTAACCCCTTACTCTTCTAGAATCAATAATTTAAATCGTAAAACTTCATATTTTAATATCTCTCCCCGTTCCACCGTTCTCCCTTTCAAAAAAAAACCGGTAAAATTTTTCAGGATGGACCCCGGTGGCGGCCGAGAGAGAAGAGACAGCACATCGTCCACAGACTCTTGGAGCATCGTCAATGTCAGTGCATTTTCGTGCGGTTAAACTGAAGGCCAAAAAGTAGAAAGAGACGAAAACTTTTTAGCGATCGTCCTCGGCCGCCTCAAGCCATCTTTCTTCTTCTATCTCCTACTGCTCGTCACCACGGGTTGAAGAATTGGAAGATGACGTGCAGGTAATTCAGAAAACTTTTTCTAAAAAATGAAATTTTAGGCCAGTGACTGTGATTCGGAATTGACGACTGAAGACAGTGACTTGGAGGTGCTTAAACAGAGAATTTAGCATTGTTTTTGGTTTCAGATTGAAGATGAAATGATGCAAGAGGACATCATGGACGAGACCGAGGGAGAGTACAGCGATGAGGAACAGGAAGATGAGGATGAGGAGGAGGATGCCGATTATGACAAAGTTTGTGATAAAAATATTTACATCGTCGAATCGATTGTTTAGATGTCGGCTGAGGAAGCTGAAGCGGAAGGAGAGGAACAATCCCTTCACTACGTGCCCCCGGAATACTCGGCCACTCTGCTTGACAATCTGGGTTAGACCTCTGACTCCTCAAAACGTGCTCCTTCTTTTCAGGACAATCTCCATACGGTCGTGTGCTCGGTGAACATCTACCGAGTGCATTGGCTGGTCTTTTGACCATCGCATCTATTGGCATCTCTTTGAGCGTCTTCACCAATCAGGAGCCCGTTTCACGCCGGATTGTTAGTTTTTCGAATCGGTCTTGTATTCTGATGAAACTAGATCACTTCCGCTTTTCAGGTAATGGATGAGTGTAGCCTGCAGAGCTACGCCGCCATGGGACCGCGCGTCTACAGGCCCTTGCAATTGCAGGCCGACTGGCTTCGGCAATTCAAACTTCAGCCTGCTAAGAATGAGTCGAGACTGCCTGTTGTGGTTTGTCTATTGAGAAGATTCGACAACAATCGCCTAGGAACCAAAAGCACCAAAAGATCTATTCGGGGCTGCCGTGAAGGGCGAATTCGAGCGATTGACGCTGCAATGGAAAACGCCGGAAACAGCCAAAAAGAGCGAAGTCTCGACAACACACTTGGTAATTTGAGAACTGGTTTTGAAATCCTTTCTTAGAACATCTCGGGGGACTATTGCTTCCGAAACGGGCCTCGCCGACGATCTCTACTCGTTGTTCCACGACCGGAAGTCTGCATCCCAATCCAACTCCCCAGGCGCCCGAATTCACAGCGGAAGCCAAGCCCACCTTATCTCATATAGTAGGTGAACAACATATTGGCCTGAGAATATCAACAAAACATAAAAATAGATGAGGAATTGACCGCTTAAACTAATTAATATAGCCATTCCGCCCGACTACTCCACGTGCCAGAACACCCACTGTCGTGCGACCGGTTCCGCCGACTCCTGCCCGGCCTGCACCACCAGTGAGCTGGCGACGACGACATAATAAGGTACGGGAACAACAGCAAGGCTAAATACGCAACAATCTAGCATAAGAAGACCGTCCCCCTGCAAGTGTGCCCAAAAATCGTTAATCCGGCACCGAAGCCTAAACAACGCCGTGTTCTACCGCCCCGTCCCATCAAAAAACTGCACAAGAGAACCCAGGTAATTTTGACTTTTTTTAGCTGCAGTCCTACGACCTTTACAGCTCCTCAAGGTCGCGCCGCTGCAAAACCAATGCCCCCGGGCCACCAACGTGTCTATGAAGCCAACGAAGTCGAAATACCTAGCGCCGCCCCCACGGCATATTGTAAAGCACCACAAGCAGAGGGTGGGTTTAAGCAGCAATGAATTCAATGTTTCTGGAATTCTAGAAACCTTTCTCCCCTGTGCAGCCCTCTTACCAGCCATGTAAGCCATTGCCCCAACCCCAGCCAACATGGCAACCGCGTCGCAAATTTGGCGATGTTCTGCTGCGCGGTTCAGTAGGTCCACAAAGAAATCTAGGCCGACATATTTTAGGAAGGTCAAGTCCGTCTGACGCCATCTATGCCCAAGAAGGTAGGACACGCCCTCATCAAAAGATCATATTGAATTTCAGAAACTACGCCGCTCAAAAGTCATGGAACGCGGGCTGATCAGACGCCAATAAACCCCACTTCAGACACTCCCGATTTCTGTTCTTGTACAAACCCTTTCCGGTGATGACCCACATTATTCCCCTTGCCCACCTTTCAGGACACGCTTGCACATACCCCGCACTTCATAATCTGCACATATGTGACCGATAAGGCCCCTTTCTGATGGTTCCTATAGTCGTGGCTAGAATTTTCGATTTTTGGAGCTGACCCCCACAGCGTGTACACCATCCCCCCTGCTACAGTTTCCGACATAATGATCAGACATTTTGCACAATAATTTTTTCAATTACATTTGCCTTTCCGATAAATGATTAAGAAATAACCAAAGGCAACGCAACTTTGAAAATCCACACCTAGAAAAATATACTAGCCGTTAAAACGCGTTGTAATGAACCTCAATGAAAGCCAATCCAAATTACTGAGACATTCATTGAGACTCAAACGATTAGTAACAAGTCAATAACAACAAAGAACATAGAAACAACAACAGACTCAGGGATATCCGGCGAACAATTTGAACAGGAAAATGCAATTAGAACGGTTAGCAGGGCAAAGAAAAACAATTTAGGATTGATTATGTTTGAGGAGGGTCGGCTACGAGCCTGGCTCGGCTTTGACGGCCGTGGAGGTAACGGATTGACCGGCTCCGACGACATGTGAAATTTGGAGACGCCCGTGATTCGTACGCGTACCCATTGGCCCATCACTTGGTCTAGAAACGGTAATATTTTGCGTTGAATCAAGATACCGGGATTCGGAACAAGGATGTGCTCATAGTTTTTGTTGTGCCCGACACCGTGGACCCCATCGCTGGCCATCTCACAAACCAGTACGTCCATTTCTTCGCCGATTCGAGAGTCGTCGTACCGAGAATAACTCCTGAAAATTTTTTTGGCCGAAGCGTGAAAGTGTCTACCTGAACAGCTTGCTCATCTCCGCAGTGCGCCGTTTAGCTTCATCATTCGGAACCTTCTTCATACGCGCTGCAGGCGTTCCAGTACGCGCGAAAAACTAGAAACAACCAAATTCGATAAAACGTCCAACAAATACCTGGTTGATGAACAAAGAAGGGAAGCGATAGTCTCGTACAAGTTGCATGGATTCCTAAACTCGAGATATAATTGAGGATCATTAAATTCCTCACCTCAAAATCCTCCACACCTTCCGTTGGGAAGGCGCAAATCATATCCGTCGCTATATAAATGCCCGGGACGCTAAAAGGATTCTATTGCCGGAAATAACGATCACTTACTTTCCCTGCATGTAATCAACAATCTGGCGAAAATGATGGCTGTTGTACTCGCGTTTCATGTCACTAAAATGCATGAATACTAGGATAAGTATACTCACTTTAAGACGCCATCGCTGCCGGATTGTACTGGGATATGTAAAAAGGCGTAGACTCGTGGATGGCGAAGGATCGCTGCGATTTCCTAAAGCACTTAATTTTTTCAAATTTTTTATTTTCTATTTTGTTATCGGCTTCCTAACCTTAAGAATATTTCAAAGCTTGGAGAGAGAAATTTGTGTCAAATATTTCTAGCAATGGGAGCACCTCCAAATGGTCGAGAATATATGGTGGATTAGTCATTCCAAGTCGCATCATGCAGCCTTCGGGGACCACTTTGATCAGCTCGTTGAGTAAGTCGGGCAAAACCTTAAAACACATATCAAAATACGTGTTAAAAACACACCAAGCCGATATCCCGACCATAAGCTCCAAGATCTTCGCTGGTCAACCACAGCTCTTTGACGCCATCTCGCTCAAAAGCCGTTCGAGCCTGATCCACCTAATGAAAAAATTAGATAACTTCCAACCAAGATCCCACCAATTCCTCAATCGGATAGCTCTTCAAATCACCGCGTGCCAACTTTGTCTTGCAATAGGTGCAATGGTTTAGACAGCCCGTATTTATCGCCAAGACCTACAAATACGTTTAGCATACCAGGACTTCCTCCTACCTCTACGAGTTCATTCTTTCTCATCTTCGGCAATGACAGCCCGGCATCAGGCCGTCGCCTCGATAACAACCTCACAGTATTGCCCTTTAGTGTTTCTTCTACCACCTGAAAAGCGCAAATTAAGTGAAATCCTACTATATAAAAAAAATAGTGTCTGTGTGTGTGTGTGTATGTGTGTGCATTTGCATGCAACTTCCGTCAGCGTGTTCCAGCAGTATCTCAATAAGGGGGGGTAGTTAGGGGTATGTTTTATACGTCATTCGGTGCGCAATGGTCTTGGGATGACTGCACACTAACAAAATTTTCAAAAATTTGCTGTTTTTGACGTTAAAATTAAGTTTTTGTTGAAAAATCCAGGACCCTCTTTGTTAAGAAACAATTAGCATGCGCCGGAAATTGTGGTAGCCTATATAAAGGGAAGAGAGGTAGCGTTTCTCATTTTTTGTCATAAAAAATCGTGAGAATTATTTAACGCGCAGAATATCATGGGATCAGACGGGCCAGGGTTGAAAAGTCGCGAAGCGGCTTTTCAACCCTGGTTTCTTTGAAAATAAAATACCTCAGTGATGCGATCGATTTGTTTGACGCCGACGATCGAAATCCCTTTTAGCCACGGCTCATCCGGTGCAGCTTGACTTACGCAGCCGGCCATTACAATTTTCTTGCCGCCGCCTTGACCTTCTTTCACCAAGTTGGATGCCTAAAACTAATCTTAGCAATTCAGTTTCATAAAAACCTGCTGCTCCGAGGGAGTCTTGACAGTGCAAGAATTCAAGACCCAGACATCAGCCGCAGTCTTGTCCCCAACGATTCGGTACCCACTATTCGCTAGGATTCCCGCCATGTACTCGGAATCAGACGAATTATGGCTACAACCCCACGTTCGAAGCCACACCGCGCACGTACCTACAGCAATATAAAAGTAAAATTATCGAAAATACCGGGTACAAATGAATCCATCTGGCCCTTTTCTTGAGCATTATTCTTCTTTGTGCTCCTGATTTTGACAGATACCTAAAATACAATAAGCTCACGCCTAGTCAAGGAAAATTACTTCTTCTCCAGGGTTGGCCGGCCCGGGCAGGTCACCAAAGCTGTCTTCAATGTCGCCCATTGGCTAAATGCCCAATAAACTTGCAAATGGCGTGTCTGTATAGGTAGCCTGCTGATTCGCGACATTTCATAACAAAGCTGTCTCAAAACTACAAAACTTTTTTATTTTGAACAAGGAAATTGAACTGAACAATCGAGAAGGCAAAAGGATAGTGGCAATTCGAGACAGTGCGTAATACGGCACCTAGAATATAAATACAATAGACATTCGAGCCATAATTTGGATGCAAAAGAAGTGACTAGGGTGATGTGCTGAAAGAGATGATGAAAGAAGGAAAAGAGCAAACCATGCTTGAGTAACAAAAGGCGAGGTATTTACTGCTTGTGCAGAAAGAGGGAAGAAGAGCCGAGCACGATGTGGTATGTGGGATGATGAGCAACTCTGTTTAGAAGCCAGCCTCCTCCGCCCGGCCCCGACGCACCTCGAAAGCTCCAAGGACGTAAAACTGTTCAAAGAATACTGTTGCTACATTCTCAAAGGTAATTGTGGAAATAATGGGGGAGGGGATAGGGCAAGAAATAAATTATTAGCTAGGGTTAAGATACGTTTCTGACGAAAGATGTATCATAGCTGGTGATCAGAGTCTTCATAAACGTCATCTCGCGTCGGGTGTTGTCGAAAATGACCCTCGGATCCTCGGATTCACACCTAAAATAAGGTTGACAAAGAAATGGGTCATTACGAACCTCAAAACATTTGGGGCGATCACCATCGCCAGATTCGAGCTATCCATCTTTGTATGCGCCACGACGTCGTCCTGCGCCAGATCTTGCAACAGAGAAATCAGCTTGGCCAGGACCAGTCGATTTACTAAAGCGTTGATGTTTTTGAGGCAAAAGTTAACCAATATTACCGTTCGGCAAAAGCTCCGTGATGCGCGCAGTTTCAGCTGGGTTATCGCAACCGGCAAGAGCACGCTGGTAAAACTGATGGGGAATGAGCGGCTCGGGCAGTTGACGAAGCCAGAGCTTCAGAAGAGCCGCTGGCACATGGGGGTCGTGCAAAACCGGAACCACCTAATCACAAAATTACAATTTAATAATCGATTTAAAAACTGACCCATTGGTCCAAACGGGCCCTGGCAGTGTTCATTTGTTCCGGATCGGCCGGAACTCGGAAAAGCCCCTCGGTCAACGTTCCGCCCTCTCGCATCAACAGCTCAATCAAGGTAGTTTCAATCCAGGGTAACTAAAAGTGGCAGATTAAAACGGTTCGAAATAAAAACCGGTACCTGAAGATGTGGAAATTTGCCCGATTGCATCTCCATCAATTCGTCCAGATTGGCCGAGAATTGGGGAGGATTGAAGATGTGAACACGGGATTCCTAAAAATTCGGATTCTTCAAAATAAATAATTATACCTGGACGGTGGCTAAGGTCGGCTTCGTCTTCGGTTGGCTTTTCTCGAGCCGCTTGTGACATTGGTGCGCGAAATTGGAAACAGCAACCTAAACCACACATTGAAAAATGGTGTTAAATCCTTTTTTACCTCCGGCGAATCCAGGAGACTGTCCGAGTTCCTTTCCAGAAATACGGCCACCTTTTCCGCCATATCGGGGGAGGGAGACACCAATGCCAGCAAGATAGCAAGCAATTCCCAGCCTCGCCTTAAAAATACGTTAATTTTTTTCGAAAAGTTTTTACCTCAAGCTATCCGGTCGAATATTGTCGGTCAATTGCTGCATCAGCAAGGCGACAGCTTCGTCAGCGCAATCTTTCCGTCCGAATGTCAACTCGCAAAGGGAGAGAGCCAACTAAAGAATTCGGATTTCAGTAAATAGATACAAACCTGATCTGGTGTCGACTTGCTCTTGCGATCGCCCATGTAGGATTGAATTGCTTTGAAGATTTGAGCCACTTCCTTTTTCAAAGCCTTAAAAAAACATTAATCGATCTCGTTTTTCTTGATACCTTATTGTCAGGTGCAGTCAGCGGTGCCTTCGGTGCATCTTTTGACCAGCCGCCAGACTTGGTTTTTGGGGCCGTGTTGGTCGAGAACGTGAACGCCGATCTTTTCTGTTGGCTCGGAGGGGAGCTTGACCTGGGTTGTGATTAGAGTTTCTTACCTAAAAATACCTGCTCGAACGCGTCGGAATGCTGTCGGCAGAAGGAGCCGTTGAAAGCCGGCCGGGGCCAGTCGGGAATGGGGGAAGATTACGGATGACCTGTGAAGACGTCAGAGACCGCTCTGACATGTCATCGAGTGAGAGCATCTAAAACGACAATGTTGCATTTGACAAAGCTTCTTACGTCAAATGAAGTGTCCAATTCCCGATGGCTGTAGCTAGGGCTTCGACCCATAACTAGCGTGGGTTGTTGCGAGAAGACACCGCCAGTCCATTCCATAATCTCCCGCTCCCGTTTCTCTCTGGCTCTTCTGACGGCCGGTGAAGTCTGCGTCTCACAATGGCGTCGAGCCTGAAAATCAAACTGAACAAACTCATGAAATAAACGAACCCGTGCATGTTCAGCTTGATCGGTGTTTTCTTTCAGGGTCTGGAGCTTTGCCAACGGGATGATATCCGCATTGGCACCTGTCGGGCGGGCCCACATTGTCTAGGTCGCAATGGAAGCCAGGAAAATACACCCTACCTTGGAAGACGCAGCATTGTAGTAGTAGAAGCGGTTCGTATTCGAGTCAAAAAGCTCCCACCACTGATTTTCATGCGTGCGCTTGCTAAAGAATAAAATTAAGGTTATGCTATCCAAAATATGACGAGAATTACTATTAGAACAAAGACGTACACCCTAGTCCCAATCGGTGGATCCCACGCGCATTTGCCAGTCGTCAAATTGGCGTACATGTGTTGCTTCGTCTGTGGCTCGACAATTTCCACCCATTCCCTAAAGCAAGTATATTCAATATTAGATTCATGACATACTCAGCATTTTTAGGTTCAATTTGAAGCTCTTGAGACGGGATGGCATCGGCCGGAAGACGATGGGAACTACCCGCTACCGGCGAGTAGTAGACATCATCACACATCGCCTAATCTGCAAAGAGCAAGAAATATTAACGAGTGATTGTTGAGAACATCAAGAACCACAGAGTATGCATCATTTGATTGCGGCACGATCATCTACAACGAATCTTGGCCACCAGTCGATCGATGGGAGGGGTGAATAAGGCGGTTAGTGTGTCAATTGACAACATACTAGGGGGCGGCTTGATTTCGGCAGACATCCGAAATGTCGCTGCGTAGAGCCAGTCAAAATATTGGGGGAGCAAGGGCTTTTTCCATGCGGGCCTTGCCAACCCTTAGCAGGGCCGAAAACGGCGTAATCGACCCCGCCGGCGTTTTGCATAATCTGCGCCTGACAAATGTGATACGAAAAAGCCCAAAAAATGGGATTTGAAATGTGAAAGGTACAAATCAGCCGCTTAGGAAGGTATGCAGATTCTAGATCTGCAACTTTAAATACTTTGACTTTGACAAAAGAACGTGCCAGAAGTGCTAATATAATTAATTACAATAATAAGTTCTTTATATAACGAACTTATTACCAGGAAAAATTTTAATAAAATGTAAAAAAACGAAAAAGAAAATCAATCTTCTCTAATTCCGCTTAGCTACTAAAGACAGAAACGTAGCGCTGGATTTGCGCGGAGCAGCCGGCGCTCGGGTTTTTATTTATTTTTATTTATAAAAAACTTATTTTATTGGCGCAAAATTTCTAAAAGGTCTAAATTGGCCTCTGAATCAATAAAGCATAGTTTCTAGGGGGTATAAGTAGGTGAGCGACTTCATCGGATGCATGCATATCCAATTATTGAGAACGAGGGACGCCTATCGGTCGATGGAGGGAAAGAGGAATGTCCACGGGCGGTCAGACACGTAGGCTAGTCTTTCCCCAGCCCTCTCCCTTTCCCTTGCGAAACTGGAAAACAGCTGGAACCGCGATAGGGAGGGGGCAGCCGATCGACAGGGATTATTGACCTTGCCTCCCTTTCTCTTGCAAATTACTCGCTTTTAGAGTCTACTTCCGCGTTTATCAGCGCTTCAAAATAAACTTATACCGTTGGGTCATACTGTAGGCATTTTGTAGGTCTAGAAGGCCAGGACTATTAAATGGAGATCAATCTTTAGTGCATTTGGTGCGGCTTTTTGCTCTCCAGCTGCATAGACATTCTTCAAAAAGTCACCTAGCCAAAAATTTCAGCAGCGATGGAGGGCATGCCGAGGATGCCCGTCATCCTACCCGAAATACGGGTATGCCTCTGGAGGTTTTTGATCATTCTTCCTAGGTGGCAGCGTCAGAATTGCCCCCGGAATTCGGCATGGCCATCAAAGAATACATCTTGATCCACTTTGATCAAGAGCCCACCGACTACGATCGTGCAATTCAGGAGATTTGCAGCCTCAGACAGGTCTGACGGCACTGAGTTCTGGAATTATTGTTTTTTTAGAAAGTTGCTCATCCGACGCCAGATATTGAGATGGCTTGCATACTAAAGCGCTATTATGGGCAGCTGTTGATGATGAAAAGTCGCTTTCCATTGGAAGAGGACGACGAAATTGTGCGGATGAATGTCGGCGGCGATGCATTCTTTGCATGGTGATACTGGAGGAAAGGGGATTACAAGAATTTTAGGGCCGATCAGTCGGGTGAAATGCCTCATATTGCCGCACACAACGATATCAATTTTGAAGTGGCTAGCGTGCTTTTTAATATCGGTGCTGTCCATGCAGCGATCGCCGGAGCGGAACGACGGGATTCTGAAGATGGTTGTTTGTTAGGCTGAAAGGAAGATAATTATCCTTTTAGTCGATCAAGACGGCATTTATGAATTTCCAATGCGCCGCCTGGCCCCTTCAACAGATTCGAGATAACATCAGAGGCGAGCGCTTCAACACGATGGACTTTGAAAAGGACCATCTTACCTTCCATATGAACATCCTCTTGGTAATCTCTAACGTAAGCGTATAATAGTATCGATTTAGGCGCAAGCCCAGGAATGCTTGATCGAAAAGAGTTTGATCGACCATCGATCCCACGAAGTCGTTGCCAAGCTGGCGGTCCATTTGCGAGATTTGTATCAGTAAGGAAAAGAATTCGAATTGAGATGTCGGAGTTTTAGGGAATGTGGAAAGCACTTAGAGACTTCTTCCCTCAGCGACTCCGTGACTTCCTCTAGATATAGGGTTGTTTAACGTATCTTTTTACAACCTAACCTCTCTCAGGAATGGCATCGCACGTGTACGGCCAAGTCCGATCTTTTTGGCGCCATCGCAGCTCTGCATATGGGGATGAAGGTCTGAACATTGAGGCGCTTCAAAAATAAGTTTTCAGCATGAGGACGAGAAACAAATGGGATTTCGTCTAGCCTACTATGCCCATGCAATGAATCATATGAAGGTATTTTGAATAGAAACAAGCAATTTTTGATTTCTAGAGGGCATTGCTGATTTTGGATAAAGATAAGCGAGCCGAGCTTCACGTGTCCGCCAATTTTTTGTACGATGTCGTCGCAGCAAAGTCAGTTTTCGCTCAAAATTTTATCCAGGTTTCAGGGAACAAAATGCGCGGAAAGAAAATGATCTCATTTATCACGAGCGGATACCGAAAGATGATGAAATTTCGCTGAAGGAGGTTCGTGCTGAAAAATATAGTTTTCGCTGTTTCTAAACAGAAAAGGGAAAATTTTCTTTTGTAGGGGCTTGGTAAAAGTAAAACCAGCTGCATTCGATCCATTTGACGTCTCGATCAGCGGAGAAGACCTTTTTCCGCGCTTCTTCCACCCACGGTTTTAAAGGTAACCTTTCTTTGGAATTTTCTAAACCCGATTTTTAGGCCGTCAGTCTGTATGAAGAGGAAAAAGCCAAACTGAAACGAACAGTCCTGGAAAAAGTCAACGCGAAGGATATAGAGCTCCAGTCAGTCCTTTTCTCCCTGTCGTAACCTTGCTTTAGTGAATTCTTGGAGCGGTTTGGGTTCGATCGCCTGACTGCTGATGAAAGTGGGGCCATCCAACTCCCCGACGAACTTCTACAGCGCAATGCTTCTTTTAACACCCAACCCGATTCCATCCCGCAACTGTTGGAAAAGTTGTCGAGTACGTAGATTCATTTTTTTAACCGAATTTCGAGCAATATGGACAGTATTTTTGATAGAAAGAAATATTTTTAAACTAGTTTTCAAGGTTAAATTTTAAATATTTTTTAGACGTGAGCGCAAATGGGGAAACTACGGCCAATCGAGTAGCTGACGTTCTTCGTCGACTCAACGGTATTGATCTGCCGAGCATCCTGGAGGACGAGGGTTACAAGACGATCCAAGCTGAAATGGGCCGGATGGCTGATCAGCTTCACATTACTCGGTATGTCTTGCATATTCGCAAATATCTTCCTAGAACCCGAAATTCCGAAGAACAACGTCGAATCGCAACCCAAAGCGATGCTCTTCATCTATTGGCGCTTCCGCTGCCTCGATTGACCGAGAAACTGTCCGATTCGCAAGGGAAGCCAGGTTTGATGCACTTTTTTTCTCTCCGTTTTAGGGTGATAACTACAAATATCGAAAAACCTTTTAAACAATCCCTTATAGGTCCCTCGGCCGAAGGTGTTGTTCTCAGACAAATGCTCGACAAGACGAACGAAATGTCGGCGCAGCGGGTTTGCTAAGTTTCACATATAATTTTGTTTTCTTAAGGTGCTATTGTTGCAACGATTGGACGATGAGATGAAGCGGGATAACATTGGCAAGCGCCTCTTGGCCGAGAGGGATCAGAACAATACGGTAATTCGGCATCACAACCGCTGAATTATTTTTCGCTTAGGCAACCTGCGCTAAAGAGCTGGAAAAACATGGAACCACCATTCAATTCATTGAACAAAATCTTGGTGCCCAAGAGAAAATATTGCACGCGCTAACCGAAGCAAACGCCGACTTCTCGGATATCAGACACAAGATGGAGCGCGAACAAGCCGCGTACGATAGATTATAACGTTTTTAAAGCTTGTTTAGACGACTCGAACGGGTGGCTCAGCTCGTCTCCGCTTTTGATGTATACCTGGAGGTGCTGCGGAATGCAAATAGCGCTCTAAATGTTTTGGATTCAATCAATAAACGGGTCGACAAGATACTACCCGCCCTAGATGCGATGGAGACAGCTAGTGAGTGAATTGTATTGGGGTTAATTTATTTTTGAAGATTTTGCCGAAAAGGAGAAGCGTGATGCGGAGAAGAGGGCATTTGCTGAAAAGATGGAGAGGCTGAAACGCGAAAAAGTAAGGATTTCTCTTTTCCCAGATTAATATAAAAATAATATTTGTAATGAGTTCCATTTCAGGAAGCGCGCGAGGCGATGGCCGAATTTTCGCACGATGCGATGCCCAGCCCGATGACCCCTCCCATGGCCCCTGGGCGCCCATCTCCAGCCTCGGGTGTGGAGAGCTAAAACAAGTAATCTACAATTCTAGGCTCATCCGGCCGCCGAGACTATTACGAGTTCTTCAAGTCAAAAATGGGGCAGCCGCCATCTCAGCCAGGTCTTCCTCCACAACCAACACAGCCGTCGCCGAGTTCTCCAACACCCTCTGTTGTTAGCAACTATTCGTACGGAGGGCCAGGGCCAGATGGTAAGCAACACTAATGAACGAAATTTATACAAAGCGCGCTCGTGGCCCCGTGAAGAGGGTTATGATTTTTCAAAATTAAATCACTTGTTTAGCCATGGCAAATCATCATCCATACGCTCCGATGCCACAGCCAATGTATCAGCCACAACCACCTCCGACAAATCAGCAATTTTCGGTATTTCCCTGATTATACCTTGGTAGAGTACGAGTTTTTAGCGTCCCTACTTCCCGCCAGCACATCACAGCCCATCGATGCCACAGCCGCACCCATATCAGCATCCACATCCTGTCGAGCATGGTAGGTTTTGCTTTTCACTGGCTGTTTTTTTACTATATAACCAACGTTTTTTTATGTGGATCTGCAGCTGTATTATATAAATCAAGTTAAATTTACTCAACTTAATTAATTTTTCTTAGCGATGCCGACACCACCACCAGCGCATCCCTATACTCCTCCAGTCCCTCCCCAGACGGCCGCCGCTCCACCATACCCGAATTCGATCCATACAAGCCCGGCACAATATGCGAATCGCCCGATGCCAGATCATCAACATTACAATGGCCCATCGCCGGCACTGGATCGTTCGCCAGGAGTGCCTCAGCCATATCAACAGCCACAGACCCCCTACCCTGGATATTCACCGGCCGCTAGCTCGGCACCGGGTGTCACGAATGCCCCGCAACATCCAATCCAGAATGGGCATCAAATTCAACATCAAGCGCAGGTTTGCGTTTGGAAATTTAAACCCTAGTTGGTTATGGGGGAGGGTCTAACGTTTCTTATCGTTTTGTCAGTAATCTCCCCCCGCTAAGGAACCAGCGCCAGACAGTGTTTTAGCAGCCTCCCATCTCCTTACCGCCAGTTCAACATCAACAGTTGCCCCCCGTCAATTATGGATATCAGCAGGTTTGTAGAAAACCTTATCGGAAAAATTTACCTACGATAACACCGGCATTACCACCCCTTTAGGCTCCGGCTAGTGTACCACCACAACCCCATCAACCCTACCAACAGCAACAGGCTCAGCCTCAATTTGCTCATCCTCCAGTTGGTCCCGCCCCTCCCACGCATTATCAACAACAGCAGCATCAGCCTCAGCTGCAGGTGGAATTTCTTTTTTGACTATTAATGCGTATTTAGAACCAGCAGAGACCCATGCAGAGCATGCAGCCATTGGCGGCACCGGTTGTCCCCAGCGGACCGATGCCGGTAAGCACCATTTGATTAACAACAACATCTAGAAAACTGTGATTCAAAAAAATAGTGGGAAATAGTTAATGGAATATCGATTTGTGTGTTTTAGGCTCCACAAGGTTTCCAACCAGCCGGCCAGCACTTGTCGGGTGGAACGCCTAACATTCCTCCAACTTCGTCGCATGGCACTTCTGGGATGCCGATGGGTCAACATTTTACGGTATCGTTATTCAGAAATTCTGTTAGGCACTGCGTTTCAGGGTCACCAACCCGCTCCAACGCCACCCCCACCCGTCAGCAAACCGGGAGATACGCACGCCGTCGCACCGTCCCCCTTCCATCCGATTCAGGTAAATTTTTAGTATTATTCTTGATTGCTTGTGGTCTCTGATTGTAATTTGTCTTAGAATCTGGCTGAAAATAATTATAATTTTTTATTAGCCCGTCTGCACCATTTGTAAATGTTCCGAAATTGTCCGTCCACTCAAACATTTGTTTAGCCGGCAAGCGCGGCTACTACCGCCCCTGTTATACAGCCACAGCCTGTTTATGGAGCCCCAGCCGGACACAATGTAAGTTTGCCGATCTTGCATTTGCTGCGAAATTTGCCTGGAAAAATCTATACGATCTTAATTCAGGCCCTGAGCTCCGCTCCGTGGCAACAAGCTCGTGCTCAACCACAGCAGCAATACAGCTCTTCTCCGTGGCACTGCGGTGTGAATTGGCCAAATCAAAAGCAGAACTTTGGGGCCCAGCCTGCTGCTCAATATGCTTCCCCACCGATGGCACAGGTGTCACCAAAAATTTTTTAAATATATTTAACTTTAGCCGCAATCTCAGCCTCAACAGCCCTTCGCCGCCGCACAGCCACCCATGAACAACGTTTCACAAGGAAATATGGTTTGTTTCTTTGCATTTGGGGGTGCTTTTGCATTCACGGCGGGGAGGGGGACAAATTTTTCTATGGTCTAGATATTGGAATAAATTTTCGCTACTGAGATTTTGGCTAAATTGATTTAAAACTTTTTTTAAATGACATTACTAGGCGTATCTGGATAAGGGAAACCCCCTGATAATGCGCAAGCTGTCTTTTGGGAATCTTAGATTTTCCGGTTAGCAATCCCCAATACTTTCTAGGACCTACTCGGCTCCCTCCTCGGCGACCTGCAGTTGCCGGCTGCATTACAGCCTGTGTCGGGTACAAGGTTGCTAAATTCCATTGTACAACTCCCATCTAGGACCGGCGGCTGAACCGCGACCACCTCAGCCCCAAGATGCCGTCGTCTCCCAATCTCCCACTCAACCCAACAACTTTCCAAACGTCCCAATCTCACCTCAACAACCCCCGATTTCCAATCCCAAGTGCCTATCCGTTTCACCGGTAGCTACGGTAGGGATAATTGATTTTCCAGGCTTTTTTTCTTTTTTTTCAGATGCCCACCGCTGTTGTAACTCCCATGCCAAAGACCGCATCTTCGGCATCTTTTAACTCGTCGGCTTCCCAGGTTTGTGCCTTTTTTTCTATATTATCATTTTTGTAGGGAACCGAGCTGTCAATATCTAGCACCATTTCCCATCACTATGGCCCGCCTCCGGCTACTCTATCCACTCATACGTCTTCTGCCAGTGTGCCCCCATCAAGGAGCGAGGCCGAGGAGAAGCGCGAAGTAAGTGATATTTCTTTTGCCTTGCCTGTTTTCTGGATATTTTTACCTTTACTTAGCAAAAACACAAGCAAAGTACCAAAAACGTAATTTATACGATTTTAGTGATTTGTTCATGTTTCTAAGAAAATTGGTCTAAAATACGGTGTATTTTAATGGGATGTATTCAAAATCACAAAAACGTATAACAAAAAATAATTATAAGCTATATATAAAACGTAAAATAAAGTTTATTTTGCAAAAACTCGAAAATTACTGTAGCTAAAGGGCTGATATTTTCAGTGTTAATTTGAGTAGCTTTGCTATATAATAATAGTCTGCTTAAATTGATAAAGGCGATGTAAAAGTTGCCAATGGGTTTTAGCTGAGTTTTCAGGGTTTTTTTGAGCCGCCCTACGGATTGCATAATCATTTTTTTCCAGAGCGGCCTCCCCGTCAATGACCTCCTCGACCCTTCAAAATTCTGCATTGGCCCCGACTCTCGACAAAAACTGGAAAAGAAGCTGCTCCACGCCTCGTTCCATGGCAATGCCGCTCGCCCTAACCTCGATCCCAATGACCCCATCAATCAGTTAGACCCGTTTTGGAAGAATAAGTAATGTTTTATGCCCTCCTCCCCTCAATCCCGATGCCCTTTTCTCCTACTTATCGCGATTCGTGTTCCTGTTCCCGACTCTATGAGAAGTGTGATCCGTCCTGTTCTCCGACTTGTCATAATGGTGTGATAACGCTTTTCTGGTTCTACTTGTATTTATCGCTCGCGAAATAGTCTATCAATAAACGGTTCTCTGAGACAAGGCCTTCCGGTCCGAAGAACACCTTATTTAGGTAATTTTTATCATTTGCCAGATGCATGAACGTTTGTTTTAGTGAATTGCAGATCTTTTGAAGTCGTTCCGACGTGGTAGAGTATTGGAAGGAACTGGTAGAAATGGTAGAACCGGATGATGGACGGAGCAAGGATAAGATGGGGCTGTATCAGTGCACGGCATATGTTATTGGTAACTTAGCCTTTTTGGTATATGTCGGCTACGCGGGGGGGATTTTACGCGGGGGGACGGACTATTGGGGCCGAGCTAACTATTTTTTTCGTTTCTTTTTGCTACAAACAAAACTCTTAGTATATTTTTTGACGCTCTGTCGAATGGCATTAAAAAAATTTTGTAAAAATGTCGAAAATGTCGAAAATTTGATTTCCTTCTATATCTTCCATGAAAACAACGTTTAATACTTGTTTTTGTTATAACTATTTTATATTACATTATTTTGAGCTAAAATTAAAACTCTTAGTATATTTTGGATGCTCTATCGAATGGCATCTTTAAAATGTCGAAAAAAAATAGCGCGAATATCGAAAAACAGCGGCTGAAACCGACAGAGCTTATTTTTGTATTTGCCATAACTTTTTTATATTACACTATTTTTAGCTAAAACAAAAACTCTTAGTATAATTTTCGATGCTCTATCGGATGCCGTTGCAAAAATCCCGAGAAAATAACGAAAACATCCAAAAAGGCCTGCCTGTCCCGTCCCCCCCGCGTAAAATCCCCCCCCCCCCACCCCACCCCCGCGTAGCCGACATATACCGCCTTTTTTTGGTGGGATGGAGCGGAATTTCGCTAAATGAATAAGCATTGGTAAAAAAATTGGACCAAACTATCAAAATAAGCAAATTTTTGATATTTCGGCTAAAATGACGATTTTTAGGTTAATAAAGTCTATCGTCATAAAGTTGTTCCCCCTCGGATGATGCGATAAACCCTTTTTTATTCAGCGTAGTTGTACAAATATATTTTCTATTTAAAAACGATGCGAAATCTCCACAATCGTTCGCGCATTTTCGTCGAAAAAAAATCAATTTTCCGATTTTAGAAATATTTCTAGGACCATTACTAGCTTGAAAACGACGTAAAACACTAAAAACATTTTATTACAGGACCACTAGGAGAGTAGAAAAAAGTTGAGTGCCTCCCCCGTGGACAATACTCTTCTTTTCAGGCAACATCATCGGCTCGGGTATCTTCATCACCCCCGGTGGTGTATTAGCACAGACAGGCTCTGTCGGTCTCTCACTCCTCGTCTGGGTCGGCTGTGGCATCATCTCACTGCTGGGCGCCGTCTGCTACATCGAGCTGGGCACAAGCATCCCCGACCCAGGCTGTGACTTCGCCTACGCATGCTTTGTCGGCTGGGACATTATCGCTTTCGCCTTCATGCTGGTATGGTTTTTGTCACGAATTGCTTCCGGCGCTGGTTGGTTAGCGGGGGAGCGTGTTTTCGGCGCGGGGGAGTAATTTTCCTTATTGCCTTAGATGTCAAATAGTTAAATCAAAACTATTTTTGTAGCGTTTTATGCTTCCTTCAGACTCAAAAATTGATAAACGATTGAACTAAACCGAAAAAATAGAATATTTCTAGTGTTTTTAGCATTTGAAAACTACTAAAAACTATAAAAATAGTCTAGACTTTGTTGCAAGAAATGCAAGGCTGAATAATCGAATCCCCCGCTAATGAACCAGGACCATCTTCAATCAGCTTCTAACGCAACTTTAGGTGAGCGTACTGGTCACCTTCCCAGCCAGTGCTGCCGTCCAAGCCCAGACACTTGGTCAATACATGAGTAGGTTCTCCTACTTTTTGACCGATTTTCTCCTCCCAGTCGAGGGCCTCAGCATCAGCATCGACCCATCGTGGCAGAGCACGGCTTCCAGAAGTATCGGCTTCTTGTGTCTTTGTGAGGTTGAACTCGGTCGATTTAAATTCGTTTCTAGTCATCCTCAGCTTTGCCAACTTCTATCCGATCAGCAAGATCGCCGCCCGGATTCAGGTGATTTTAGTTTTGTTTTTTTTGCAAAAAATTTTAGACGGTCAATACAGCTGCTAAAGTGCTGTCGATGTTGCCGATCATCGGGGCTGGTTTTTATTTTCTGGTCTTTCAAGGTGAGAGCTATATAATAGTTTGTGTATGTGTTTTTAGGCAAGACTGAATATGTTAGCCAGCCCTTCGCCGGCTCAATCTGGGACCCAGGAATGCTCGGGCTCGCTTTCTACGGTGGATTGTGGAGTTATGCCGGCTGGGAAGTGCTCAACTATGGTACCCCAGAGATTGACAAACCGAGAAGGTACCCGGGTTCTTTATTCATTTTATTAAGTAAAAAATATAATAATAACCTACGGGCGTTGTTATCTGCGTCTTGCAAATCCTTTTTCCAGGACGATGCCACTGGCCTTATTTTCTGGAATCACAATCGTCACTGTCATTTATGCCTTCATCAACTTCGCCTATTTCGTCGTGCTCCCCGCCAAGCAGATCAAGACCAGCAATGCCGTGGCGGCTGTGGGTTGCTGGCGCAGTCCTAAACGTTTTTCTAGGACTTTGCCGAGGTCGCGTTTGGATCTTTCCGTTTCTTGATCCCGTTCATGATCGTGATCCTCTTGCTCGGCACGTTGAACACCAACCTTTTTGTTGGGTCGAGGTATTTGCAATTAAAAGAAGCAGTTTATCTTGTTTTTCAGAAGCATGCAAGCTGCAGCTCAGCGTGGTCATCTTCCCCCGTTTATTAGCTGTATTCAGAAAATTCATGGAAGCCCCAGAGTGGCTATTTTGCTGCAGGTAAATTATGCTACCATAAAGTACAATTAGAATTAGGCATTGCTTACGGTGGCTGTCTCCTTCTTCGACATCGATACGCTTATCAACTACGTGACTTTTGTGATGTGGGCACAGCGAGTCGTCACAATGTCGGCATTGCTATGGATTCGTTACAGGAAGATTCCGGTTGATACAGGTCAGAACTCAATTAAAAAATTTGTAGCTAGTTCCTAAACGAAAACGCCAAATTTTTTTGAAACACAATTTTTAGGTGCCATCCGGATGCCCCTCCCACTCTCCCTGATCTTTACCGGCATTTCGATTGCCCTGGTGCTCGTGCCCTTCTATCAAAATCCAGAGGTAACACCCGGTGATCCAACAAAGCCCGAGAAATAGGTCTGCTTCATCGGGTCATTGTGCATCTTTGGCTCGGCGGCTTTATTCTACCCGTTCATCTACTGGAAGGTGCCCGTCTTACCCCAGATAAATGGTTAGCAAGATTATAGAATTCTCTAAAAGCTTTCAGAAACGATTACAACCATGACCGAGCGCCTTTTCAACTCAAAACGAGATCTCTGGAATCCTCGCATTGTCGGCAGTATTGTTGAGGTCCGGATATTCTGAACTATGAATAATTTTTTTTAGAGCAATGTTTCACAAGTCGCGCGAGAGGCCGAGACCGAGCCCCTGCAAAGCCAATAATCCGTTCGCCGCTTGCTAGTGTTTTTCAATTTTCTTTCCCCGACACTTACACTTCTTCACTCTCTTCCCTCGTTGTTTATTTTATTGTTTTGTTGTGATAATTGCTCTGGGTACAAGAGATTTCAAAATCCATGATATCTCATCGCGCTTCCAACTCAGTGGTATTCCCAAAATTTTGTTGTTCATAAATTTGTTTGCGGTTGGGGAACAAAAATAATGCCAACGATGGGGTGGAAACCTGCGTACTGGACGGTTAGTGCGGGGGTGGCTAATTTTTGATTAAAGGATTTCACAGACTTTCTGCTAATAAAAGAAGTCGGGAAGCCGCCGCTAAACTACCCAGACACCAGACTTTTCGAGAAGCTGCTGCATCACCACCGCCCCTTATCACGCTAATCAAAAACGAAGGCACTGAGCAGCGGGGTGGTGTTTATTTGTTTCACACGCACATTCACACCTATTACACGATGCTGACACACGCACTAACGCTGTGTACGACGGTAATAAACAACCGCTAAAACTATTCGAAAATAATTCAGGTTTTGCTGCTTGCTGTGACCAATGCGGAAAACAGGTAACTCAACTTTCCAAATTTACTGAACTAAAATGACAATATAATCAAACTGGAACAGAGGGGACAGAATGCACAATGTAATTCGGGAATGTACGGGGGAATTGATAGGAGACTGGGGGAATCACATAGAACAGTAAGGGTAAACGTACTTGACTGTACTGAAAAGAGACATGTAATCTAATCATTTCTCGCCAATCGGCTTCACATCGTAGGCAAAGACAGTGTTGTCAGTCTCGAGGCGAGGCGGGCTTTTGACGGCCATCTGAGATCGAACTTTGAAAAACCGATCCGACCATACCTGATGTTGGGCCCGCTTTAGTTCAACGATTTGTCGTCGTCGCAGCTCCTCTTGCTTTTGCTCGTTATGCGCTTTAATCTAGACGGCTCATTAATTACATATAGCAAGTATACCGTATACTCGCGAATACGCAACAGTGAAGCCTTGATGAGGTTGAGGCGCCGGCTTCGCTCATGTACCATCTCCGAAAAATCGTTGGTCGGATCAATCTCCTAAAGCAATAATTCACCAAAAAACAATCGGATTACCTCGACAAAAAAGTGGATGTGGTCCTTGCTGGCCGCCTCAGCCTCGGGCATATTGTAGAGTTTTGTGAGCGCCGACTGGAGAGCGTTGACGGCACCGGTGCGCTCCAGGTATGCACCGAAATCCTAAACACACACATTTCTCAACTCGAAACAATTATACCTCATATTCGTCGTCCGCAAACTTCCTGCAGACAAAAGGACCGCTGGACATCCTAAATATAACTGATCAAAAAAAATAGAGAAACGTGGTGAAATATAGTTTTAGAAGAGTGCAACAAATGTCAGATGGAACCCCGGCGGAAACACTGGTGAATGTCGGGGACAGAAGATATCGGAAATATATGGCAAGGCAAAAAAAAACTGCATGAAGAGTCTTAGGAACTCGTTCCAAATAACGATGGAAGTTTTCACCTCGAGACAAGGTACGAAGAAGTCGGGGCGGGGTGAGATTTGCTGTAATATTCGAATTGCCCAACTTTAGTTTTCCATCTGCGCAACAGCAAGGACTGAACAATGAAGAAAAAGAGTATCAGCGAAACCCCGCGAAGTCAGCCGAGAAGCTGGTAGAGTTTGGTTACGGTAATTATCGCACATTTTAACGGTCGCTTTCCGCCGAACCGTAAAAAGTATATACGCGAGATATTGCGCTCGAATCCACCTGCGTCAAAATTTAGCTACATATCGAACAGAACGCGATTTAGACATCTAAGAAATTGCCCAAAAATGTAAAACTTTTATAATCGAGCACATTTGGTCAAAAAAATCGGTGTCGGAACAGGAAGAAAAAGTTTAGAAACGGTTCCTTTATTTATATTAGAAAATTCTAGTCAAGTAATTAAGGAAAAAATTCGGACCCCTTGCGGAATACGAAAGAACTGTTCCCTTTACTGATTTTCAGGATCCCAGAGCAACCTGGTATATTCCTGGAGGTCAGCCGACCTTTCCCAAGTTGGTATGAATCGATATGCAGGAAATATGGTCGAAACAATAATAGGTATATGCCTTGAAATATGGTTGGCGAGAGGTCTCGGACGAAGAGCACATGAAGCAATTAGTCAGCTTGACCTACACAGCCCCCTGGGGGCTCGAAGGATTGCGTTGGATTGAGGTAGTTGATTTGCATCATTTTGCCTAGGCCTTCAAGGTTCCGTACGCAGCCCATCTTCCGGAAAGTCGTACAAAAGTGGCGATACCCAGCTCCTTTGTTCCGGTGGGGTCAGGTGCTGCGAATGAGGAAACGAGAAGGGCTAGGCGTTCTGAGGACGACAAAGCGGTGCTGGTAAAAAAATTCAACGTAATCCAATTTTGACGAAAATGGCTTGCGTCAAATTTAGATTAAAGACTACTTACGTCAAAAGGCAGCAGAAAACGTTGAGGTGCCTTTAAATGCGCAAAGCAAGGATGCGACAACCGAAAAGACGACCGCTGCTGTTTCACAGGTTGAAGGCGAGTCTCTCAACCGCTGTCAACTTTTTTGCAAGAAGCTGCAGCGAATGATGAGCAGGAGGCCAGTACAGCGACGGGCTTCAAGAACCCGACCCCGGGAGATGAGGACACCGAGACCAACGATGAGGGGACCGCTGTGGTTCAGAATGTCGAGGAACCCGTGGAACCTGCCAAGACCAGTAAGTAAACGAGATTTGAAAATTATTGGGATCACAGATTCTCCTACCTTTGAAACGGTCGTCTTGGGACAACTGGTTGGGTACAGGACCGAAACTTGCGTTCCAATTCCGGTAAATTAGAAAATAGTGTGCAACCCTGTTCAGGTAAAAAACGAAGAAAGCGAGCCCCTCTACTGGATCGTTCGAGCATTGCCCTGTGCCGCAGAGCCCATTGAGGGGGCAAAGGTATGTAAAATCTGCCGAAAATGAAAACCGTAGTCTTTTTAGGTATTCACCACGGAAAACGGGCAGGCGTACGCCTACTACGGAAGGCCTGAGCTTGTTACCCTCAAAGGGGAAAAGCCTTGATCCACCAAAGAGCCACTACCGTCCACGTAAGCAGCACGCATATACGATTCAACCAAAATTCTTTTGACGCCAAACTTCTAACTATTTATAAAGATGACAATGGCAGATTCAGAAGTGCGGGGCAAAATAACTGGGGTAAATATGTGCAATGGGGGCTGCCTGGTGGGGTGCATAACAATTTTGGGGGAAAGACGAATTCATTCCGGTTGTGTGACCGCTGAAGTTCTGCGGATGAAGCGCTTGCTGAAGAACCGGGCCATACGCAACGTCAGTCTGAAAATTCCAAGTACAACGTGCAACAAAAGAGGACAAACCTCATACCGAAAGGTGTCCAGGCACAGAAAAGCATCTTTTCCCCGGAATGCAAACGAAATAGTCTCCGTGACGGAAAGCCGGTTACCTAAACCAACATTTTCCAAAAAAAAACGTTCAAAACCTGGGATCTGGACCATGGACCCAGTGGACGGCGGCACAGGGTGCTCTGCATTAACAATATTCAAGCTGGACTTCGGTTTCTGTGCCACAACCATCGACCGCTTGTGCCTCTCGATTTGCTTCAAAACGTTGGTCAAAAATCTCAAAAGCCTTCCTTACCTGTTCGACTTTCTTCGGCGAGCAGCGAAGTTTATTCGAAAGGGTGTACACGTGCTGTTCGCTGATTTCCGGGTGAAGCTGGCATTCGGCAGCTATTTGGCGATTTATCATATAGTTGCGTCGATTCTCTATGGCCTTGTTCACCTGAAGTCATGAGGGTAGAAACAAGAAAGTCAAACCTCCTTCACAGACATGCCATAGCAATCGGCGATGGCTTTTATCTCATCAGATGAGATGCTTCTATCAGGCTTTACTATTGTCTGTAAAATAAACCTTAAAAAAATCACCTCCAGAAATAAACCTTTATCTCTCTGTGAAACCCGTATGGCTTCTTTTTGAACATCTCGCCTGTTGCAGACAAAGCTGAAAAACATTTTGTTGCGGTGCGTGAAAATTTATTGGAAGTATGATGGGCGGGAAATCAGTGCGTTTTTTGTTTCACGAAGAAGTACACGCTTTATTGCTGGCTACAAAGTGGAAGTACAAAGTGCAAAAGTAGAAAATCACAAGCGTAAACACAGGGTAAAAAACGAGGTGCACAACTTACAGAATCTACAAATTGAAAACAACGACGAGGTTTTTCCTATCTATTCATTATCGGCGACTAGAGAGATTCCTGGTGGACTTGGCAAGCACCAAGGATTATCACTGCGGGCCCTCAACAAGCGAAACTCCAGACATATCGGGAGGAATTGGCAGGCCCATAATGTAGAGCACCGTCGGAGCCACATCACACAGCGCCATTTCACGGTTGTCCAACTTTGACAAAAATCTAAAATACGATGGATGCGGGGTAAAGAAGTATAAAACGGACTTGAACTTGTCGGAGCTGTTGGTGAAGGGGACGCGGTAGCAGGTGTGTGCTGTATGTTTGCCACCATCGGGAGCAATCATCTTTTCGGCATTCCCGTGATCGGCAGTCACCATGCATACATAGCCTAAAAAGCGCCGATTATTCAAATAAAGAAATGTTTACCGTGCTTTTGACACGCATCAAAGATCCGCCCAATGGCAATATCGGTAGCTTCGCAGGCCTAAAGCACGCAGTTGGAGAAAAAATATCGAATACCTTCACAGCCGCCTCATATTCGCCAGTATGGCCGACCATGTCGGGCGGGGCGAAGTTGCACATCAAGAACGGATGTTTTCCTGAAAGCAGAATCAACATTTTCCAACAAAATGTTGCTTACCAGCCTCCACTTGCTCGACCATTTTGTCAGCGACACCGGCCGACGACATCTCCGGCATATGGTCGTAGGTTGGCACTTTTGGGCTGGGCACCATGCATCGCTCCTCGCCCTCAAAATGGGCCTCCCGGCCGCCGTTGAAGAAGAACGTGACATGAGCGTATTTTTCAGTCTGTTCGAAATTCTATGGTGAAATTGAATCTACCTCGGCACAGTGGAACTGTGAAACGCCTTGGGTGGCCAGCCACTCTGCCAAGACATTTTTGTTCGAATTCGGTGGGAAAAGGGCAGGGAATGGGAATTCAGCCTTGTACTGTGTCATTCCTAAAAGCAAGAAATCCGTGAAATGAACTGCTCACATACCATAAACTTGGAGATCCTTTGGGTGGGGCAGGGACGAATTGCAATTCTTGTAGGCTTCCATGCCCATCACCTCGCTAATCTCGCGCATGCGGTCGGCGCGGTAGTCGAAGAAGATCAGAGTATCTCCGTCCTAAAAGAGTTATAAAAATTCTGGACCGCCAAAGTGCACCTTCACGCGGCCCTTGTCACCATTCACAATGATAGGCTTCAAAAATTCGTCAGTTTCGTTGGCGGCGTAACGGGCTTCCACTACGGATGTCACCTACAAAGAAAATATAATTAAAAAAATCATAAAGCTCCTTACCTTTTCTTTAGAAGTCTCCTCGCCCTTTCCACCAACCATTCCCTCATAAGCCACGGCAATACGCTCCCATCTCTTGTCACGGTCCATCGCATAATACCTAAACCGTTACCGAATAGCCTTTATCAAATACCTTCCGACAATCGTCGCTAGCTCTCCGTATTGTTGCTCGTCCAAGAACTTTAGGGTGTCCTTCAGGAAGCCCAGACCCGAGTTCGGAGAGGTATCGCTAAAAAGGGGAATTTATGTGGATTTCAAACAAACCGCCCATCGCCATAAAATTGGATGTAGAGCTCCGGAACCTGGTGGGCTTTGATGGCCTTGATGAGCGCAAAAAAGGTGATCTAGAAGAGCGTTAATTCCGAAGCCTCAACGTACCAATATGAGAGTGAACTCCTCCGTCAGAAACCAGGCCAGCCAAGTGAAGACGGCCATTCCCCTTCTTGGCCCGCTCGCAGGCGGCCACCAATGTCTCGTTGCTAGCCTAATAAAGAAGGTAAATATTTAAAATCTTATTACCAAAGTGTCATTCTTGATGGCCAAGTTGATGCGCACGATGTCCTGGTAGACCGGGCGGCCAGATCCGATGTTCAAGTGGCCCACCTAAAAACTCGATTGAAACAAACGAATTTTACTTCACCTCCGAATTTCCCATTAGCCCTTCTGGGAGACCGACGTGGAGTCCATGAGCCTCGATCTGTTGCCAGTTACCTGTAGAAAAAGTATAATAGCGTTTATCAATGGAACCTGAGCAAAGTTTGTCCATGACTGGCGTTTTAGCGTTAGCGATAGCGTTGCCATGGGTCTCGTCGGAAAGGCCCCAACCATCGATGACGATCAGGCAAACCTTGTTCTTTATCTAAAATCAATATTTAGCCCATATTAATTGTGAGATTTATATAGGAAAGAAAAGAACTCACCTTGTCGTTGTTCGCCATCTCTCAAAGCGATCAGGGCGCAGTGCGAAAAGGAGTCGGCGCCTGGAAAGAAGGAGTAACCCGGGGGCCCAACCCGAGAGAACGCAGCCGATATCAGAGAAATGCAGAGAACTGCTGCGAAAAGGGCCGGCGTCTGGTCAAAACAGTGAACTGAGAGAGAGAAAACAAAAACAATTTATTCGTGTTGATAAGGCTGCGCAGTTCACATAAAATATTGCCGAACCGCGCAAAGCGAGAATGCCATTGTGGAATCTAAAACATGTTGGCAGATTGCGTCATCACAACAGAAGGGTACATGATTTCCCGTAGCAAAAAAAGAACACAACGCGGCGTGGCCAGTAAAGCTCAATTAATTATCACAATGAAGGGGGAAAAGGCGAAAATAGGGTCCCCATGACATTTCTGCAACAGGATGTCAAAATTATCCTAACCGGGTAGTAATTTCTGAACTATCAGGTTGAAAAATTACTAAACCCCTTCTCAAACATTATAAAAGCAACAGAATCTTTTGATCGTTTTCTTTTCTGTCGGAGTTGCTAAAATGCCATGGTCCCGAAAGGATGTCCGCCCGTCGGTAGGGCACTGTTTAGGGAATGGCAAATTGCTATTCTGTGGGCAAAATCCCGTTCGGGGCCTCTTCCTCGGGCAACAAGTCGGCCAAATGCGTGAATTTGGCAGCAGATAGCAGCTTTTTGACGGTTGTCCACCTCCCAAAAGAACATTCCCAAAGCAGCGACGTTGACTGAAAAATGGCGTGTTCCATGTAAAAAGATCCAAAAAATACTTCCGCTTATCACAGTGAAAAAAAAGCTTTTTTTATTTTTTTTTGATGCTTTTCAAGCCGTTACCATACCCGCTGGTCGATCGACAGAAAGGCGGCCGTCTTCTCCAGCACGCGTTGCCCCTGCACCCCTTCAAGGCCCATCTAGAAGATGGCGTCGCTGGCACTAGCACAAGAGTTGCACCTACCTTTGCATAGTGTGCGGAGCGTTGCCATTGTCGTTGCGACTGCAAGTACCTACAAGCATCGGCTCCGGCTCCGACGACAAATAGCAGTTCTACGCCATCTGGACGAGACTATCATCGGTCGGAAAAGTGAACAAACCTTGAATCAGATCGTTGGCAATCAAATTCGTCGCGATCAGCTTGATCAATGACCTAAAGGAGATTCCATAGAATTTTGGGCACCTACTTGGAATGTTCATCGTCGTGATTCGAGACGAGAAGAGCGGCTTTGTAGGAAGAGAGTCTGACGTCACCAAAGGCACTTCCGATCAGTCTGAATAGTGATGGATTCGGCTTAGATTGTAAAGGTTTGTTGTGTTGATTGAAGTTGTTACCTATCGACCGCTGCTCTCCTTGCTTCCCCACCCAACACTACGGCCCTTTCGACCAGACGGCTCTCGTCGGCTTCTCGGATGTTGCAGCAGGCTCTTATCACCCGCTTTTCACGCTCCTGAAGTGATTTAATAAATTTCTTTTTCTTTTTCTTGCGTCTTTTCACCCTCAGAGATTGAGCATCAGCTCTTACTAACCTGGAAGAAGGGTCCACTCCAAAATATTTGCAGGTGTGGTGGCAACAGCCTCTTTTCTTCTGACCCAATTTTATGCAGAATCATCTAAACATTAAATAAAACGTTTTCACGATATTCCAAACCCTCAACACATCAGCCAAAGCTGTGTCGCCCCTCCACTGATACCACGCCAGCTCGTTGGCCAGAGCATCTTCAGGACTCGTTTCTTTTCTCTAAACATTTTTTAATAGCTTTTCGAAGCCGGTAATATTACAAATCGACGTCGAAAGTAAGAGTCGAGTGGTGCAATCGAAGTAGCTTCTCCAGCCATGAATTTTTGCTTTATTTCTTCGAGGTTTAGCCCCCAAATAACACATTGCTTCGTCATGTTGAGTCCATTGGGGGCGTCTGTCGCGTACCACATCATATTGTCGTTCGTGACGAGAACTGGTGTAACCTATACCGGAATATTGATCAGAAGATTTTCTGCCTACCCCACAGAGGTCCACATCTAGTGCTGCTCTACATCCGTCCATGCTGATAGTTTGCGTCCGCGTCAACGATTCGGTTTCCCAGAGGATCAGTTCACTATAAAAGAAATTCAGGTTTCTCGTTATTTTGTTGGTTTGTTGTGTTGTTTGTTGGTTGGTTTATTTGAAACTTACTTTTGATAGAGTACCGCTAATGTATGATCACCAGCAAGTCGACTGAATTGCATTCGGACCACAGGCGTGCGTCCAGCTCTGAAAAACTCATTTTTTCGAGTAATAATAGAGCAAGTTTTTGGTCCCATTTGCGCACCTCGTATTCTTCGACTGCCGCTTTGCCAGATCCCAGACAGCAAGCCGACCGTCTGCATCGCCCAGGGCCAGAACATCTCCTTTCCAAGCCATACATCTGATAGCCCAGCCGCCGGATTTCCACTAAAAGCATAAATATAAATAATTTAATTTTTATACCATTTTCGGGGGTTACCACGCGGCAAGCAATCATTTTAGACACCAACCTGCGTAGAAACCTCTTTGCCATCCCTAACATGGAGGCCTTTCACGACAATATGGTACAGCCGATTGTCCGAATCCAGCACTACCAAATTTTCCCTGGATTTTCCTTTGTTTTGCATAAATTTTTCGTCACCCACCTATAGACAGAAGGCCCGCCCCTGTCTGTGGGCTTGACAGTGCAATGCTTACAAGACCACGCCTAAATAAGTCATTTTTGAAAACTATTATTTCGAGGTACCATATCTCTAATCAAAGGGCAGGCTTTGCTCATGCGTCTCAGCAGCCTCATCGAGTTTAGGTCCCAGACTTCTAGTGGCTCCCTTTCAAAGGCCAAGGCAACGTAGCTTCTGAAAGAATTTTACATCTTCATGAGAGGATTTTTATCATATATAGATTGACTCAAACACCCACTGATAAAAAGAAACGCGGATCATGGTGATTGGAGACTCATCCCCTTCCGGCCGAGCTCGACGTGATATTCCGGTCCGAATATCGGTCAGAATGACATCATTCCTGACAGCATTCGTTGTCGACAGCGGATGGTTGAAGCCGGCGGTAAGAACAGAATGTGAGGAAGTCCATTCAATACACCTATTACATATAGTTCCACTGTTAGGCCAAATTTACTTGATTGGTGATGATTGAACTGTGAATTCCTTTACAATTTCCCGGGTGAATACATCGACTAGATGGAGTGTACCGCCACTCGTTCCTCAAAAAGTCCGACTCTTTTTGAAAATCACCAAAATACCTATTGCAGCCAGGTGGAGATCATCAAGTGGAGATTCGTCCTGCAGAGTCTCCTGATCGCGCTTTACCATCCCCTCCAATGGCTTCACCCGTACAGAGGTCACCCCAACAGCAAGCGCATTGCAGATGCCGATTTGACGAAAACTATAACAATTTGAATTGTAAGGCGCGCAACGTTAACTTGCCCCAAGTCGTCGATAGTTCCGGTTGTAAGCTCGTCATCAAAAGTGAACAATTCCTCGGCAAACACCGAGCGATAGAGGCCAGACGAGGAAATGGAGTCAGATTCCTAAATATCAAGGCATCTACCTTTTTTGTAATATTTACCAATTGATAGAAATAGGAGCGTCCATTGGTGTAGAGGAAAGCGACGGTCGATTGGGTTGCCGGACAAATGGCTGAGGCCACGGCTCGAAGGCCGGCTCCTCCTCGGACGGCTGTTCCACGGACCCCTTCACCAACAGCTACCCTTTCATATAATACTTAAATCAATCAGAAAATAAACGATAAATATTAGACCTACACTGCCCATCCACCCTTTCTTTTGCCATCACATATTTGCCAACCCACAACTAAAAAGATTTTCTCAGGGCGATTGAAAAAAAACCCGTACCGTACAAGTTCCAGTCGTGGAAGTCACGATGAATGCATCAGCCGACTGTATTGGTAACACAGAAAGCAAAGATGATTCGAAATCAGACTGAAAAGGTTGTATGGATGAGACCAACCACCTTACCTTGAAAATAACACAACACAACTCCTGATGAACACACCAAACTCGATTCCTAGTGACCAGCAAAAGAATATTTTGGTAGGCGGTATGGTGGCGAAGACAGACGATCTCGTTCTCTTAGTCAACAATAGAGGGTCACTAGACTTTTTCATACCGGCATTCTCCGCCAATGTAATTATATTCCCGGCGCCCGATGGCGGCACGTTCAGATCAATGTCGCTGACCACGAAGATCGAATTGGCAGTTGCAACTAAACACCTCTAAAAAAATACTACAGAGACCTACATGCAGCCTTGTCGGATATGAACGGATCCAGCGAGAAGCCGGTAAACGTCATCGGGAATGAAAAGGACCAAACCTAAAGAATATCAAAAATGGTTCAAAGCACCCACTTTCTCGCCGGTATCAGCATTCCAGAGCACAAGCAGGGACGGCGAGTGCAGGACCAACAAGAAATCTCGTTGCAAGTCCTTCCAGACGAACCATTCAAGGTCTGAAATGTGCGCTCGCATGGATTTTCGGAGACTCACGAATCACATTCGTGTTCGGCAAGCCAAACGTCGAAAGGGTGGTGCCATTTTTTGGGTCTGAGACTACTAGTCGGCCTGAAATATCGGCCGATGCAATCCGTAGCGTCTGGTCCTCAGATAGGAGGGCCGCCGGCGGGCTCCAGGAAATCTGAAACGCACCATGGCATCTGTTACGTCAAAGTTACATGGCTGATAGCAGTTTTATGGAATTCCAGGGCTTGTATCCGGCGCTGCGAGCATGCGTCGACGAGAAAGATCAAGTTGTGACATCCGTAGGCGAGTACACCTTGTTGGTTCCTGAGATTCGCGTTCTTTTACGGTCTCGCTATACGGCTTTTCCGTTTAAAAGAGCCTACCACGCTAATACATGGCGGCCATTACTCGGGTGTAAGCTGCCGGGTACAATCGTCGACATTTTTCGTCAAGTCATCAACGGCTGGAAAATTATTTAGGTTTGATGCAAGGATCTAAATATTATATTTATAATCTTCAAAATCACATTATTCATATAAAATCATTTTTGTTTGTTTTATAGATCGCTGAAATGGTCAAACAAAGTTGGCATTGCCACTTTTGATTGGTGCCCTTTTTATTTGCCTTCCGCTACGGATTGCTACAATAAACACCGCCTCAGAATTTGCTCCCGTAACTCATAAAAATGCAAAATTTATTTCTAATAATTTTTAATTCTTTCTAAAATGAAAAATAGAACGTAAAATCCTTGTCAATTTTGTTTTTGACGAATAGACCAACCTTTCGTCCACTTCAGATCCGCTAGTCCGCCCATAAGGCATTTCTCGCAGATAAATTCTAACGAAAGTTTTCGAAGTTGTTAATCCAAAATGTTATCCGCTATATTTTTCTTGTTTCCAGATGGAGTGCGACGTGGCAAGGCATCATATAGACTCGTTCAACTACCTGCTCGACCCAGGAGTCGATTTGGCGGCCAAAAGCCTTACCCCGATCAAGTTCCGATGGCCCAGCGGCGAGGCGGTGATAATGAAGTACAAAGGGGCGAGGATCGAGAACCCCAGAATTGGCAGCACGGTAACTCTCTGTACTAAAGAGTGAAAAGATTTATAGGATGAACCGATGTACCCGTCGGAATGTCGTCAGCGGGGAATGACTTACCGTGGCCGTCTCCTTGTCGATATCGAGGTTTTTTAAAGTTACAGAAGAGTTATCGATTGTAGATCACGCTGAATGGTTTGCTACTCGATAATCTCAACGATGTCTATATTGGGGATGTTCCTATTATGTTGATGTCAAAAAAGTAATTAAATTGCGGTAGTTGTACCTGTTTTTAGGTGTAATCTGCAAAAACTTAATCAGAAACAACTGGTGGCTAACGGCGAAGAGGCGACGGAACGTGGAGGTTATTTCGTCAACAAGGGATCAGAAAAAGTCTGAGATATATTATTGCACCAAACATTTCTCGTAGGTCATTCGAATGCTGATCGCCAACAGACAAAATTACCCAATTTCCATCGTCAGGGAGAGCTTCAGGGACAAGGTACATTTACTATTTTGATTTTTATTTCTTTTTAGGGAATGCTCTATTCGAAGTATGGTGTAATCCTTCGTTCGGTCCTTGACCTCCACACCACATCCATGATCACTATGCATTACTTGGAAAGTGCCACCATGGTCGTTGCTATCCAGGTAAACCCCAGGTTTATTTCCAACCAGTTTTTATTTAGTACGAAAGAGAAACTTTCTACATACCGCTAATGTATATCATCAAGTCGCTGACGAAAAAGAGTGACTCCGAGCTGGACACGATCTTTAGAAGGGGTCGCCAGGATGACATGTTTTGGAAATCGATTGTCTCGAATATGATGCTGCAATGTCAGGAAGATGGGATCCTTCATCAGGTCCGCCAGTTTTCCGACCTAGTAATATTCGAATTACAGGAAGTGGCATTGAAGACGCTCGGCACTCGTTTCAGACAAAGCCTTAGCCTACGCATGGGGCCTTGGGAGGACGTTTTGGTAATACTCATTGTTTTGTTGACTAGACTATTATTTTTAGGACGCTGGTAAATATCTGATGGATCGTTGCGTGGCAATTCATTTGAAAGACTGGGAAGATAAGCTGCATCTGTTGGTCTACATGGCGCAGAAGCTCTATGCGCTTTCGACGGTTTGTCTAAAGTTGTTTTCCACATGCCAATCTAGGGACAATCGGCGCCGGAATCGCCCGACAACCCACAATTCCAAGAGGCTGCCCTTGGTGGTCACATCATGTTGCAGATTTTGAGGGAGAGGTACTAAAAAAGGTTCTTTCGCATAGTTGTGGGACAGTACTTTTTTTTTCTAAATATTCAAAAAATTTCCATTTAAAATATAGGGCGTGTTTCTAAGCTGTTTTTTATTAATCCTAAAAGTTAAAGCTATACAAGTTTTGCTAAAAAAACAAATATTTTTTTGATCAAAAGTGACCGATTTTCGACCAAAATTTCACCTAAGAAGGTTTTCTGATTTTTTTTTGGCTACTTTTCACCCTTAGAATCTAGAAATTTTACTAAAACTGTTCAAATACGCCCTATACAATTACTAGGCATTTCTGTATTTATAGAAGAATTGCTTCCCCCGATAATGTGAAAGAACCGTAAATAATGCTTCCCCCTATTTTTTTTTGTTTAGAATGGAAAGCGTGCTGAGGATTTGTAAATTTGTGTTGGTTAAGAAGGCGACCCGGTCGCCAAAATATGTCCTTTCTAGGTGGGCAAGAGGATTTTTCTTTTGATCCCTGTTTAGTGCCGAAGTTCAGCGTATCCTGCTCCCGAGCACAAAGGGGAAGAACGAGATTACGCAAGGAATCGAGTATTTCATAGCTACCGGTAATCTGACGCAGCGGAATTCAGCCGTGATTTTTTTTTAGGAAATCTGGTCACGAAGCTGGGAATCGGCCTTCAGCAATACACGGGTTACTCGGTGGTCGCCGAACGGATCAACCAACTCCGTTTCATCTCGCATTTCAGAGCCATTCACAGGTAGCTTTATTTCTTCTCCGATGCGGACACCTGGCTTCAGGGGCGCTTTCTTCACGGAAATGAGGACGACTGATGTCCGCAAACTTCGGCCGGAGTCTTGGGGATATATTTGTCCCGTCCACACTCCCGACGGAGCCCCTTGCGGTCTTCTAAATCATATCACAGCTGGTTGCCGGTATGGTTTTTCTCCTTAAAAATAATAGGTTTTTCTATTGTTCGGGGATTCGGTGTTTTTTTCTCAAGTTTCAATTTTCTAATAAAAATCTGAACCGTGCTCCTAAGCTCTTTTGGCTATTCCTAAGCGTAACGACCTTACAAAAATTATTAAAAAAATGCAGGACTTTCCGCCCAAAATTCAATTTTTTGAACAGCTTTGAAAGTTTTCTAAATAGTCCGAAATACAGCTAAATTTTACTCGAAAATCACAGAAGATGCGTGTATGGCCTTACTACAAATATATAAATAATATAAATATCTTAATTTTTAGAGACTAACCACCAATATTATTTTTTTAGGATCGCCACACATTACTCTGACACTTCCAAGCTAATGTCATTCATGCAACGGCTCGGATTGTACACCCACCAGATGATGACATTTGTGCCACCCGATGTTGAGGTGCCGCCAGTAGCTTGCCAAATGAACTCCTTTTTTAGATGTACCCCGTCTATGCTATGGGAAATCATGTCGGCTTCATCCCGGTGGGCAAAGCACCGGTTTTCGAGCGGCTTCTCCGTTTGGCTAAAGTCTCAGCCACCGACACGCGCGTTCCATTCGATGCTGAGGTAAGTTAGGCTATGCCAGCAATAATATAATTTAGATCGCATTGGTTCGAAAATCTCCTGATCCCAAGAATATCATCACGCAGCATCCGGGCGTCTACATTTTCACCGAGCCGGCCAGAATGTATCGTCCCGTTCGTAATTTGATCACGGACAGCACCGAAATGATCGGTAACTATTTTTCGCGTGTAATTTAATGATTTCTGGGATTAGGCATTTTCGAGCAAGTATACCTTTCCGTGGCATTGGACCCTGAAGACGCGGAGCCTGGAGTCACCCTGCATCAGGTGGATTTATTTTTTCAATTTTTATTCTTTCTAGGAACTGCACCCTTCGTGCCTCTTTTCCTATGCATCGAATCTGATCCCGTTCCCGGATCACAATCAGGTAAGGACACGCTCTTTTTGGGTCTGGTTCTTTGGTGCGGGACGGCTGACTTTTTCTTCATGTTCCCTAGTCTGGCATAGAAAGCATTTAATCATGTAAACATTTGAAGCCCTTTTAAGTATCGCAAGGTTTAAAAAAGTAGAAATTTTTTGCTTTTTTGGTGAAAATATAGACAACAAGGTTGAACAGTTCGACATTTAATTTTTTTGTTAATTTTTCGTTATCGCGAATTGCACACTATCCACCAGTTTATGCTTTAATTTTTAAGTTTAGCGTGAATAATGGACCGCGCTAACCCCCCCCGCCCCTCCCCCTTCGCTAACGAATCAGAACCGATTTTTTCGCAACGTTGATTTAGTCGCCCCGCAACATCTACCAATGCCAAATGGCGAAGCAGACGCTCGGTACCGCAATCCATTCCTGGTTCTATCGCAACGACAACAAGATGTATCGACTGCAGGTTAACGCAAAACTTTCAAATTCTTATTTTTACTTCCAGTTTCCGCAAAAACCGCTGCTCAAAACGGAGGCGCACGACCTCTACGGGATGGACGAATATCCATCCGGGACGAATGCTTGCGTGGCAGTTATCTCCTACACAGGCACGTTTAGAATAGCTATTTGACCGACAATTAGGCTACGACATGGAAGACGCGATGGTGATCAATCGCGGTTCCTTTCAACGAGGTTTCGCTCATGGCACCGTCGTCAAAGTCGAAGAGTAAGGGTCATTAGTATACTGGGGTATTCCCGCATGATAGGCCGCTTCCTAGGGCCTATTTAGTAAATCTTGGTTTTTTATGCTGTTTTAATATAAAGAGCTATACTAGAGAGCCGAAAAATTTTAGAAAGACTTAAGTATCTAAAAATTTGGTCAGTTGAGGCGGAAAAATGGCTGGACTTTGGTTGAAAAATAGGCAAAATTTTGGTCTCCCCACAGCGAGTACTCAAATACCGTCTTCATAATTTTGCTAATGACGCTTGTTTAGGGTTGATCTAACCGAGAAAAATGGCCAAGAGTTGATCTTCTTCATGGAGAATCCAGCAGGCACGCTCCACAAGACAATCGACCCCGATGGACTGCCCATTCAGGGACGGCGATACCAAGAAGGTAAAGAGGCATTATTCAAAGCTTTTATATCTATAATTTTTCAGGCGAACCTTACATGACGACCTTCAATCTGGAAACCGGTCAGCAACGCGTTCACAAATTCCACTACGCCGAGCCGGCCTACTGTGGATTCGTGCGCCTCGTCACGTCAGACGAATATCCGAATCTTGCCGTGGTACGACTTGTCGATCTAAACCAAACGAGTTTCTGCTGTTTTTAGAAAGCGTTGATCCAATGGCGAATTGAGCGCAACCCCATCATCGGCGACAAGTTCGCTTCCCGCCACGGGCAAAAGGGCATCAATTCGTTCCTGTGGCCGGTCGAGTCCCTTCCGTTCTCAGGTTTCATTTTAGTTTCTCCGCGCTATTAAATTGTTTTTAGAAAGCGGTGTGGTGCCGGACATCATTTTCAACCCGCACGGCTTCCCGAGTCGGATGACCATCGGTCAGTTTTTTCACAGTGTTTTGGTATATTTTTTTCTTAAAACTTGCTACTTAGGAAGGGCGTCAAATTTTGATAATTGTTTTGCTTTTACTGCCAATTCATTTTTTCCAAATAAACGACGTTAGATAAGCCAAACGGGTGTGATTAAGAAATTTAAGAAAAAAAATAAGTTTTTAGATACAAGATAAATATTTTACCGCTCACTTTCAGGTATGATGATCGAGTCTATGGCTGGTAAGGGAGCCGCGATGCACGGTGCAGGATATGATGCTTCTCCGTTCGTCTTCAACGAAAACAACACGGCCATTGACCATTTTGGCACGCTATTAAAGGTGCTTTTTACTACTTATGAGAATTTATACTTATTATTAAAGAAAGCCGGCTACAATTACTTCGGGGAAGAGACGATGTATTCGGGAATCGACGGCCGCGAGTTTACCGTGCAAATTTTCTTCGGAATCGTCTACTACCAGCGCCTGCGTCACATGATTGCCGATAAATTCCAGGTGTGTTTTTCAGGGAATTTTGTTAAATCAGCTCTGATAGGTACGCGCAACCGGGTCGGTCGACTACGTTACACACCAACCGGTGAAGGGAAGGAAGAAGGGCGGAGGTTTGTTTCGGTTAAACAATATCTCATTGTGGTTTCTATTTAGGTATCCGTTTCGGTGAAATGGAACGTGATGCCATCATCTCACATGGTGCATCTTTTATGCTACAGGTAAATGTGTCGCCCATTAAATTAACCAAAATTCAGGATCGTCTATTGAACTGCTCGGATCGCGATATCGCACACGTTTGCCGAAAATGCGGTTCTCTTCTGTCAGTGCTAGCCGGAACAATCGCCCAGCGAACTATGCAAAAGGGTGGCAAGACGGTATGATTTTCAGCGTTTATCCTACGTCCAAGTTTTTTCAGTATAAGTCTACTACGGACTATACGGACAGGCCAATGTGCCGCTTCTGCGACACTGACAAGGACGTGTACGTGATCCAGGTACGATCGGGTTGTGCGATTATTTACTTCGTTGCAGCTGCCACATGTCCTCCGTTTCCTGGTGGCTGAACTGGCAGCCATGAATGTGCGACTCGTGGCCGGAATCGAGCACCCTACGAAGATCCGAAGATAAAGTCGATCACAATTCCAGTTGTTCTTTGTTAGATCTTCAATTTAGTTTTTTTTTGTTGTTGCAAGTTGATTTGTTGTTATTGTTGTTGTTGCGCATCTTGCACCAGCGCTGTTATTGTTGTGACAAATTTGTTGTTTTGCTCAATAAATCGTTATAAAATTTATTTAATCATAGGCGAATTGCAAAAACCCTTGAACGCTAGAGGCTACACTTTAAAATAATTCGATGAGCGAGAACCGGATACTAAATATGTACAAATGACAACTCGTAACAATGGACCTGGCAAGTCGGTTCCCCTTTATTTGTTGTTGATGAGACTGTTCGTGACGGTGTTCAAGCTGGCTGGGGCGTTTTCAATCATATTGAAAGTCTGAAAAACCATTGGCTAAACGGGAAGCGCGGCTAACCTTATCGACTCCGGTGTTCCAACATCCGCCAACTTTTCCTTTCACTTCATCAACCGAGGGAAGCTAAAAGTGCTGAGATATGTTTTTTAACAAAACCAACCTTTTCCTTATACACAATTGTTCCTGGAACAATCAATTCCTTTGTGGTCTGGTACAGCTTCGCTCCCTAAATCAAATATTTGTAAAATGACAGGAGCTCACTTTTTCCGTTCGCAATGACCAAATATCATTGTCGTAGGAAATCTTGATGGCTCCCGCCACGAGTCCGACCCGTAGGCCCAATCTGGAAGAAAATAATAAGAAAAATAATCTCACTCACTTTGATAGCCGCCACAGGAAGCCCATAATCAGCCCTGAAAATGGGATGGGATTATTATAGGCAATAAAATAGTAGTTTGAAAGTTGACAGCAAGAAAAGCACGGAAATCTATGGGAAATAATAATTTAGAGCCAAGTTTAGAAGAAAACGGGCGATTTTTGTTGCTGGGAAGTGTACGCAGCGCTTCTATGTGCGAGTTTACTTTGCGCTTTCAGGCCACTCGGAACTTTCGCATTGCACATTCCCGACACTTTCTAAAAGAACCGTGTAAAAATAATTCTAACTTTTGGGTTACTATTTTATTTATGCTTCCTTCCTTTTGGCCTTGCTCTAATGATCTTGAACTCAAAAGGGCCCTCATCTTCCTCTCTCATCACCAGCAATTCTGCCTATTAACTCCTCAATTTCAGAAGCAAAATGGCCGGCACTAGCGAGGTGGCCAAGCAGATCGCTTGGAAATACAACAGCGCCCCCGTGCAATGGTTCCGTCGCGTCGCCTGGAGCTACCTGTGGGGCGGCCGCGAGTATGGCCTCCACTTCCACGACCAAGCCTTCGAACCCGCCCCCGAAGTGACCGAAGCCCTCCGCCGTCTCAACCTCAAGGAGCCGTGGCTGTTCGACGAGCGCAAGAAGCGCCTCTCCGTCGCCCATCACCTGGCCATGCACGGCGAGGTTCTGCCCAAGGCCAAGTGGACAAAGTGGGAAGACGAGTCCTGGTACCTGAAGCCCTACCTCGATGAGATCGAAGCTGAGAAGGAAGCGCGCGCTTCATCCTCCGGACTTCTGCCCTCGTTCATGAAGCACGGCAGCGCCTATTCGAAATCCGGATTCGGCGGCCACTAAGCATACCTTTTGTATTTAAAACACAGATTTTCGATTTTTTTTTGTGATGCTTAGGCTGAGAATGTTGTTGTGCTCCCGAAGTACACATGCGAAACGAATCCTATAGAATCCATCTTAGCTTATCGAATCTGATAATAGCGTGTTCTTTGTAGCCCTTGTTTTCTATCTATGTTCTCGATTCGTACAATAAATATTAACCAAAAAAATCTTAGTGATGGATCAACTGCTCGACATCGAACAACTTCAAAAGCTCACACCGCAGCAACAAGAGCAGGTGATCGCTGGGGTCAAGCAGCAAGCCGCTCTCGCAAACGCTCAGAGTCTCATTACGGTATGGTCATCGTTCCGGGTTTACTCTGTTTTTAGGAACTTTCGGAAAAGTGCACCATCAAATGCATAACGGCTCCAGGAACGTCGTTGACTGGAGGTGACAAGCAGTGTCTTCAGAGGTAAAAATCTTACATATTATGAGCTAGTTTTTTTGACAGCTGTGGTAGCCATTAATTCTACAAGGTTTCGTAGAATAATTATCGTATTTTTAGGTGCATGGATCGTTTTATGGACACATGGAACCTGGTTTCTCAAACGCTTCAGAAGCGACTGCAGGTTTGTTCGTGATTGTTTTATTGGAAGTAAATTATCTTTGTAGGAGGAGCTACAACAAGGCGGAGGATTCATGGGTGGCGGCGGACCCAGCTTTTCTTGAAAAAATTTTGCCCACGTTTTTTCGCCAAGTTTTGTGTAGTGCGGTTTGTTTTAGCCCTTTTAGTCGTTCCCCCTCCAAAATAGTCATTTAGTTTAGTGAAAATTCACGGTTCCCCCGCTCCGCGTGTTTCCGGTTCTTTCCCCTTGACAGCTTTCGTTGACCTCATGTACTTTTTGGACTTCCTTGTTGTCTCCGTTAAGATGTGATGATTAAATTTATTTACCATACCATGAACTTGCACGTCTCCTGCAAATGACAGTTCGGGGCAACATGAGATCAATACGGCGATGGGAGAGCCAGGGAAGCATCGGATATTATGTGTGTTCAGCTGACCGACAGAGCGTTGGCTGTATTGCGAAAGGGTGATCGAGTCGCTTTTACAATAAGGTTAGTCGCAGCGGTTGTCAGTGCATGTAAACTGCCGCTACAACTATTTTGCTTTTGCGTTGAAATCCATGCCTTTCGTTCTGTTGCGCCGCGCCATTCATCAGATGGATGTTTTCCCGATGACGCCGCATTGGCAGATCGCCCCAAACAAGGCCCATAGTCGGGGTGTCGGGATCGATTATCCGATGCGCGCCACCGTTTTGTAGTTCTCGATCGACGGGCCCGCTTCACACCCAACCCCGGGGAAATGCTCTGCATTTTGATATTGCACACACGCTTATTGCTGCCTCCACTACGAAAGCTCCGCAAAATTAATTTCCAGAGGCGCCAGCCGCTTAGCATTCTCGGATGGACGACGCGGAGACGGAGAAGCTGTTTGCGCAATGTGATCGAGGTCGGAAGGGTTATTTGACGGAGGGCGACTTGAGAGCTGTCTGTCCACAGCTTGACCCACAGGCATGTCGTGCTTAGGATATCGTGATATCTGTATGTGCTTAGGATATCGCCTTCATTTTCGCCTCTTTGGACACGGATGGAAGTGGGAGAATCGAGAAGGAGGAATTTGTGGCGGGTTTCTTTGAGACGCTAGCCAAGGCCGAGCAGCACGGTAAGCTTGGATTTTTCGTAAAGTAGGAGCTCCTTAAATAGGCTGTAACGGAGTTATGGCCCGGGCCTCAGCCACGGAAATAGTCTACGAGTCCGACGTGCCGAACAGCTTGGTGGCTGAAGCCGTGGTTTGTGTCTGGTGGCCCCCAGATTATGCCTACCATCCATTATAGCCACATCGCAGAAGTCCCTATTTGGAGGATTCATACTGTTCCGAGAGCGATTCACAGCGTATCGACTTCAATATGCCTTGGTAAATTTCAGAACTTATGTGAAGCTTCAAGCTTTTCAGCACTCTAAGAAAAAAAGCGCTTTTAGCCAAGACGAGGTCATAGCTCTGTATTCCCAGCTTCAAAATGCCGGAATGCCGGCCCTTCTCGGGAAATTCGAGCGGGTCGTCGGCAAATTTTGTCGTGAGATCAACACGCATAAGGAGGAGAATGAGAGGCTTCAGCACATCTACCACAGCGAGAAGGAAATGTATAACAGGTCGGTCTGGCGGGTTGACGAGGTAAGTTTCGTATTTTCTAGACGGATGGAAGACATCGAATCGGAGATTGACGAGCAGCTATCTATTGCTGAGCAAAAGGCGCGGCAGGAGGTACATCTAGTGCGGCGCCTTGCTACTTTTGTTTTAGGAACGGGAACGGCTGGAGAAGGAAAAGACGGCAATGCGCGAAAAGATGGAAATGGAAATGCGCGAGATGCGCGACAATATTGAACGGCTGCAGCGGGTAGGGTAGAAAGCTAAGGACTTGCATGTTTTCAGGTTGAAGCTATGCTGGAGCGTGAGAGCCAGCGCAAGGGGGCTGCCATAGAATTGCGCACCCAATTGCATGTAAGCATTTTTGAAACTTCTAGTAGTACATAGCTTGTTCTCAACCTTTTCATGTAACGTTTTAGGAGTTGTCGACGGAAAATGTGGACCTGCGGCGAAATCTGGCTGAAAATCACCTTGAACTGGCCGTAATTAAGTCTGAATTGGCGAGTTCCTTTTTCCAAAGGTTTATCGAGATTTCAGGCACAAACCCGCGCCGACTATGACACAAAACGGATGCAACTCGCCTCGGAGATGGAGCGGGAGCGAGCCTCACACTCTGACTCGGAACAAGTGCATAAGCAGCTGCAGCTTTTATTGTGGGCTGTTTGGGAACGTTTACAAAAATGACCGTTTAGTGACGCCAATCGTAAGCTTGCCGAGACGAATGAGAGCCTTCGCCATGCGCTCGATCGCAGGAAGAGCATCGCGCATGAATTTCATTTGGTTAGAATTTTATTACTTTAAAGGGATTTAGAATCTTACCAGTTTTTAGGAGTTAATTTTTTCTAGCGTTCCCCATCGCCAGCTGTTACGCCAGGAAGCCGTCGACCAATGGATCGATCAGGGGCTCAACTCTTCAGCCCTGCTACGTTCTCGCGAGCTTCCGACGAAGAAGGTATGGAATTTTTTCTGAAATACCAGCCGTCGATTTTCAGATAGTGGCCTCGCGGTGGGTTACGAAAGTAGTGATGTTGATGACAGGCCGATTCTGATGCAGGTTGGCGAAATTCCGGATTTTTATTCGATCAATGGCATGCCGATTTTAGGATGTGCCATCAGGGGCGACAGCCGAGCGGACGTTCCGTGTCGTGATGTGTGGGGATGCGGCGGTGGGCAAAAGCTCGCTGGTCAACCGGATTGTCAACGGTCAATTCAACAACAATCTCCCGTCGACACTTGGTAGATGCTAAAAAAGCACGACATTACCACTTTCATCTTTAGGCGTCGATTTCCACGTGAAGACGGTTTGTACGGAGGGGAAGATTGTCGCTCTGCAGCTGTGGGACACGGCTGGCCAGGAGCGATTCAGGTGGGCTTCCGTGGGAATCTCTGTTAGCATGCTTGCGGCCGGGTTTTAAACACCGGTTAAATCAGCCTTTAAAAATTAAATTAAAGTTAACGAAAATGCTTCACAGATCGTTGTGTAAGTCGTACTTTCGGCGGGCAGATGGTGCGATTCTTGTATACGATGTCTCCAGCGAACAGTCGTTTCTTCGGGTGCGCCATTGGATGGAAACGATACAGGTTTGGGATTATACGATGCACCAACTACCGTACTCTAACTTTAGGAAGCTGTCGAGCGCCCGATTCCAATTGTGATGCTGGCCAACAAATGTGATCTGCGCCAGGCGGGCCGTGGTGAAATCTCGGCCACCCAGGGATCATCACTAGCATCGGTGCGTTTTTAAAAGGCCTACGAAAATTATACCAAACCAAAAAAAAATAAGTTTTTAGTCTATAACTTTATACCATTGCAGAAAATGGGAGTGCTTTTCGCGGAAACGAGTGCCCTCGACGGGTCCAATGTGGAAGCAGTGGTGCACACGTTGACCAAGTGAGGCAGACCGACAGAGATCTTTTCGGAAACAAGCTTTCCTTTCACGGACTTCCACTTTTTAGGGAAATGCTGGCCGTTGAGGATGTTGAGGTGAAGGCCAGCGGCGTCGTGCTGACGAAGGGGCCGCAGAAGAAGAACAAGTGCTGTGGATAGTCGGTATGCCCGGTGTTGCAGATGCCCGAGATCTTGTAGTTTGTGTTCTGCCGATTGTGATTCGGAAAAACTCGCTGAATATTGTGATACACCCGTTTTCGCTTTAATCCCTTCTCGCCACCTCACCCTGTCAATGCCATTATCAACAAAATGATGTTTTGTAAATTTTTATTTTGCAGATGATAATAAAATGCAAATTTAAAGCGAGGTACATGTATTTTGTAAACGGGGGCCCAAGCCTGAATTACACGACGCCCGACACGACGGCTGAATCCCACGACGTCTAGCGACCCAAGCCTGAATTGCACGACGCAGAATAACATCTAAAGGTCCTTGTAATGCCACAGATATGTATGTACAATCAACGTCCTAAACAAATTCTTTATTCACAAATATCCATGGTCTTTCAAAAAAAAAAGAAATGAATTAAAAGAAGCGACAGAAAGGAACGGTATGGCACTGACGCATTAATGGTGCACAATTGAGGGGGAAGGGTGGGTGCTTTTCGGGTTCTATTGGCGGGTAGATCGTTCCTTGATCTCCTTGAGGGAGCGATAGATCTTGCCCATCTCGGGGCGAGCCTTCGATTCTTTCTCCCAGCACTGGTAGATGAGCTTGGCGACACTCGGGGGGCAGTCCTGAAAATCTCGAAAATCTTTAAAAGGTTTTTAGATGGTTTTCTAGTAGCAATATAGTTTTTTTTCTTCAACTCATCGTTAAAAAATGGCGTATTAGTTATCCCAAGAAAAGGCACCTTCGGCATCTCCATCCGGTAATTCTGGACAATGATCTTGGCGCGTGTCTGGATGTTGGACAGTCCCGGGTAGGGCTCCGATCCGTCGGCGTAGATCTCCCACACGAGCACACCCAAAAACAGTGGTAAAGGTTGCTTAACGGGGGGGAACAACTTTTTCTTAGGAGTAGACTTTATTCTTTCAAATATAAATAGCTGGAGTTTTTCTAAATGGTTTTTTATAAAAGTAAAAACTTTACAAGGTTTTAAAAAAATACAAAAATATCAATTTTCCAATCAAAAACGATAGTTTTTCAACAAAATTTTGTTTTCTGAAGGTTTTTAAGATATTTTTCTAGTAGAAACATACAATATTAAAAACATTATAAAAATACTTCCTATTAATTTACTAGTTACTAAAATTCTGACCCCCGATAATGCAAAAAAAACCTGGAAACAGTGCTCTAAGCTGTGGTAATGAGCCTACCATAGCTCCAGACATCGGTCTTCAGCGAGTACAGCTTATCCTGCAGCGTCTCCGGGGCCAACCACTTGACGGGCACCTTGTCCAGGGTGTCGTCGTGTACAATCTTCTTGTCGTCCGACATCCCGAAATCGGAGATCTTGACCTCCTGAAGAAGTGGGAGCATTTCCGTGTGTGCTTCTCGCGCATACCGCCTTGCCGCTGAGGAGACAATTCCGGGCGGCAATGTCACGATGGATGCAGCACTGCTTCTCGAGATACCACAGTCCGTCGGCCGCTTCCGTAGCGAATCTAGGAATTAAACGTTGTAGGAAACAATACGTTTTCAGCCGTTTCGGGATAGAGGTTTCGTGGCTAAAAATTTTCGGTTCTAGACTCTTAGCGGGGGAGACTAAATTTTCCCAGTCATACCGTAGGCCCTATAACCAAATATAAACTATTTTTTTACAGCATTTTACATAGTTTTTAGATAGAAAAAGCGCGTCAAAATTGTTAAAATTTTCGAATAGTTTTGGCTTTTTGGCTTCTTTTTGGAACCGAACCTTCTTTTCTAACAACTTAATGGAAAGCGTTTCAATAGTGTTTTTAGTAAAATAAAACCATCTTTTAACCAGAAAAATTATTAATAAACCAAAAATCGAAATTTGGTCAAAAACGGCGATGCTGATCGAAGAATCGATTTTTTTAGGGTTTTTGACTAAAAATTTGTAAAGTTTTCACCTTTAACGATAGTAAAAATCGCCTAGAAATATTCCAATGTCAGTATCTAAAAATTGGATCCAAAGAGAAAACCTGAAAAACAGTGGTTTTCTCGCCACGAACCCTCCCCCCCCGCTAACAGCCCAGAACCGGAAACAAGCCATGCAAACCAAAAAAACGTGTCGTACCGAATCTTGATGGCGCCATCCATTTTGCCCTTATTCTTGCGCAGATAGGAGAGTAGAGAACCCCCAGGGCACACCTCCATCACAAGCATCAACGGGTGCTCGTGCACCGCCACACCAAGAATCTAACAAAACGAAGTGATTAGAAGGGGTGAAATTAAGAGTCGCACCTTGACGACATGTTTATGGCTGTACTTTCTCATCAGGCGGGCCTCCTTCATGAATTTGAGGCGAGCCTCGCGGGTCACCTCGGTGCGCATCGTCTTCACCGCCACCTCTTGCTTGTCCTTACCCATCGCGTATTCAGCCAGAAATACCTAAAAGATCGTCAAATTACTGCGCAAATCGATACTGGACTGTTAGCGGGTGGGAAAACTTTTTTGTAAAGTTTAAACTTCAAACAAAAAACTGTGTAACTATCTAAAAACTTAAAAAATTTTTGAAAAAGTAGGAATTTGGTCTTAAATCGCCCTTTTTTGGTCGAAGAATCGATATTTTTTGTTTTTAATAAAAAATTGGCTTAAGTGCAGTTTACCCCCCCCCAGCCCTAACTTTTCAGCTATACGTCCTATTAATGCGTGGAGTATCTCAAAATGTTCGCCGTGGTCGAATTACTATAAAAAGGTTGTTTTCTTACGGCAAAAATTGCTAAAAAATTTTTTACAAGATTTTGAAAGTTGAAAAGATTAAGCCGCTATGCTTCGATGTACTAGGAGTCTAAAACTCAAATATTTTTATTTTCCGCTATTTTTTTCGACACAAACGTACTGTAGGCTTATTCTACAGAGCAAGAGCTACATTTTGGTACCATTGACAGCTCTGTACGTAAAAAGATAGCCGAGATACGAAAACTCACTTTGGAACAGCAAAAATTAACTAAAGAAAACCCAGACTTATCCCACCTTATATAATTTGGTCGCGTATGTGTGTGTGTGTGTGTGGATGTCACTTTCGAGACCCGATTTGAGGGCCTTCCCGTGTCCAAAATGCCCTAATTCTCCGTCACCCGGGGGAATCGACCCTTCTGTTTCCGATGGCGTTCTCAGAATTTCGATAAAATACAAGTTTACAAAGTTAAGGCCGGTTTTATTCATTTTTGGGGGTCCCTGAGGGCTAATTTGCATAATGCGAGAAAATACAAATTTCCTCATTCTTGCCAGTTGCACTCGCGCGTTTGGCTGCCCGATTGGAGCTGCCTCCGATTGCCTTGGCTCCCCTTCTCGGCAGTCACCTCGGGGCATACAAGGGGTGTTGCGCGCGCTCCCAAGCATTTCATGGTATAGTCTTAGAGCGTCAGCCTGCCAATCTTGCTATCGGGGGTTCGATCCCCGGCCTTCGTATTTTTTTTTGCTTTATGCTCGGAATGCATGTTTCGAAGTGTGTTTTCCTGTAGGGAGGCGCTATTCTGAAGTCAGTCGCTCTAAACTGCGTCGCAGGCTAACGAATCCAGCTAAGCACTGAAACTAGCGCCACAGGCTAAAGATTCAGGCAATCCCTCAAGCCAGCGTCGCAGGCTTCAGAACGAAGCTAGCCGCACAAGCCAGCGCCGCAGGCTTCAGAACCAAGCTAGCCGCACAAGCTAGCGCCGCAGGCTTCAGAACGAAGCTAGCCGCACAAGCTAGCGCCGCAGGCTTCAGAACGAAGCTAGCCGCACAAGCTAGCGCCGCAGGCTTCAGAACGAAGCTAGCCGCACAAGCCAGCGCCGCACGCCAAAGAATCAAGCTAACTGCTCAAGCTAGCGCCGCAGGCTTTAAAACGAAGCTAGCCGCTCAAGCTAGCGCCGCAGGCTTTAAAACGAAGCTAGCCGCTCAAGCTTGCGTCGCAGACTTTAAAACGAAGCTAGCCGTACAAGCTAGCGCCGCAGGCTTTAAAACGAAGCTAGCCGTACAAGCTAGCGCCGCAGGCTTTAAAACGAAGCTAGCCGTACAAGCTAGCGCCGCAGGCTTTAAAACGAAGCTAGCCGTACAAGCTAGCGCCGCAGGCTTCAGAACGAAGCTAGCCGCACAAGCTAGCGCCGCAGGCTTTAGAACGAAGCTAGCCGCACAAGCTAGCGCCGCAGGCTTCAGAACGAAGCTAGCCGCACAAGCCAGCGCCGCAGGCTTTAAAACGAAGCTAGCCGCCATGCCAGCGTCGCAGACTTTAAAACTAAGCTAGCCGTACAAGCTTAGCGCCGCAGGCTTTAAAACGAAGCTAGCCGTACAAGCTAGCGCCGCAGGCTTTAAAACGAAGCTAGCCGTACAAGCTAGCGCCGCAGGCTTCAGAACGAAGCTAGCCGCACAAGCTAGCGCCGCAGGCTTTAGAACGAAGCTAGCCGCACAAGCTAGCGCCGCAGGCTTCAGAACGAAGCTAGCCGCACAAGCCAGCGCCGCAGGCTTTAAAACGAAGCTAGCCGCTCAGCCAGCGTCGCAGACTTTAAAACGAAGCTAGCCGTACAAGCCAGCGCCGCAGGCTTTAAAACGAAGCTAGCCGTACAAGCTAGCGCCGCAGGCTTCAGAACGAAGCTAGCCGCACAAGCTAGCGCCGCAGGCTTTAGAACGAAGCTAGCCGCACAAGCTAGCGCCGCAGGCTTCAGAACGAAGCTAGCCGCACAAGCTAGCGCCGCAGGCTTTAAAACGAAGCTAGCCGCTCAGCTAGCGTCGCAGACTTTAAAACGAAGCTAGCCGTACAAGCTTAGCGCCGCAGGCTTTAAAACGAAGCTAGCCGTACAAGCTAGCGCCGCAGGCTTCAGAACGAAGCTAGCCGCACAAGCTAGCGCCGCAGGCTTTAGAACGAAGCTAGCCGCACAAGCTAGCGCCGCAGGCTTCAGAACGAAGCTAGCCGCACAAGCTAGCGCCGCAGGCTTTAGAACGAAGCTAGCCGCACAAGCTAGCGCCGCAGGCTTCAGAACGAAGCTAGCCGCACAAGCTAGCTAGCGCGGCAGGCTTCAAGAAGGAGGTAACCGTTCAAATTGCGCCGCAGGCTTAATCTTGAAGCAAACCGCTCAAACTGGCGCCACAGGCCAAAAAAGGAGGCTAATCCCTCCAGCTTGGGCCGCAGGACGAGGTAGCGACCTCGCCGATCAAACATGCACCGCAGGCCTAATAACGAGACTAGCATTTCAAGCTTGCGCCGCATGTCAATACAAAGAGGTTTGCATGGAAGATGGGTTTTTCTTTCTTCAAGGTAACTTTATGTGGAAGGGCGCTCGATTAATAGGGCCTAGACGGGATCCAGCGGGGGAGAGTCGCGAAGCGGCTCCTCCCCGCTGGTAATTGTTATAAAAAATTTTCGAACAATTTTTGATGTAAGGAAACAACATTTTTATAGTAATTCGACCACGGGGAACATTTTGAGATACCCGGCGCATTAATAGGACGTATGGCTGAAAAGTTACGGCTGGGGGAAGGTAAACTGCACTCTAACCCAAAAATTTGTCAGTTTTCACGTTGAGGAATAGTAAAAAACCATTCAGAAACACTGGCACTATTTATATTTGAAAAATGCGAGCCTGAGAAAAATTTTGGGTAAGACTCCAGATAACCCCCCAGCCGGCAGCCAACTTTTGTAACACGGCCCCCTGTTCCTCTACAGATGCGTAAAGTATACCAAAATGTTCGTCCCGCTCTGGCGAGTATTTTGGTATACTTTACACACCTGTAGATGAACAGGGAGCCGAGCTACGGTAGGTGCGGGTCGGCTGGGAGGGGGGTTATCTAGTGCTAAGCCAAATTTTGGTTGATTCCATTTTTGGTCAACCAGCCAAAGAATAATTGTTTATGATTGTTTTTATATCTAAAAACTACGTAAAATGCTATAAAAATGGTTTGGTTTTCATTATAGGGCTGTACGGGATCACTGCGGAAATTTAGTCTCCCCCCCCCCCACTGCTAACAGTTCCGAACCAAAATCTTCATCTTCTCACCTCCCCAAAAGCTCCCTCTCCAAGCTTCTTGACGAGTGTGATGGAATCGTGGTTGAGCAGCCAGGCCGTCCTCTCCACCGGTCGCTTCAGCACGGCGTTTGAGGTGGCCGACAGCGGGGTCTTTGTCGTCCTTCAAAATAACACAATCGGTTTTTGGTTGCTTCTACCTATGCCAATTTATGAGTTCCGAGATGGACTTTTCGTGATGACCCTCCAGATAGAATGTTCCGCTGGGATCTTGGTTGATCATGAAGTGACGCACCGCCGTCCCCACGCGAACCGAAATCGCCAGCACGATCACGCCTGAAAAATGGATGTTTTTGTGGTACTGGACTGTTAGCGGAGGGGAAGCCACTTTTTGTTTTACGCCTATTGATAATGTATAAGGAAACAATTAGCATAGCGTTTCAAAGGAAAGTAGCGTTTCTCATTTTTGTCAGCGAAAATCGTGAGAATTATGCAAAGTGAAGAATATCATGGGATCGACGGCGCCAGGGTTGAAAGGTCGCGAAGCGGTTTTTCTTCACCTTTTTTTTTCCTTTTTTTTTGCTTTTCAGGCTTTTCAGGCTTTTCACCCTGGTTTTTGATAGTAAAATACAACGAAAATGGCTTTTATTTGGTTTTTCAGGCAAATTTGATCTCCCCCCCCCGCTAATAGCCCAGAACTGAAAAAAATATGGGCTTTTTGGTCAAAACTTAATCAAAAACGACAAAAACGTGAAAATTTCGAATTTTAATTGCATTTTTATTCCGAAGCGCAATACGAATTAAGAAATTTTGCAAGTAACCCTACCAGGGGTATGTTCAGTCTTCCTCAACAGGAAATCCCCGTCCTTCTTCAGCAGCGGCTCGACGTCGGTACGCGGCACAAGTCCGTGATAGTATTCTGCTCCGCGCACATCATCCGTGATCGAACTCGTATCATCATTCGCCTCAAAAGCGCCAAGGTTGAAAGCCACTAATAAATTACCTGATTCTTCGTTTCGGTGCGCGTCGATTTTGGGGTGCCTCGGATGGTGAAGTGGCCATGGCGCATGAAGCGATTTATTCTACAGCCTTCTCACCCATTTTGTAGTCGGATACCGTCGAACCGGAAGTGGCATTCATTCTGGCATTATCGATTCAAAGAGCGTATTCAAAGAGCGTACCGTCAGGGTGTCGGACCGACGGGATGCTACTATCGATATACTCGTATTCGGAATTCTTAATTTTATGCAAAGACAAATTTCGGTGAGAAGTGAGAAACCCGGAATCGGCCCGTAGGGCGCCCCTAGGGTATTTGGAGGCTTTTCGCGTCAGCGGCTGGTTCTGCGCCATGGTGTACTGGTTAGCACGCTGAGCTGTGGGGTGCACCATCGCTGGTTCGACTCCCGCCCGGTGCAAAATTATTTGCTTTTCGCCAAATGCATCTTTCTCGAGCCTTTTCAGCGTCTCGAGAAAGATTTTTCATTTCTCAAGACAGTTTTCGACCGATCAAAAACTTTAAAAGTCAAAATGCCCCCTATTTCGAGCCGAAATTAATTATCGTTAAAACATTCCCCGTAAACGTTAAAGCATTCAGTTATCCCCGTGGTTTCACCCTCCCCCCCGTTAAGCAACCTTCACCCGGTGAATGTTTGACCCGTTGTCTGGCAAGTGATTTGTTGTGTACAGGCCGTGAGCATGAGGGGGCGGGGCGAGGGCGAGGAGAGGAGCGGGGTGTCCGGCCGATCCTTTTACTAGAGCCATTCTCCGCATCTATCACCTCCACCACCATTTCCTTGCCTCGATTTGGCAGTAGCATTTTTGCGGGGGCGATATTTGTAGTGAGAAAGAAAATTCTAGCTCAGGATTAACTCAATTATAGTGCATTTTTTATGAATAATTCGAAGCTTAAGCATACACCTAAGCCTAATTGTAAGCCTACGCCAAGCCAAGCTTAAGCCTAAGCCTAAGCCTAAGTCTATCCTACCTTAAGCCTAAGCCTAGGCCGTGACAAGCCAAGCCAAGCCTAAGCCTAAGCCATGACAAACCAAGCCAAGCCCGATCCAATCCAAGCCTAAGCCTAAGCCAAAGCCCAAGCCTAAGTTTCTCTTCAAAATTTAAAAACTAACCGACTTTCTAGAATTTTTTTGTTAAGGCCTACGAATTTTCTAACTCATATTTTAGCTCTAAATTCTAGGGTTTCCAAATTCTTTTTCTCTATTTTTTTCCTCCTGTTTCTCTTCAACTATACTTTTTTGGGGTAAAGAAACTGAATTTCCGCTACTTTCCAGAGATGCTAGCACACGCACTGGTGGTCGTCGCCGTTTTTGCCGGCGCCCTCGCTCAAGGTCGGCAAGTTTTGGTGTTTTTTAATTTTTTAAATTATCCCACCTTATATAATTTGGTCGCGTATGTGTGTGTGTGTGTGTGGATGTCACTTTCGAGACCCGATTTGAGGGCCTTCCCGTGTCCAAAATGCCCTAATTCTCCGTCACCCGGGGGAATCGACCCTTCTGTTTCCGATGGCGTTCTCAGAATTTCGATAAAATACAAGTTTACAAAGTTAAGGCCGGTTTTATTCATTTTTGGGGGTCCCTGAGGGCTAATTTGCATAATGCGAGAAAATACAAATTTCCTCATTCTTGCCAGTTGCACTCGCGCGTTTGGCTGCCCGATTGGAGCTGCCTCCGATTGCCTTGGCTCCCCTTTCTCGGCAGTCACCTCGGGGCATACAAGGGGTGTTGCGCGCGCGCTCCCAAGCATTTCATGGTATAGTCTTAGAGCGTCAGCCTGCCAATCTTGCTATCGGGGGTTCGATCCCCGGCCTTCGTATTTTTTTTGCTTTATGCTCGGAATGCATGTTTCGAAGTGTGTTTTCCTGTAGGGAGGCGCTATTCTGAAGTCAGTCGCTCTAAACTGCGTCGCAGGCTAACGAATCCAGCTAAGCACTGAAACTAGCGCCACAGGCTAAAGATTCAGGCAATCCCTCAAGCTAGCGTCGCAGGCTTCAGAACGAAGCTAGCCGCACAAGCTAGCGCCGCAGGCTTCAGAACGAAGCTAGCCGCACAAGCTAGCGCCGCAGGCTTCAGAACAAGCTAGCCGCACAAGCTAGCGCCGCAGGCTTCAGAACGAAGCTAGCCGCACAAGCTAGCGCCGCAGGCTTCAGAACGAAGCTAGCCGCACAAGCTAGCGCCGCAGGCTTCAGAACGAAGCTAGCCGCACAAGCTAGCGCCGCACGCCAAAGAATCAAGCTAACTGCTCAAGCTAGCGCCGCAGGCTTTAAAACGAAGCTAGCCGCTCAAGCTAGCGCCGCAGGCTTTAAAACGAAGCTAGCCGCTCAAGCTTGCGTCGCAGACTTTAAAACGAAGCTAGCCGTACAAGCTAGCGCCGCAGGCTTTAAAACGAAGCTAGCCGTACAAGCTAGCGCCGCAGGCTTTAAAACGAAGCTAGCCGTACAAGCTAGCGCCGCAGGCTTTAAAACGAAGCTAGCCGTACAGCTAGCGCCGCAGGCTTCAGAACGAAGCTAGCCGCACAAGCCAGCGCCGCAGGCTTTAGAACGAAGCTAGCCGCACAAGCTAGCGCCGCAGGCTTCAGAACGAAGCTAGCCGCACAAGCTAGCGCCGCAGGCTTTAAAACGAAGCTAGCCGCTCAAGCTAGCGTCGCAGACTTTAAAACTAAGCTAGCCGTACAAGCTAGCGCCGCAGGCTTTAAAACGAAGCTAGCCGTACAAGCTAGCGCCGCAGGCTTTAAAACGAAGCTAGCCGTACAAGCTAGCGCCGCAGGCTTCAGAACGAAGCTAGCCGCACAAGCTAGCGCCGCAGGCTTTAGAACGAAGCTAGCCGCACAAGCTAGCGCCGCAGGCTTCAGAACGAAGCTAGCCGCACAAGCCAGCGCCGCAGGCTTTAAACGAAGCTAGCCGCTCGCTTAGCGTCGCAGACTTTAAAACGAAGCTAGCCGTACAAGCTAGCGCCGCAGGCTTTAAAACGAAGCTAGCCGTACAAGCTAGCGCCGCAGGCTTCAGAACGAAGCTAGCCGCACAAGCTAGCGCCGCAGGCTTTAGAACGAAGCTAGCCGCACAAGCCAGCGCCGCAGGCTTCAGAACGAAGCTAGCCGCACAAGCTAGCGCCGCAGGCTTTAAAACGAAGCTAGCCGCTCAAGCTAGCGTCGCAGACTTTAAAACGAAGCTAGCCGTACAAGCTAGCGCCGCAGGCTTTAAAACGAAGCTAGCCGTACAAGCTAGCGCCGCAGGCTTCAGAACGAAGCTAGCCGCACAAGCTAGCGCCGCAGGCTTTAGAACGAAGCTAGCCGCACAAGCTTAGCGCCGCAGGCTTCAGAACGAAGCTAGCCGCACAAGCTAGCGCCGCAGGCTTTAGAACGAAGCTAGCCGCACAAGCTAGCGCCGCAGGCTTCAGAACGAAGCTAGCCGCACAAGCTAGCTAGCGCGGCAGGCTTCAAGAAGGAGGTAACCGTTCAAATTGCGCCGCAGGCTTAATCTTGAAGCAAACCGCTCAAACTGGCGCCACAGGCCAAAAAAGGAGGCTAATCCCTCCAGCTTGGGCCGCAGGACGAGGTAGCGACCTCGCCGATCAAACATGCACCGCAGGCCTAATAACGAGACTAGCATTTCAAGCTTGCGCCGCATGTCAATACAAAGAGGTTTGCATGGAAGATGGGTTTTTCTTTCTTCAAGGTAACTTTATGTGGAAGGGCGCTCGATTAATAGGGCCTAGACGGGATCCAGCGGGGGAGAGTCGCGAAGCGGCTCCTCCCCCGCTGGTCATAAAATAAAATTCTAAATATACTGATTTAGACCAGCCGGTGTGCGCCGACAACGAGATGTTCAACGGGCGAGTGTGCGTCTGCGCGCCCGGGTGAGATTTTTCGCGAATCTTTCTAGATTTTGCTTCTTTTTGCTATCACTTTTTTATATTCCACCCTTTTGGAGTGAACTTCAAATGCGCATTGTATTTTCCTTGATGCTCTATCGAATGGCGTTATCAAAATTTTCAAAAAGAAGTAGACAAAAACAAGCGAAAAATTGATTTTTCAATCCGATTTTCAAAGTGTATTTTTTTGTACTTTTTTATATTACAGTATTTTTGGTCGAAATTAAAATGCATAAGGTGTTTTTAACGCTGCATTAATTGCCCTTTGCAAAATAGTAAAAAAATAGCGAAAATATCGAAAATTATCTTTACAATTCCATGCTCCAGGGGTATTCTTGTTTTTTTGCAATAACTTTTTTCTTTCATGATTTTGAGCTGAAATTAAAACTCCCGGGATATTTTTTGATGCTCTATCAAACGAGTGCCATCAAAAATTAACAACAATACGAAAATATCGAAAATTTTGGGGCCTTGGACCTTGGATCCGGAAAAACCAACCTGAGGTTTTTGCATAAGCCCCCCGATAACGTGAAAGCACCCATTTTCCGCTAGATCCTGCGTTTTTTCACGACTCCAATCAATGCGTTGGCTAGTGGCGGTAGTGGTGGTGGTAGATGGCTTATCTTCGATTCCTCCTGAGGTCTCCGTCTATGACCTCGATCCTCAGCCCTCTCTTGTCCATTGCCCCCTTCTTCTTCTACTCGCATAAAAACTACATTAGCAGCGATCGTTTACGTGAATGGGACACACAGCCGGGTTGGCGATTGGCCAGGCAGATGAAACAGCGGAAGGGCGAAAACAGTGGGGGGGGAGGGGACACTTTTTGAGGGTTCGGTCGGATATGTTTGGCAGAGTGTCATTTAGGAAACCTCGTAGTCGTGGCATTATCCTTGGGCGTTTAGGCTTCGGTTTGGCTTAGGCTTAACCTGATGCTCAGGCTTATGCACAGGCTCAAGATTCACCTGATGCTCGAATCTGGGCTTAAGCGCAAGTTAAGCCTAGGCTCAGGCTTAGGCGTAGACTCACTTCGGTTAGGTTTAGACTTCGTTTTTGCTTAAACCGGGTCTTAGGCTAGGCTTATGATCAGGCTCAGACTTATGATCAAGCTTAGGCTCAGTTCGGGCTTAGGCTTAGATTAGGCGTTTCCAGGAAGTCCCGATGACCTCATCACCCAAGAATTTGTTGA